ATAGTTTTTCAAACCCACCACGAGGGTACCCCTAGCTGCTTTGAAATAGTGTCATTTATAAATAATGCCCCACGTGTTTTGGGAACCCCTAAATTGCGCAGAGCAAGGATTGCAGCTCGAATAGAAGTGGTATCTCCGAGGCCTATGAGGATTGCGGCACGGCCTGCGAGAATTGCGGCTCGGATAGAAGTGGTGTCTCTGAGGCCTACGAGGATTGCGGTTCTAGTAGACGTAGTGTCTTCGAGGCCTGCAAGAATGGAGTTGACGGATCAGGAATGGGGGTACCCCTAGGTGGAGTGAATTTCAGTTTGAGATGTTCTTAAACTAAAATAGAGGGAGTTCAGTGTATGACATATTTATATTCAGTGCATGACTGATACGAGTATTAGAAAGAACTACGTGTGGCTTGATCCCTCAGTAAGGGTATGTAGGCAGTCTAGTGTCACAAGGTGCAGCCATGAGTTGGAGTGTTTGAGATTGTTCATGTACTATTGATATTCTGAAAGTTGAGATGAATTTTATTAGCAGGATAATTTATTTGATTTGTTGAGGCCTGTGGCCAGAGTGATATGATGCTTGATTTTCTTGGATATAATTTAATGCATGTTGGCAGTTGGATTATATATGAACATATACGCTTGTTTTATAGGTGAAAATTTTTGGGAAATGTTCAATTTATAGGGGAGACTCTGCCAAATTTTCGGCAGAAGTTGCACTTGAATTTCATGGAATTTTGGTTAGAAGGGCAATTTGGTCAATTGTGTCCGGCAACCGCCAGGTTTCGGACACGCACAGGGTTCAGCTCAGCTTCCAAAGTGGAATTTGAGTCGGGTCCTGTCAAAATGTGCTTCTATGGGTATTAATTTTACACCATACTCTAAATAAAAAGTATATATGGGGATAAAACCACATCTAATATATATATATATATATATAGGTATATTATATATATATATATGTGTGTGTGTGTGTGTAAATAAGTCCCCTTGAACTATATATATACATATATATATTTAAAGCAATAAGTATGTTTATGTTATATTGAATAACATATATAAGATGAAGATCCTGCACAAAAAGGTTAGAGAGCTGTGATCTAATCAAACACCACAAACAAAAATTTCTTTTATAGCATCCATATGCATTTTTGCCTTCAACTTTGGAGGATCCTTGTGCAAAGAAAGCATTAGCCATAAACTTCATAAAATAGCATATATGGATGTTAGTGAAACAAATGATTTGAAATTCAATAAGAATGATAAGGAAGAGATATACCAAGATTGAAACTCTCCAAGAACCTCAGTTGGTGAGCAAGTCGTGTTGATGATGTTTTATATAGTTAAGAGGATTTTTGAAGAGAAATTGGGAAGAAGAGAAAATAATGATGGAAGAACAATTCTCAATTGCTCAACTATGAGTTCCTACTCATCTAGTCTTGTGTGTTTTTCATTCATCTTTGGAGCCTATTTATAGACATGAGAAATACATACTTTACTACCATAAGTGGTCATATACATCATTGGTGAGTCACATATTTGATAGAGTGGTCATATACATCATTGGTGATACATGGTGGGGTGAGTCACTTATTAGGTATTAGGTATGATAGTGACATCCACTTATCCATGTAAAACATGGATTTACAACACTAGCTAGTACGCCACTATAAACCAAAAATCATATAAAAACTCTATTGGGGCTAATTTTTCACGAGATATTTAGTCATATATCCATTCTTAGCACCAAAACTATAAATAAACTCTACATAATTTAATTTTTATAAACAAACCCAAAAAATGACAGCTGCCCATATTAAATTAAATTTGATTATTAAATTACTTTGATGCCCTATTGAGTGTTTTGGGCTTTTTTATGAGATTTTTGAGTTGAGTTTGTTTTAAGAAATCAATGCCAGTTTTGTAATTTAAAAGAAGTTAAAAGCCCTTATATTATGTTGTAAATGGACTTTGGGTGTGTTTCTAAAGTCTATTTCATATAGGGTTTTTTTAAAATAATTTGGGCTCCTATATTGGGTATAATAGTGAATCTCCCATTTTTCAATACAAATTAAGAAGAGCTTTGCTCGAAAAAAGGCACACCTATTCATTATAAATTCATAGTCGAAGCCAATTAACCTAGTTGAATAAAATTAATAAATAAAATACATTAGGCTTAATTTCACATGTTTGAACTCTAAAAAAGAAACATCCTAACGACAAACACTTTTTCGACTTACCAATTCTTTCTTGAGAAACCCAACGTACACGCCTCCCCATCCCTCCCTGTCATTGCCTCTGACTCTCTCACTCTCATTCTCTCTAAATGCCAATCTATTATCTCTCGTCTTTGCTCTCTCTACTTTCTTTTCTTTTCTCGACCCAACCCTAGATCACACCCATCCCCCCTTTTCAGCCCTAAGAAAAAAAAACTCCTGGAAAATAAAAAAGCTAACTACCCCTCATTAAAGATAAAGATTGTATGCAAACAAAAGACCAATAACCAGAAAGCATTGAAGTAAAATCTATGGCTCACACCCATTACGAACTTGAAGCATTCAACTTAAAAAATTATAATCTAGAGGAGATATGTGTCTGGAACATGCCAAGGCTTCAACAAATAATACTTGATAGCAACCCATTGACTATCCCTCATTCTCTCCTCTTCATCGCAATTCAAAGAAAAGAGAGACATAGACATAGTTTTTATTGAAAAAGGGGAAAATAGCTTCTCATTTGTTAAAGCTATGTTTCCCTGGTTGATGTGGATGTGTATCTTGTCTATTATGAGAAATATGTACGGTTATCTGCCATCAGTTGATGGACATCCTCCAACACCAGTTGACGATGTGGAAATGTTCACCGGTTTTATGTTTGCTCCTGTGATGGTAGGGTAAAGTTCCCCATTGCCTTGAAAACCATTGACTAGTCAACAAGTCAACTTTCTTTAGTGTGCGAGCGTGCTACTGCTAGCAATAAAAAAATCCTAGCAGACTTCTTAAAAATAGATAACTTGCGCCCGAAGTTACTCATTTCTAAACAAGCGATTGTGAATTTGGGTGAGGAATATCTCCCAAGTAAGTTCTTTTCTTGCCTTAGACTGGTGAGGACTTCACAATTTTTCACAGTACAAAACTGGTAGTTCTAGCAAGAATAAATGATAAGATAGTAAACTGTTTTAGGTAGAAGTACCTTTTACAAAACTCAAAAGGGAAAAACCAACTCTAGAAAGACAAAAAGAAGGCTGGACTTCCATTTCTGTCTGGATAGAAGCTTCTAATTCGGGCTGGACTTGGTATGTTTGTGCTGGATTGGACTGTCAGCAACTTCAACTGTTAAGTTTCAGTTGTAAATCGATACCAATGTTCGAGTTTGGCAGAGTTTTAATCTATTTCACGCCCTAGAAGGCTTTTTGAGCGGGTAGAATTGCAGCCTCTTTAGCCTGAAAGGGGCAGAAGTGGCTGGATTTGAGGGTTACTGAGCTGGAGTTGCACTGTGGTACCTGTTCTGCTTGATCAGGGCTCTCCATAAAGTTGTTGTGGCTTTCATATTTGTAAAAAATCCGAGCTTTGCTTGATTTGGCTTTTGCTGAACCAAATTTGTAAAGAGAGAAAATCTTGTTTTAGATGACTTATTTCTCTAAGTCTGAAACTGGAAGTTTTGATTTGTGGCTGGCTTCTTTCTTGTGGCTCAGTGAGCTTTTGGTTACTTCAACTTGTTTGAAGGTTTATTGAGATTAAGTGATCATTTTGAGTTTTTGTCTTTTATTGATTTTTTGGTTGTCTTTTGCTTTGTTCACCCTCTCTTATATTTATAGGAAATGCTGAAGTAGGATCTCTAATCCTTTTTAAAAAATGGGCGGTAGATTTTCTGTAAAACAAGCTGGAGTTTTGCCTATTTTTATATGCAAAGAAAAGGGGGTTTTATCAATTCTGGCAGATAAACCCTCAATAGTCAGTTCTAAGGCAATCACTTCCTAGTATTTCTTGAAAGGAAACCTAACCCATCTTTCAATTTAATTGCTCTCTGTAAGAGCTTAAACTGTGATGGTTAGTTTGTTTTTTTTCAGTTTGAACAACTTCCTGCTTCCTACTTATCTTTTTTTAGAAAACATAGCATGCGTATCCCTTGAAAATGGTTCCTTCTTTGGAGCATAAAATATTTCTGAATATATAAAAGGGATTTGATCTTCTTTTGATTGAAAAAAGCTGGAGTTTTGCCTATTTTAAGTCATGTTCTCATTAACTTCCATCAACTCAGTTGAGATTGCAGACTTTTCAAAGTTTCAGGTGGCCACGTGGGTTTGCCTCCAATTTTGAGCCTTTCTTTTTTAATTATGCCAAGCCCAAGTTGAGTTTTTGGAGTAATGGGCTGATTTTCCTTCTTCTTCGAAGCCCAATGTCATTGTCGCGTTTTTGCATATCCTAGGTTGGGCTTTCTCGGATTTTGGGCCCTTGATTCCTGTTTATTTGCAAAGTCCAGACTGCTTGGGTCCTGAAGTTGTTTTGTTATTTCCGGGCCTCCAGTGTTGGGCTGAGTGTGTATTTTTGGCCCATTTATTTAGGGAACGCTAGTGGCTGCCAAAAATTGATATGGGCTTTTAATCTTTTCGGACTGGGTGTGCTAAATTAGGCCCAAACAAGGCCCCCCTAAGTTTGAATCATTTTTGGAAAGGTTCTAGACTTAATGACTTGGCCATTAATTTGTGCGCGCCAATTTTTTTCGTTAGCCCATGTCTGCCACGTCTGCCTACCACGAACTAGACTTCGTGGGAAAGTGGTCAGTTGCTAGCTAGTCATTATCAGGTGGCATCGTGTCTTCTTCTTCCCACGATTTCGAGCCCTTTTTAAGAAATTCGAAACTCCAGCTCTTGTTCACTTGAAAACCTAGTCTCCTTATACCTTGATTCTCTTTGGATTTCTCATAACCCTTTTCCCTTTTTCTTTGATCAGACCTTAGTCCTTCCTTGTTACTTCCTTTGTTTCATCTCGAAACCCCTGAAAAATGTCTTCTCCAAAAACTTGTGCCCAAGGTTCCTCTTCTTTAGTTCCTCTTGATTACATCACTATGACTGGGGTTGATAACCATGCGATAGAGGTCAAGAGCAAGCTCTATCCCTTTTCCAAGAAGAATTTGGACGAGAATGTCCTTTATTTGTCCGAGAATACACTAGTCCTGGGTCGTCACTGGTTTGGTTCTGTCCCAGCTGAGATGGCAAAGATGGTTAAAAAAGATGTTGAAGCTCCTCTGTGTTTCCAGAGCTCTTTTGCCTTGGTTTCTCATTCTTGGGTCAGCAAGAATTTGAGTCGTTCATTCCCATACAGTGAGGTGAGGAACAACCTAGTGAAGTGGGCAAACTGGATTGACAAGCTTCTCCCAAGATATGGAGCTCACTGGAGGAGGGCAGGGATTTATGACGCAATTCTGTTATCCAAGCAGTCCATTAACATAAGAGAGAATCTGCTTGCTGCCACTCTGTGTTTCTGGAATTCTGCCAATAACACTTTTGATTTTCGTGTAGGCCCCGTGACACCAACCTTGCTGGATATGGCTCAGATATTTGGGTTTAGGCCCCATGGAAGGCCTGTTGACGCTGTTGGTGACTATCCTCGAAGGAAGAATCAGGAGAAATTGGCCAAGCCTTTCACTATCTCTCTTGCCACCATCAACCAGAACTGCTCGTTCTCCAATTTTTTTTGAAGAAGTTTAGCTCAGAGAAAGACAGAGATCAACAACACATGTTGTTCCTCCTATATTGGCTGAATAGATTTGTTTTCCCCAACCGTTCCTCAGCAGTTCTGCTTGAGTACAAGCATTTGGCAAAGGCTCTGCACAACCATACTGATCGGGCTTGGACCTATAGTTCTGGCTCATCTGTTCAAGAATCTTCATACGGCCACGCTAGAAAATCCCCTTAACTTGTCTGCTCCTAGTGCATTCTGGATGATCCAGATCTGGTTGCAAGTTTATTTCCCAAAATTGAGGTTTCTCGACATAGTTCTGCCTGAGAACCAAGTTCCTTTGATGTCAGCAGAGGTGCCTAAGAGAACGATTGAAGAATATCTGACGTTTTTAAGGCACTGCACTAAGAGGTCTGCTGCTCAATGGCAGGTGGTACTCAGAAGGACCTATTGCTAGTTCCAGCCTGGATACAAGCTGTTTGAAAAGGAACCTGAAGAAGAAGCCAGAATCGAGTTCCGGAAGAAATTCCTGAGTGTGACACTTCCCCAAGACTTGCCTTTTGGAGGTGGGAAACCTCCCAACTATCACTTAGGGGCAGAAGTATACCACCCCAACTTCTGTGCAAGGCAGCTTGGTTGCCCTCAGTTGATCCCGCTCAAATCTTATAGAAGCTGCAATCAGGCCATTTCCTGGAGAGTTCAGATGATCTGGAGGTGCACAAGAACTGTAGGTGCTCGGTAAACAAAATAATCAATAGCGTGGATGCTCTCTATCCATCATGGGAGCCTAATTCCTACAGTTCTGCCGAGTTCAATGCTTGGTGGAAGGCCAGATTCCTTGGTTTGCCTGCCTCGAGCACCGCCCTTAAAGTGCTGTTTGATGGCTGGGATTCTTGGACTGTCTATGCGGGGGCAGAGGCTAAGCAGTTCATGGTGCATATGTTAAAGGACATTAATGCACGAGTGATTGAAGGTAGACTCTCAATTCTGCCTTTCCTATCATGTCTTACCATATTTTGCCAAAGTAAAAGTTTTTTAAACCCTATTATGTCTGTTTGTGGCAGATCCTTCTATGACAAGGAACATTGGAGGTCAAGATGTTCAAGGCGGGGAGGTGATTGGTGAGTTTCTGAACTTCATCTCTTGCTCTTTTCTTTTTGGATTGCTTTCTGACTCTCTTCTTTTTCCTGTGCAGTTATTTCTGTCATAGCGGTTGGTGACCTGGAACTTCCTTCTGGAGAAGGAGAAGAAAGAGAAACTTTGGCAGAAGCAACAACTATCCAAGCAACTCCTTATGCCAGAAGGAACAAAAGAAAGGAAACCACTCAGGCTCAAGATAGTGTTGTCCAGCCTGAGACCTGGAACTTCCTATTATGCCCTGTCTTACACAATTTAGATCATGTTCTACTCATTTTATTGCCTGTTCTTTGCAACTGAAATCCCTCCTTCTCCTCTCACTAAGTCAAAAAGCCCTAGAGTTTGAGTTCAGGCTCAGGATAGTGTTGTTCAGCCTGAGACTTCAGGTAAAAACCCTAGAGTTTGAGTTTTCCTGATCCTATTATGCCCTATCTTACTCAATTTAGCTCATGTTCTACTCATTTTATTGCCTGTTCTTTGCAGCTGAAAGCCATCCTTCTCCTCTCACTAAGTCAAAAAGGCATAGGAAGAGAGCAGTGGCAGAATACGTGGCCACAGAATCTGTAGCAGCTCCTACCAACACCTCTAGGACAGATGAAGAGCTGAGAGAGGCCTTTGAAGCGGTGGAGCAAGAGAAGGAGCAAGAAGAAGAAATAACCCAAGAAAAAACGAAGGCAGTGGGAGAGGAGGTGAGTCTCATTCTCTGATTATATCAGCAATTTTCTTCTGTTTTATTCTTCAGTTCTTACTTCTGTCTATCTATAGGAGGAAATCCCTGCTGAAGTGATTGTAGAAAGTATCGCTTTGGCGCAGAAACAACAGGAGACCCCAAGGGCAGAACTGACCAGCTCATAGTTGGCCTTTTTGGAAGATGCAGAGGCAGAACACTCTACTGTTGTACTGGCACCTGAGGAACAAGCGGAGCAATTTGCATCAAAGCCTATGGAGCAGGCCGAACTTTCTGTTGCAGTCCAGAAGCTGAAGTGGAAGTAGTTGCTGTCGCTCCTGAACTTGTGGTAATAATTTTTTATTTTAACTCTGTCTATCTGTTTCTTGTAGTTTTGTCCTATTTTTGCTTTTCTAACTATCAGTCTTTCCAGGCAGAAGTGCCCAGAACTGCTGGGGTTTTGGCAGTGATGACCAGTCCTCTGAAGCCTCCCATTGTTGCTATAAGTGTTACTGCGTTTTACCCTTCTCTATTTTTTGGTTTCACTTGGAACTAACTTATAATCTTTCTCTGTAGATGCCTATCCATTCGCTTCCAGGTTCATCTACCACGGTCTCTTTTGCTGATCCAGAATTGGCAAAGTTTGAGGCTGTGGATTTAGATGCCCAGCTGGACAGACTGAAGAAACTGAGTTCCACTCCTGGCAATGCCAAGTTAAAGGCAGTGGATGAGGCAATGGAGAGGGTGAAGATCTGGCAATCCACTGAGCTAGAACTGGATGAGAATAGGGAAGCTGTGGACCAATTAATGAAGGATCTAGACCTACTGCATAGACAGAACATGGCTCCCAAGCCTATACTTGAGATGAGCCTCGGTTCGGCCAGAGAGGTGCTCAACCTTCACTACCGTTATGAGGATCTCAAGCCCACCTTCAAAACCTCTGAGTTCTGCAGGGCTACTCATAAAGCCAACTTGGCTGATTACGCAAAACAAAAGGCGGAATTGGATCAGATGGTTGCATGGTATAAGGAAGCCAATGCCACTGCAGATAAGCTAGAGAAGCAGATTGAAGAGCTTCAAAAGCAGTTAGCAGAATGCCGGGAGGTACAGAACAGGCTCGGAGCTGGACTGAGTTCCAAGACCAAGGCTACCTTTCTTGTGCAAAGCATGGTTTCAGCTTCCAGGCCAGCTTTGGAAATTGCAGAAGCTTCCATTCATCAAGGAATGCTCCTTCAGAAAGAGATCTCCATCAAGAAAACCGGATTACAAGAGACTCTAAAGAAACTAGGACTTTGAATTCGAATTTTGCAAATGTAATAAACTTAGTCATGAAAAATGACTATATTTAATAAAAGTTATTTTTTGTGGAACTCTTTTTGTATTTGCAATTTCTTTTTTCAAAATAAAAGAAAGCAGAAAAATAAAAGAAAATAAACTTAACAAATTACAACAAAAACAAACTCTGAACAGAAATTTAAACAACAGTTTCATTTTGTTCCCTCTCTATTCCAGGATCTGTTTGTATAGCCTGTGAATCCCACATAGTTGGATAGAATTTGTTCAACCATTTGCCATTTATTGGTGCAGCGTGAACATCTCCATTTCGATCCTGTAATCTGTATGCCCCCAGTCCAAGGATTTGCTTAATTATGGAAGGACCTTCCCATGTAGGTGACCACTTCCCATAACCAGTTATCTGTGTTCCAAGGGGTAGAGCCGCCTTCCAGGCTATTATGCAATGACCTTCAAAACTCTTGTTTTTAACTCTTTTGTTGTAGGCCCTTGATACAGCATGTTTTCCTGCTAAGAGTTTGTTGAGGGTATCAATCCTACTTGCATCCAATCCTTCCAGTTCTAGCAGCATGGCTTGAGAGTAGTCTTCTCCAATCAGACTGTGTTGATGAGCAATTCTAAGAGATTGGACTGCTATCTCCATTGGCAGAATTGCATCATGACCATAGGTTAGAGCATATGAGGTCATGCCAATTGCCTCTCTTTTTGAAGTCCTATATGCCCACAGAGTTTCTGATAACTTCACATGCCACTGCTTTGGATTTTTCTCAAGCATTTTCCTGATAATGTTGATGATCACCTTGTTACTTGATTCTGCCTGCCCATTAGCTTGAGCATAATAAGGAGTGGGTTGAAGTAGTTTGAATTTGAATGCTTCTGCCATATCTAACATCTCTCCAGATATGAAAGAAGATCCCCTGTCTGTTGTGATTGATTCTGGGATGCCAAACCTTTGTATAATCTGCTCTTCTATGAAGGTGATGATCTCTTGAGATGTAGTGGATTTAACAGGCTTGGCTTCCACCCATTTGGTGAAATAGTATGTAGCTACAATGATAAAACAATGTTGCTTGCTACTAGCTGGGTAGATCTTGCCAATGAGATCCATTGCCCATCCTCTGAATGGTCATGGCTTGACTACTGGATTCATGGGAACTGAAGGAGCTTGCTGGATTGGACCATGCCTTTGACAAGCCTCACATCCCTTGGAATAGTCAATGCAGTCCTTCATCATAGTTGGCCAGAAGTAGCCATACCTTCTAATTAACCACCACATTTTTCTTCCTCCTTGATGAGCTTCACAGATTCCTTCTTGGGTTTCTCCAATGACCTTCATGTATTCTTTCTTTCCCAAGCACCTCAGAAGTACCTCATCTTTGCTTTTTCGGACCAAATCTCCATTCCACATAAGGTAGTTTAAAGCCATGATTCTGACTCTTTTCTCAGAAGGTAGGGTTGGATACTGCAAGTAATTTACGATAGGAATTCTCCAGTCATCTTTAGCGATTATGGCAGAATTGACATCTATCTCCATTCCTCTGGCTAGAACAGATGCTAAACTTTTCTTTCCTACCTTGATGATCCTTTGCACACAGTCTTTAGGCATTTGTACCCTTGTTATTATCTGAGCCAATTCATTTGCTGCGAAGTTCTCCTCTCTTGGGATATGTTCCAAAGTGGCTTCCCTGAATTCTGTTAGAAGATTTCTGGCTGCCACTAGATAGACAACTAGAGACGGATTTAGACATTTGTATTCTCCAGCAATCTATTTCAACACAAGCATAGAATCCCCCAAAATTTCCATAGACTGGATTCTGTTGGCCTGTCGTGAATCTCACAGCCTGGTGCTCCGGGCCGAGAGGATGTGCGTCAACACGTGACGTCCTTCTTTTGGATGCGGTGCAGTTGTGCGCAGGCGTGACAGAACGGTCTACCGTGCGTCAAGATGATGATGAGGTTCGGGTAGAAGATGGCTTAAATGTTGGTCCTGTTTTGCGTTCCACTCCTAATCAAACGATCGTGGCCAAGAGAGGAACTAATCTCGGTCGTCAGGTTCACGGCCTAAGCTACAAGGCTGTTTAGTGGTGGTGTTGGTGGCGGGTTTTAGGCGGTGCTCCGGCGCGTTGCTCAGAGAGCGACGGTCGTATGATATATGGGGTGAGTGAGGCGATAACAGAGATGGTACTCCTAAGAAAACAAATAAAGGTGTTGAAAGTGCATTACAGGAAAATATAATTTGCTCCGTGGGAGGCTTTTGGTTTGGTGTTTGAACCTTGTGAATGTAGTCCTGAGCTTAGTATTTATAGGAGGAGTCCTGGAGGGACATTCGAGGCTGACAAGACCTGCGTGGTGGAGCTTGACCGGGGCAAGTGGGTAGTCAAATCGGCATTTGGGATCGTGAAGCATGGTGGTTTGGGGTTGAGAAGCATGGTGGTGTGACCCCCATAAATCTCGGCCACCGCCCTGATCGTGGGTTCTGCCCCCTTGGCCGTGGGAACGCATTTAATGCCCTAGTCTGGTGGTTGGTGATCTGACCTTAAGTCGTAAGATTAATTGTGAGAATGTCTGCGCCTAACCACCCTGATTTCCATCACCAAATCCTAACTTCAGTCACTTCCCTCGTGCATTGAATGCCTCTTGTGGCTAGTGGGTTTTGCTGCGAAGTCAGAGGCATTACTTCATTACTTCAATACTGCAGTCGCGAGTCCGAGAGAATTATGCCTTTGCAGCTTTTCCTTTGTTCTTAGGAAGGCGAAATGCTTGACGAAACGGTAGGCGCCAGGGCCGAAGGGAAGTCCCTTCAATAAGTTCATGACCGTGATTTATTAGGCAAAAACATTGCCCCCACATCCCTGGATTCTTCGGTCACGGCCTGGGCAGAGGTCGAAAGGATTCCAAGGGATGGATCCTTTGCATTCCCCCTGAAGTGATTGATAATTGGTGCTTTAAATGCGTAGGTCAATCGGCGCATTAAATGCGCAAGCATGTCTCGCAGGCCATCGTTGCCCAGACTTGCGCGAGCTTTCGTTTCGTCCCATCAAACGAAGCGACGGCCTCTGGGCTTTCGACACGTCATCGCGCCCTTTGAGCACGCTTGTCAGGCCGTTACGCTTTCAGAACCTTCAGACGCCCAAATTCTGCCAAACCTTTCTCTCAACTCTTCAACCCTTTCGAACTTCACATTTCAGCACTCCAACCTTTTCTGCACAGTTATCCCCCTTTGTTAGTGACCAACGACTTCAGTCACTTCTCCTGTATTTCTCTGAAAACTCTCGAACTCTTCGCCCCTTTTCTAAGCGCTCGGCTCCCTGGTGTTCTTCGTGTTCATCACCTTTCCTTCGACTTTTTTCAAACATACCCTTACTTTAATCCGTTGCAATGGCCTCTAACACTCCTACATCTGTTGAAGCTCGGTCCCAAGTCTTCCAGACTGAGTTTGAAGACATTTGCTGAGAAATCCAAGGCTCGGTCTTACCCAACATCGTCACACCTTGGACTGATGACGATGGCACCGCCACCGACTCCTGTGTCCTCGACCCCTCTGTAGATGGCGGGATGCCAGAGAGGCTGGTGGCTCATCTGAAGAACAATCTGGTGGACCTCTCGGCCTTTGACGGGGGGGACTTCCAAGATTGGAACGTCGCCAGACTGCAGCCCCAATGGCCAACCTCGACCCCGGATTGGGAGAAATGGCTGCTGAGGATGGAGCACTTCTTCGGCCAGCAATGGAAGGATCAGGGCATCTACCACTTGATCAAGCTGTTCGACCGGCCGCTCGTCATAGATCGGTCGCTCTTAGCCGCGGCCCTATGCTTCTGGTCGTTGGCCACAAATACTATGAACCTTCGGTTTGGCATGATGACGTCGACCGTTCTAGACATGGCCGCCTTATTCGGCCTCTCTCCCCTCGGTGTGGAAGTAAATGCTGCTCTAGTGGCCCCTGAGGCTGAAGGGAGTTTTAAGGCCACATGCTCAACTATTCCAGCTTCTACAGCAACTTTGGTGTGGAGGACAGCGCCGATGACGATTCCATCGCTCCCTTGGGCGAGGTCGAGCATGCCGCGTTCTTGCTGTACTGGCTATGCAAGTTCATGTTTTGCACCCAGGCGAACAAAGTCACCCTGGAGTTCGCCCACCTGGCCGACTATCTTGCGCAGGGCGGAAGGCTGGTGCTCGGCCCGTTCCTCCTCGGTCATATCTACCGCACGCTTCACGACGTTGTCACGGATGGGATGAAGCCGAAGCACGGTGGTCCACTATGGGCCTTCCAGTTCTGGCTGCAGGCTTATTTCCCAGAGCTGAGGGGAACGACCAATATTACCGACACCGAGCCGTTGGCCAATGCGTTTGCCCGGGCCCCCAGGAAGCATAATACCTCGACTTCCTGTTATAAATTTTTCTACGGCTTGGTCGAGAGGACTGGCCGTACCCGTTGTTCTTGGCGCACGACCTCTCCGTGATCCCTGACGGTGAAACGGAGAACGATTTGAAGGAAATCTAGGGCTCCTACCTGGTCGCGCGCGACCTTCACCTCGGCCTGTCCAAGGCTAGGGCCGAGGTTTATCTGCCGAACTTCGTGGCGCAGCAATTTGGCTTGATCCAGAAGGAACCGCTTCCCCCGTTGTCAACCAACCGTCTCTCGTCTTGGAGGGCCGACGTCGCCCAGTAGCACGGCGTGACTGGCATTTCCTTCCAGCTTCAAAAGGGAATGACCTTCCTCACTCTAACGCCTTGGCTGCGTCGTAACGCGTACGACGAGGATGGAAGAGTCTGGTACGAGGAGTGCATCTTGGCCAGATTCATTCGGCCTGTTGAAGAGGCCGTGAGGGGGGCTCTGAAGAATGTAGACTGGGAACCCCTCGTCCCCAAGGCTGGCAAGGGGAAGAAGGCCCCGGTTGTGCTTCCTCGACCGGGCACGCCGGCCGCGGCCGTACCCAGGGTGGCTACCCCTCCTTCGGTTAGAGCAGCGGTTGTCACCTCAGCTGCGGCCCCAAGCCCCAGAGCGCCGGCTGTAGTGGGGGCGCAAAAAACTTCGGCGCATAGGACCGTGCCATCCGCCCCGCTGGCTTGACCGATCGCTGCCGTTGGTAAGCCCTCTTTCTTTTTCGAGCCACCTTTGTCTTTGTTTACTTGCTTCTTACCTCTTTTACTTCTCCCTGTACACACAGCCCCGGGTCGTAAGAGGGACCGAGAGGCCTCAAACACTGGGGCCGCAGCGGTTGAGGCTGCAACGGCCGAAGGTGTTGCCGTTGAGACGACGGTGCTAGAGCGGCCGAGGAAAAGGGTCCTCCTCGTTCTTTCGAAGGCCGAGGACGAGGAAGAAGTCCCCCCTGGGATCGTGAGTGAAGCCCCTCGCGTGACCGTAAGTACTCCTGATCCTTTTTTTTTTTTTTTTTTTTTTTTTCTCCTCTTTCTTTTCTGATAATCTGGTCCTTTCCTCAGGGCGAGGCAGTGTCCGAGGAGTTGGCCGATGAGGTGGCCACTGCTGAGGTAGCAGCTGAGGGGACGGCCACCGCTGAGGTGGCGGAAATGATGGATGCTGAGGCAGCAGTTGCAGAGGTGCCAGCCACTGAGGCCGCCGCGGACGTGCCGGACGATGAGGTCCTTGCCGTGGACCTGACGCGGGCCATCCTGGTGGAAATCCCTTCGGCCGCCTCTGTCGCGCCTACCTTGGCTATTCCCGCATTCGTTGAGCCGTTGCCGTCCGCCCCTCGTTGTCCAGGCGGCATCGTGATCCGCTCGATAAGCGTTTTGTTTTTACTATACCTTCATTTTATTTGACTGAATTTTTTTGCTTCCAGCCTCCAGGGTCGTCACTGTCGCTACCCGCAGTCGCTGTGGGTATGCCCGCGGCGCCGCTGTCTTAGAACTCGACGGAGCTTGCAGTGGTTGAGGCTATAGCTACCGACGCGCCGAGCCCGTCGTCTTTCTCCTCGTCGATTCTGACCGAGCTTGTGGTTGCCGAAGCTTCTGGCGCACCGTTGGCCGCTGAAGTGAGTATTTAGATTTTCACCTTGTCATTCGCCATGTCCTAGTTGGTTGTTTCCCATTTTAACTTCCCTTTTCCATTTTCGGGGGACCACCTCTTCCGATGATCTCGAGGAGTTATATGCCAATCTTCATGACGAAGGAGGCAGCTCGGCCTCGGCCCCTTTGGACGAGGACTCCAGGGCCGTCATTGAAAGGTTCCGGGAGTACCTATTCCTTGGGGTTCACCAAATGGCCACTGTTGACGCATTCACGGAGTTCAGGTCCTGTCTGGATACGGCCATGGCATTGGGTCTGCTTGACTCGGCTCAGCTGGACGAGCTACAGGCTCGCTTGGCCGAGGGCGAGGAGATGATCGGTCGGTATGCTGAGGAAAACATAAGGACGACTGAAGGATGCTAGCTCGAGCAAGAGCTGGCCCGCTTGAAGGAAAATGACCTCGTCATCCAAAGAGAGAATGAAGAACTTGCGCAGCTCGAAGTTCAGATTGCCGAGCTCCAGGCCCGTCGAGATCTCATCCTTCAGCGCCGAGATGGTACGGTCGCGGTCGGAACTGAGCTGAAGTCTTCGGCCAGGCAAATCCTTAAGCCGGCGACCGAGAAAAAGAGGGCATTGGCCGAGAGGAAGTTGATCCGGGCGAGGTGGCAGGCGGATATAGATGGTGGGGACATTGCCTGGAGAAGGATAACATGCCTAATTTGGGGGATGTTTAGTGAAGGGGTTTAGGTGGGTGGCCGTTCAAGGATTTTGGGATGTAATAATTAAACCCCTCTTTTTTTTTCTCTTCCCACAGACATATAGATACACGCATATATATATATATATTTTTTTTTCTTGTGATCGGCCATGACCGGCCGTTCTTTTATCTCTTTTGTAAAAAAAAACGATCTCTTCGTCTAAATACAAAGCGTGGGCCTTCCTCTTTGATTGACTGAATGTATGTTGTTTCCTTTATATTGGCCGCGCCGTTTGTTTAGCTTGCTCGCCCACTTCCCTTTTTTTTTTTCTTTTTGACTTTTTTGTTGTAGGCCCTCGGTGCCATTTTATCCTGAACTTGCGCCAAACTGTAAGCGATGAGTCTTAACTGTTCTAACTTTTCTAAACTCCGGGGCACGGTTTGCGCGCAGCTCTCCGTCTTTCGCCTCAGTGGCGTGAAAACTTGAAGACATCAAACCTCTAGCTTTATTAGTTTATGAATGTCGTGGCCGTAGGTCAAGATATAGGGAAATGTGCTCATGGAGTGCTTTGATGTGCGGCGTGCCCAAGAAGTCCTTGAGAGCAAGTCGCGCCAACTCCTGGTCTTTCCGAGTGGGTACAGCTCAGTATAATTCGCTGCCCCCGGCCGTCTCTGGGTTGAGTCGTCCTTGGTCTTGCGTCGAGCGTCTTCGGTCGGAGGATCCTGAGGGGGCGCTTCATGCTGGGCCACGACTGCCCGTGGAACTTGTTGCCCCTCATTCTGCGGCCTTACTTGCTGGGCCGCTTGAACGGGGGATTTGGCCATTGCGATCAAGCTGGGTGGTACCAGATATGCGCCGTAGGTTTGACCGGGGTTCGGATGGGTTGTAGTTGGAATGGCCGAACCGTACTGAAGATGGGAGCCTGACGGCAATAACGACATATGTAATGGTGAAACGGTCGGATTGCTCTGACCGTATTGCTATGACGAAGCAGCGGTCGAGTTGCTTGGGCCGGGATGGGTCTGGATGGCCACAGTGTGGACTGGGCCAAGTTGCTGGATCGCGAACTGTGTGGGGCCGCTTTGCCCCAGTGACACGGCCAAAGCATGGAGTGGGCCGTACGTCGTCTCTGCTGGGTAGGTCGGTCCGGGATTTAACCATGTTTGTCGGTGCCTGTGAATGCTGGCCGTAACTTGACGCCTGGGTACGGCCAGAGACGCCGACGTTGCTTCTTTCGCCGTAGGGCTCGAACCTCTCGCGCTCTTGGCCTCTCTGTCCGGCTCTGGGAGGCGTTGTGGACAATGTCAACAACATCCTCTCCTGACCGTAGCTCCGAGGAGAATCTGTCCATTACGGCCATAAAGGATGTTTCTATCCTGTAGGCCTGCTTTGCCATCAGATCTTCCACGACTGCTTGCTCTCCCATGGACAAGGCCGTGCGATCCGTCGTTATTGGACCGCTGGCCGAGGTTCTGACTGTTTTGTTTTTGAGTTTTGCCTGTGCCCTAGTTTCCACCATAAGTTTTTCACAAAGGATCCCACCGGGCGTGCCAAAAGTGTTGGCCTGTCGCGAGGATGTGCGTCAACACGTGACGTCCTTCTTTTGGATGCGGTGCGGTTGTGCGCGTGCGTCGAGATGATGATGAGGTTCGGGTAGAAGATGGTTTAAATGTTGCACCTGTTTTGCGTTCGACTCCTAATCAAACGATCGTGGCCAAGAGAGGAACTAATCTCGGCCGTAAGGTTCACGGTCTGAGCTACAAGGCTGTTTAGTGGTGGTGTTGGTGGCGGGTTTTAGGCGGTGCTCCAGCGCGTTGCTCAGAGAGCGACGGTCGTATGATATATGGGGTGAGAGAGGCGATAACAGAGATGGTGCTCCGATGCCTTCAAAATCAAGGGTCGTATGATATATTGATGAATGGGTTTTCCTTACAATCTACCACTACTCCTAAGAAAACAAATAAATGTATTGAAAGTGCATTACAAGAAAATATAATTTGCTCTGTGGGAGGCTTATGGTTTGGTGTTTGAACCTTTTGAATGTAGTCCTGAGCTTAGTATTTATATGAGTCCTGGAAGGACATTCGAGGCTGACAAGACCTGCATGGTGGAGCCTGACCGGGGCTAGTGGGTAGTCAAATCGGCATTTGGGATCGTGAAGCATGGTGGTTTGGGGTTGAGAAGCATGGTAGTGTGACCCCCATAAATCTCGATAAATCTCGGCCACCGCCCTGATTGTGTGTTCTGCCCCCTTGGCCGTGGGAACGCATTTAATGCCCTGGTCTGGTGGTTGGTGATCTGACCTTAAGTCGTAAGATTACTTGTGAGAATGTCTGCGCCTAACCACCCTGATTTCCATCACCAAATCCTAACTTCAGTCACTTCCCTTATGCATTGAATGCCTCTTGTGGCTAGTGGGTTTTGCTGCGAAGTCAGAGGCATTACTTCATTAAATGGAGCGTGGGGCCCTGAGGCCACGTGGTGATTCAACCATAGCTTTTTTAGGCCGTGTCTTTTACGGCCTTCGGCCTCGGCCTTCAATACTGCAGTTGCGAGGCCGAGAGGATTCTGCCTTTGCAGCTTTTCTTTTGTTCTTAGGAAGGCGAAATGCTTGACGAAACGGTAGGTGCTAGGGTCGAAGGGAAGTCCCTTCAATCAGTTCATGACCTTGATTTATTAGGCACAAACAGATTCCAAATTCTACCAGCATTTCGAGGCCAATGATTAAAGCTTCATATTCAGCCATGTTGTTGGTGCATCGGAAATCTAACTGGAAAGAATAACAGTGTCTGATCCCCAGTGGTTCCTCCAAAACAATCCTGGCCCTAGAGGCTACATCAGTTTTTGATCCATCAAAGTATAGTTTCCAAGGTGTGAGGTGAACTGAGTAGATGGGATTGTTAAGACAAGTATGAGCTTTAGTCAATAGATCTGCATTTGCTATATCCAAAGAATCTATGTTTTCAATCTCTTCCCCTGGATGATCTGCTAGGAAATCTGCTACAGCTTGTCCTTTGACAACTTTCTAAGGAACATACCTGAAAGCAAATTCTGTCAAAGCCAGAGTCCATTTGCCAATTCTGCCTCTCAACATTGGCCTTGTTAGCATGTATTTGATTAGGTATGTCTTAGCAATGATGTAGATGGTGAATGGCAGCACATAGTGTCTGAGTTTCATAATTGTGAAGTATAGGGCTAAACAAAGCCTTTCAATTTCAGAATATTTCCTTTCTACTTCTGTCAAAGTTCTGGTTAGATAGTAGATTGCATGTTCCTTCCCTTCCTTGTTATCTTTAACCAACACACTTCTGATGCAGACACATAGAGTTTGAGCGGTCTGCCTCTCTTTGGTGGGGACAAAACTGGTGGATTTGAGAGGTAGTGCTTGATTTCCTCAAAAGCCTACTAGTATTGTTCTTCCCATTTGAACGTCTGTTCTTGCTTCAACCTTAGCAAGGAAGAGAAATGCTAGATTTTTCCTGCAGAATTGGATATGAATCTCCTTAGAAAGTTAATTTTTCCTAGGAGACTCTGCAGTTCTTTCTTGTTCCGGGGTGGTAGAGCTTCTATGATGGATTTTGCATTGTTTTTATTGATCTCTATGCCCCTTTGGTGGACCAATAAACCTAAGAAATTTCTTGCCTGAACTCCTAAAACATACTTCTTGGGATTCATTTTTAACTTATGTTGTCTCATTCTTAGGAATGCCCTCTTTAGATTTGACACATGATCTCCTTCTTCTGGGGATTTAATCACCACATCATCTATATACACCTCTAGAGAATGCCCTATCATATCATGGAAAACAGAATTCATTGCTCTTTGATAAGTGGCTCCTGCATTTCTTAAGCCAAAAGGCATTACAGTTTATTCAAAAGCACCTATATGTCCTGGGCACATTAAGGCTTTCTTATGGATGTCTTCTTTTGCTACCATAATCTAATTGTATCCTACATTGCTGGCATATCTGCCATTGGCATCTACTGGCATATCTGCCATTGGCATAGGATATTCATCTACTGGAGGATGCTTCATTTAGATTCCAGTAATCCACACAGATCCTAACTGCCCCTGTTTTTATCTTCAGAATTGGCACAATATTGGCTAGCGAATCAGAATAAATGGTTGGTCTAATGAATCATGCCTTAACCAGCCTCTCTATTTCTTCCTTGACTTTCAATTCTATTTCCATAGACATCCTTCTTCTGGCCTATTTGACTGGAAGGTAGCCTTCTTTGATTGGCAACTTGTGTTCTACCAGCTTTTTGTCTAATCCAGGCATCTCATGATAATGCCAAGAAAAACAGTCTCTAAAATCATGCAAAAGTGCAATGATTCACTCTTGAGTGGTTCTTTCAATAGCGCACTAATGAAAGTGGGTCTTGGATCCTCTTCTGTCTCTAAGTTTATCTCCTGCAATGGATCTTCCACTTCTGGTAAAGAATCATCTAGTGCTGCTGGTGCAAAGTCTAGTATTTCCATATTAATGGCTGGATTCTGCATAAAGAGCTTCCTTTCTTCCCAATATATCAACAATCTTTTTGTAATGGATCGGATTGTTGCAGCCCGATCCTTTTCTTGTTGATTGAGACTAAACATCAGAGTTCTGGAGGTTTAGAACAAAAGGTCTATTCTAGTCCTCTAGAGAACTGGCTAGACAATCTTCAATGAGTTTCTGGCATGATGCCTATTCTTGTGCTTGAGTTTTATTATGCAGTGATAGGCTATAATTGGCCCAAGTAACACCGAAGGGATATGTGAGCGTGGTTTTCTAATGTTGGCATGCTCTTGGCCCCTTTGTATGTGCTTGCTTGGCATGATACGTGGCTTGCAACTTGTATTGGCGGATCCTACAAATTCTCTTTTGTCCCGATTGAGCTTCTTTTGCATCCTCTTATTTGTGTTGGGCCAAGAATTAATTTTGGGCTTAGCCCCTTGGATTTTTGGGCCTTAATAATCAGCCTCTACTATCTCCATGAAACCTTCTTCATTCTAGAAGGCTAATTGCTGATGCAGAGTGGAAGGAACACATAAGCTTTGGTGGATCCAGTCCCTGCCAAGCAATGCATTGTAAGTGGTAGAGGTGGTGTCTACCACAAAAAATGCAATCTTCAGCTTCTTGGTTCCAACTATGACGTCCACATCTAGGGTTCCGTGAGTCTTAGTGGCGCCCCCAGCAAAGTTGGTGACATCAAACGTGTTGGAATCGGCAACCTGTGAGGCTAAAGATTAATGGCTTTGGGAATAGGAATACCCCCAAAGTTTGCTGTTATGAAAAGAGGTCTGACGTGATTGGCCATCTCCTTGGTTGGTTTGGAGAAACAAAGCTGTTCTGCAGCCAACTTCTTTGTAGTTCCGCTTGCCTTAGCAGTAGGTGTCTACTATTCTAGCACCTCTTCTACTTCTGCCAATCTGCACTGAAAACTTTCCTGGGAAAGCACATCTCCTTCCAAAGTGCTTCCTTGCCCATCTACTGCCTTGAACTCTTCTGGCAAGATAAATATCATATTAATGCCTAGATCTTCTTGTAACAGGCATTCTAATTCTGCACCGAAAGGCTCAATTTCTTCATCCAGTTCTCCGTCATACTCCATCTGCTCTTCCCCATATTCTTCTGTCCAGTCTTCTTGTTCTCCTGTTTCGAGGAGTCCAATCTGGTCATCTGCAGATGGTTCATAGTCCGACTGCTTCTCTTCATACTCTTCAGTCCAGTCTTCTTGTCCCTCTACTGGAATAGGTTCGTATTCACCTTGTGTTTGTGAAGGTAGAAGTTGATTGACTGAGGATGAGGCAAGATGGATGGAAGGTTTGCCTGGAGATTCTGTCTTCATCAGCTCTTGTGGTTGATGTGTTGTTTGTTCTGCCCGAGTAGCTACTTCTGGATTCTTTCTTCTTCTGGCGGAACTTGTCTCTGGAAGTGCCTGTGTGTCATTCCTATTCATGAGGAAGGTGCAGTATTGCATTTGAACTCTTCTATTCTGAGTTCTTGGTCTACCGCTCTTTCTAACAGAATACCATCTGCCTCTATGATAGTTGCCAAGGGTATTTCATTTTCGGGCATCTTAATTGGTATTTCTTTCTTTGGCTGCTCTGTCATTCTTCTGCTGCACTGAGCAAGTTTTAGAGAGTCCTTCTATCTGGCTCTGTCTTTAGATGGAGCCGGAATTGGGCCTTGTTGACATGATGTTCCAATAATGTCAAAAACGCTAGGTGTGGGCTGATTCTGCCTGTCTAGAGTCACTTCTAACTCACTTTCGCACTTGCACTTGCTGCACAACACTACCCTAGCCGAGATGGCTGCCTTTGGCCTTTGACTAGTCTCCCTTGTGACTCTTCTGCCTCTCCTGGAGCTAGCTTCTGTCGTTGGTTTGTCTCTCTTCTGTACTGGCCAATTTAAGTTGACCATGTTGACTTGAGGTTGGGGCAAAGGATCTATTGTAACGGAGGGAGGTTTTTCCGCCAGTTTTAACCTTCCTGCTGTTATTCCTTCCTGTATGACGTCTATGAAAACAACACAACTATTGGTGGAATGGTTCCAAGAGTTGTGCCACCTACAATACTATCTGCCCTTGAGTTCCTCTAGCTTGGGCAACCTGTGGGGTGTCTCCATTGCCTTCTATAGCAGCATCTCATCAAACAAAGCATCAACCTTGGTTAGGTCAAAGGAATAGACCTTGTTCTGTGTTGGTTTGTTTGGAACAAACCCTTCAGTGAACGGTGGCGGCTTCTGGTCCTTTGGTTGCTTTGTAAGAGCCTTACAGCTGATGGATGTTTCAACTTTGCCATTTCTGCCACTACAATTTCTCTTTCCATGAGTAGCTCCTCATATTTACATGCTTTGTCTGCCAATTCTGCTAGATCTCCAAACAGCATCCCATCAAATCTTTTTCTCAGAGATATTTTAAGGGCGGTTTAAGGGATTCGGCATTTCATCTTGAGCTTTCTGAATCTGGTTATGAAGTCCTGAGCAGGCTCACCTTCACTTTGTTTGAGGGCAGCAAGATCACTGATGGTGACTTCTGGCTGGATCCTGAAATAGTAGTCATGAAAAACATTTTCCATTTGCTCCTAGGTTTGAACAGAGTTGGCTGGTAGGCTAGTACACCCGGTGAAGGCTTGTCCAGAGAGAGAATTCCCAAAAATCCTTAGTTTTAACAGAGTGTTATTTTCTATGGCTATGCTCTGGACTGAGAATCTGCCTATATGCTCAACTGATGAAGCATGGGGTCTTCTCCGTTGAATAAGGTAAAGTTTGGTACCTTAAAACCCTGGGATAGAGGTATCTAATCAATGTAAGCCGGATATGGCTTTCTATAGGTGGGCCTTTCTCCTCTTATGGCTTCAGGTTCCATCATCTCCCTGATCATTCTCTGTAGTGCCCCCATGTCATCCAAAGCATTGACAGGGTGTGGATTTCGCCCCTGTTATGGCTGGATGTGGTCAATCATGTGCTCTATTCTGTATGGCCTGGGCAGAACTTCCTCCTTGTGTTCTTCCTCTTCTTCAAAATATGGATGATTCCTCCAGTTTGCCCCCAGTATGTTCTTGTCATTATTGGCAAAGAGGTTAATTCCCCTTCTGCCTCTTCTACCTCTTGTTGGTGGAGGGAATGGATTGGGATCCATTCTCCTGGGTCTGTAGGGCAACACAGTCGGTGCCTCAGGCAGAAGTGACAGGGGCTGATCACGTGGGGCCACAAGTTATGGAATAAGTTGAGGTTCTTGCTGATTCTGGGGGACCTAAATTGGTGCAGGGCCTTCTGGCCGAACTGGACCTTCTTGTTCTTGGATGGGAAGGGCTCTTCCCCTCTGTCCAGCTTGGATTTCTTCACGCCCTAGTGTTTCAGCTATCTATGCGATGAGAGGGTTTTCTTGGTATGACCATGCTAGTCCTGGAGAGGGTCCGTATGGGAGGTCTAGCCATAGCAACCTCACGATCTTTCCTGAACTGCCTGTTGACCTGCCATTGCATCATGTTCTCATGTTGTTCAGAGTATCTTGGCTCCTTTGTGTTGTGACCTTCTGCCGAAACACAGCCTCCTATATTTGGTTCAGCCTTCTGGAGCCATAACTGGAACGTCGACTCTGGGTACTGCCATGGGCTGACTGCCTGGCATCACTCTCTTCTGACTCCAGTCCTTCCCGGAGAGCTACTTGATCTCTTTCCATGGCGCAGCGTGGGTTCTGGCTTGAACTTCCAACATTCATATACTTTAGAAAATTTCTCTAGGAGTATGTATACTGAGAAGTCTCACTGGGCGTGCCAAATTGTTCATCCGTCTTATGTTTGCTCATGTGATGGTGGGGTAAAGTTCCCCATTGCCTTGAAAACCATTGACTAGTCAACAAGTCAACTTTCTTTAGTGTGCGAGCACGCCACTGCTAGTAATAAAAAATCCTAGCAGACTTCTTAAAAATAAATAACTTGCGCCTGAAATTACTCATTTCTAAACAAGCGATTGTGAATTTGGGTGAGGAATATCTCCCAAGTAAGTTCTTTTCTTGCCTCAGACTGGTGAGGACTTCACAATTTTTCAGAGTACAAAACTGGTAGTTCTGGCCAGAATAAATGATAAGATAGTAAATTGTTTTAGGCAGAAGTGCCTTTTACAAAACTCAAAAGGGAAAAACCAACTCTAGAAAGACAAAAAGAAGGCTGAACTTCCATTTCTACCTGGATAGAAGATTTTGATCTGGGCTGGACTGGGTATGCCTGTGCTAGACTGGACCGTGAGCAACTTCAACTGTTAAGTTTCAGCTGTAAATCGGTACCAATGTTCGAGTTCGGCAGAGCTTTAATCTATTTCACGCCCTGGAAGGCTTTTTGAGCTAGCAGAATTGCGGCCTCTTCAGTCTGAATGGGGCATAAGTGGCTAGATTTGAGGGTTACTGAGCTGGAGCTGCACTGTGGTACCTGTTTTGCTTGATCAGGGCTCTCTATAAATTTGTTGAGGTTTTTATATTTGTAAAAAATCCAAGCTCTGCTTGATTTGGCTTTTGCTGAACCAAATTTGTAACGAGAGAAAATATTGTTTTAGATGATTATTTCTCTAAGTTTGAAACTGGAAGTTTTGATTTGTGGCTGGCTTCTTTCTTGTGGCTCAGTGAGCTTTTGGTTACTTCAACTTGTTTGAAGGTTTTTTTAGATCAAGTGATCATTTTGAGTTTTTGTCTTTGATTGATTTTTTGGTTGTCTTTTGCTCTGTTCACCTTCTCTTATATTTATAGGAAATGCTGAAGTAGGATCTCTAATCCTTTTTAAAAAATGGGCAGTAGATTTTCTGTAAAACAAGCTGGAGTTTTGCCTATTCTATATGCAAAGAAAAGGGGGTTTTATCAATTCTGGCAGATAAGCCCTCAATAGTCAGTTCTAAGGCAATCACTTCCCATATTTCTTGAAAGGAAACCTAACCCCTCTTCCAATTTAACTGCTCTCTGTAAGAGCTCAAACTGTGATGTTAGTTATTTTTTTTTTTTTTTTTTTTTTTTTTTCATTTCCGTGCTTCCTTACTTATCTTTTTTTTTAAAAACATAGCCTGCGTATTCCTTGAAAATGGTGCCTTCTTTGGAGCAGAAAATATTTCTAAATATATAAAAGGGATTTGATCTTCTTTGAACTAAAAAAAGCTGGAGTTTTGCCTGTTTTAAGTCCTATTCTCATTAACTTCCATCGACTCAGTTGAGATTGCTAACTTTTCAAAGTTTCAGGTGGCCACGTGGGTTTGCCTCCAATTTTGGGCCTTTGTTTTTTAATTATGCCAAGCCCAAGTTTAGTTTTTGGAGTTATGGGCTGATTTTCCTTCTTCTTCGAAGCCCAATGTCATTGTCGTGTTTTGGCAAATCCTAGGCTGGGCTTTCTCGGATTTTAGGCCCTCGATTCCTGTTTATTTGCAAAGTCCAGACTGCTTGGGTCCTGAAGTTGTCTTGTTATTTCTGGGCCTCCAATGTTGGGCTGAGTGTGTATTTTTGGCCCATTTATTTTAGGAACGATAGTGGTTGCCAAAAATTGATATGGGCTTTTAATCTTTTCGGACTGGGTGTGCCAAATTAGGCCCAAACAGGAAGCACTAACACTTACCATCTTTGTGCCATTGGAACCAACTGCCACACTACTACCAGAAGAAGATGAAGACTTGACAGAAGAAAGTGAAGATTGTAAGAGATACTCAACTGCACTTGCTGGTCATGTGTATCACAACAAGCTCCCACCACCATCTCCCATGGAACATTAAGTTGTCAAGCAGAAAATCAAGACCAAAACAAACAGTTGCTTTTGCATAATAAAGAAATTTTCTTACAAGTATAATTGATTTCTTCTTCATCTCGATCCTCAATTACTCTAAATCTTTTACACTACACGACAAAATGAGATCCTCGTCTATTCTAGGTAAAAGTAATTTATTCTTCATCCTAATCCCCCAATTTCTTTTAGTCTTTGGCACTGATAACTCATATATTTATACATTTATATAATCCATTTTTAGTCTATTTGTGATGTTTTTGAGTTAAACTTGTGGCATTTTACCCTATTTTGTGTTAGTATGCATTTGCATCTACTTTTGGATCAAGTTGAAGGCAAAATAAATGAAAACATGCCATTTTTGGAGTTGACCCTTATTCAAACGCGGAAACAAGTTTCATGACCTGCTTTGAAGTCCAAATAAAGAATCCAAGGCAAACCTGGCTTGTTTGAAGACTAAGAGCAGAATGGGAAAGCAACAAGGATCTCTAGCCTGATTTGGAGGTGCCAAATAAGGCAAAAAAAGTGCAAAAGAAAGGCTAATTTGTTAGGATCTCTTTGGAATATCTTGCAGCCTCTTTTACCCCATAAAAACTTGCATTTTAGCCACTTTTACAGACCCTATTTATTATGGACGAATTTCACAACCCTGAAGGGCTTTTTGTTATTCTTTCCTTTCATGCGCACTTAAACCCTGACCGTTCCATATATTTCCATTATCAGGACTCATCGCAAGAGGCTGTTCTTGGAGAAGTTCAATATCAGAATTGGTTCAAGGGTTTCCTCTCTTGAATTTATTTTCACTCATGTTTTTTTTATTTTCATTTTAATCCCTGTGAACATGATGTATAACTAAATTCATAGCTAGGGATTTCGATGTAGCCTTGCAACATTGATCCATGTTTCTAAGTTAAAGTATTCAGTTCATCAACCTGCTTCTTGTTAGATTTTTTTGTCAATTTTAATGTTTGATCACCATTAGGGTTGCCTACAGATTATCTGGACATGGTTATAGTAAACATCATGCTTAATCTTGGTAGACATGTGAATGAATGAAGAGAATGCTATGTAAACATCCCGACGTGTATTTTCTTTGGTTCTGTAACGTTTTCTTGCATGCTAATAACTCTTAACTTGGAACCAAAGTTGAACATTCTAATTTGTCACTTTCATTTTTAGTTAGGAGAATTTGATCAAAACCACACATCATATGGCTGATCATATATATGTAAAACGAACTCTGGAAACAGGTTGGTAGTTGAATACGGTTTTATTTTATAAACATGGAATTGGTTTTGCAATGGTGAATTCGAAATCCCTGGTCTCATCCCTATTCTTTCTACATCAATATATCATTCACTGCTACATTCTTCTTACATTTTAAGTTATTTTTCATTTACAACTCAAATACTACTTTCAATTTGTCACTTTCATTTTTAGTTAGGGTTCTTTCAAAACTAGTAATTTATAGAGGTCCAGGTAAAATTAATTTTTTCTTCATTCCAATTTCCAATTTTTTCTTATGGAGCCCACCAAGTGTGTTTCTTGTCTTCTTTGTGTTAGAGAGGGTTTCTGAACCTATCAAACCGTCACTTGACCCAAAAAAACAAAAGAAAATAAAAGAAAGGACACTATGCCTCATTTTATTTTTCCGAGTCATGAATGAAATACGAGACATTATTTTTTGTAACTTTTTGTTTGGAACTGTGTTTCTGTAGTTGATGTGGATCAGTATCTCATCCATTATGAGAAACATGTATGATGATCCGTAACCAATTGATGGAGATCCTGCCACACTAGTTGATGATGTGGAAGCACAGACACCTGCCATCTTTGTGCTACTACAGCCATCTGCCACACCACTCCCAGAAGGAGATGAAGACTTGAGAGAAGAGGGTGAAGTGGTAACAGATACTCAAGTGCACTTGCTGGTATTGTGTATGCCAACGAGCTCCCACCACCATCTTCCATAGAAGAATGAGTTCTCAAGGAGAAAATCAAGACTAAAACAAACAGCTGCTTTTGCATGACAAATAAATTTTCTTGCAAGTATAATCGATTTCTTCTTCATCTCGATCCCCAATTCCTCTAAATCTTTGACACCACACCACACGATGAGATCCTCATCTATTTCAGGTAAAAATAATTTATTCTTCATCCCGATCCCCAATTTCTTTTAATCGTTAGCACCCCACCACACAATGAGATCTTTGTCTGTGCCAGTAGTGCACTACTATAGGTGATTGCGTTTTTCTTCTCTCAAACTCGCATGTTCTAGGTAAAAGTAATTTCTTCTTCACGCCAATCCCCAATTCCTCTTAACCTTAATCTAGATCAATGTTTTCAAAGGCGAGGTGTATAGGCGATGCGTTTTTAGTAGAGCTATGCGAGGCGTAAACCTTGAAGCATTGAACATTAAGTTATTTTAATAAGAAAAATTTATGAATAATAAAATACGATTAAATTTTACAACTAATTCTTATTCAACCATAACAATCTTTTAAATATAATCAAATACAAGTACTAATTGTCATTCAAAACATAATAATCAATCCCAAAACATAAAATATTTATTCAACATCAAAACAAAAAAATTATATGAAACTTCAAATTACAGTTTATTACAGTCAAATTATACAAGTATGATGCATGTACGTAAAAAAAAACAAAAAAACAAAAAAAGACTTACTTGCAATCGAAAGATGAAGAGAATTCTTGAAATTAATGGAGCTATCTGGTAAGGGTAGAAATTAGGGTTGTACACGTACTATACAATATATATATATATATATATATATATATAGTCCATGTGTTAATATATTAATTTAGAGAAAGAAAAAAAATAAATAAAAAGGTAAGTACAAAAAGATACAGCTGGTTGGAGTTAGGAAAAAAAGAAAGAAATATATTAATTCTTGCCTTAAAGGTTACAATAAAGGTAAGGAAATAAAAAACTGAGACTTCCGTTTTTTATTTTTTCAACATACTCCAAGTGAAACGACGTCGTTTCACTGTAAGATTGTTTTTAAAACACTACAATCAAAACGATGTCGTTTCATTACCAAAAAAAAAAAAAAAAAAAAATCAAAAAGTCGTCTTCTTTGCAAGGTCGTCTTCCTCGCAGAAAATTTGCAGACTCAAATTTCTTCCGGTTCAGAAGTTTTCAGATCTGGTACGCCTTGCTCCGCCTGGCCATGCCTTGCAACGCCTTCTCTCGTCTTCCTAGTGCTATCCGTGCAACCCGCGGAACAGCTGACCGCCTCTCGCCGACGCGCGCTTCGACTCGCACGAAGGCATGCCTTTGAAAACACTGATCTAGATTACTATTAGCTTTAATTAAGATCCTTGTCTATTCCTGGTAAAAAAAGTTTCTTCTACATCTAAATATCTAATTCCTCTTAACGTTAATTAAGAGTACTATTTGACATAGCATAACACGATGACATCCTTATCTGTTCTAGTAGTACATTGCTACAGTTGATTGTGTTTTTCTTCTTTGATCCTCGAATATTCGAGGTAAAAGTAATTTTTTCTTCATCCCAATCCCCAATTCCTATTAACCTTAATCAAGTTACTCTTTTCTTAATCAAGATCCTCGTCTGTTCCAAGTAAAAGAATTTACCCTTCCTCTCATTTTGTTTCGCCTACATGAACCTACCAAACCCTCACCAGCCCCAAAAAATAAAATAAAAGAAATGACATTATGCCATTATTTAACTTTTTTCTCCTTTAATTTTTTTTGCAGTCATGAATGAAACATGAGACATTATTTTTTGTAGCTCTTTTCTGGATATGTTTATCAATCTTAATGTAGCAGTCTAGTTGCCTCTTGGCTTATGGAATGATTTCTCCAACACTCTCGTCTTTGCATCTAACTTGTGAGAACCTAAAGAGAGTTGCCCCAAAGAGGTTGATTTAATTTATTTATTTTTGGTGTGCGAGACATGACAGCGTTGGGATCATTCGGTCTTGATGGTATAAATCTCGCTTGGTGTTGTAATTTAAAATGCATAGTGGATTTTATGCTTGATTTTTCTTCATTTTGAAATGATATTGAGGTCTTGATAAGGCTTAGTATTTGGCTCTGGGAATTAGTATAATAACTCGAAAAATTGGCTATGTGGAATTGCTTGACTGTTTGCTTGGGTCAGTGCAAATAAACGAGAAAATTCATTTGCTTGGCAAGTGTTTACACCATAATCAACCGAGCATATCCAGCCTCAAAACAACTAGCACCAAGGCAGACATGCCTTCTCCCTTGCCAAAGGAAGACACTCTTCCAACGTGCCAGACACCTGCCGAAGCTCCCAATTGCAGAAGCTCACATACTGCCAAACCTAATCCTCATGACACGTGTCACCACCGCAGCAACTTGCACAAAGTCCTACATCGGAAATCTACACAAACCTCCCACTTTCACTTCCCTATAAATAGGGAGCAGTACCCTAGTAAAAAAGGTAACTACTTTCTTACCTTTTACTGTTACTCTGCTAAAGTTACTACTCTTAGCTGACTTAAGCATCGGAGAGCCTTCGACCGGCACTACTTTGTCTTCTGCAGGCTCAACCCTTACAGAAGGTCCTCACCTTCTCCACTGTTGAAGACAAACCCCTTTTTCTAAGTTGACCCTCTTCGAAAAAGAGCATCAACAGTTTGGCGCCGTCTGTGGGAATTGATACTTGAATCCCATTTTTCTCTAACAGCCCAGCTGGCTCCTTCTCTTATCCAGCCTTGTTGCCTCTTCTTCACTCCACACTCAGCTATGCCTACCGAGGATAGCTACGGGACTCAGCACCATCCCCCCTATAGGGGTACCTCCCAGAGGAAACCTTCAGCAGATGCCAATCTCCAGGCAGAGCTGGAGAGCCTCTGGGCCAGTGTCACCAAGATGTCTGAGAAATATGACCATCTTCATGCCAAGAACGTTGAGCTAGAGCATGACTACCGCACGCTGAAGCGTAACTGGGAGATGAATCAGGCCCAAGGCTCACAATGCAGCCTTACCTAGGAACCTGAGCATACCTAGCCAAACCATCCAGTACCCTCTCATCACAGTGCCCCAATCTAGCCTAGGCCTAGCAAGGGTAAAGGCTCCCTCCATCTAGAAATGACCAAGTTGCGGCTCCTTCGCATCTCCTCGCCGAGGGACCGGCCCCATGAACCAGTGAAGGTCTACAAGGATTGCAAGGACCGTATCTTAGACTGTCAGCCAGACCCTATTCCTATCCCCATTAATCTCCAAGATCCAAAGGTGACACACCTAGGCCCCCCACCAAAACCAACCCACCTACCAGCCGGAGAAGGTGCAGGTGACTCGGAGAACTGAGGGCAATACTATTCAGAAGACTACAAGTCTTATCACACCGAGGCGTTCGAAGAGTGGGAACCTTCCCCATCCCCTGCTCATCCACACCTCAGGCCTTCAGCACCCGAACCCCTCCCTCATGCCGACCCGACCATGAGGCTCTTCTTCGAGAAGGTTCAGAGTCTGGAGAGCGAACAACAACGCAACCACCAACCCCTCTGGGCAAAGCCACGACCTGGGACCTTTACCGAACGCATCCTTAATTACCACCAGGAGAAGGACATCCAGCCACTCCGCATCGCCTTCTACACTGGCACGGAGGATCCTCTCACCCACATACATTCTTTCCAGTCTGCCCTAGGATGCAAGGGCCTCACTGACGAGGGCATGTGCCTTCTCTTCCCTTCCACTCTCAGTGGCACGGCCCTAAATTGGTTCTACAGGCTGAACCCCCGCACCATCACCTCATTTGACAGTCTGAAGCAGGCCAACCATTTCATGATCCAGACTGACCGCTTGTACTCTGCCGACGACCTATACATGCTTAGGCAGGGTAAGGATGAGCCACTCCGGGAGTATGCAGCATGGTTCAGCCATGAATACTCCCGCTGCCCAGAGACTGACGACTGCGCTGCCTTCGGCGCCTTCAAAAGTGGCCTCCACGAGTCCAATTTCCGGTACCTAGTCCACAACAACCCTTGGAACACATATGCTGAGCTGATGAAGCAGGCAGCAATTCACGCCAAGGTTGAGTACTTCAACTCCAAGCGTAAACCAGCCACCCCAATGCGTAATCCTTTTGCTGATCCTCCACCTGCTTCAGTACCCACCCTAGCCCCACCTCAACATTCTACTCCCGCCCCAAGTACCTAGGGTACCCCACACCCAAAAAGGAAGGATAGCTATCAGAATACCTTCAGCCATAGCAAGTGTGGCAGACATGACAACCACCACTAATCTAGTGGAAGCAACCCTCCTAGGACAAGTGATCCGATGCCACTCCCCTTCACACCCGAACCCAAGTTCGAGGTCTTCACCACCCTGAACACTACCTATGAGAATGTCTTGGTGCACGAGGCACCTATCATACCCCAGCCTCCCCCCCGGAGACTAGGCAGCAAGCCTATGCCTAACACATGTGTCTTCTGTCGCTTTCATCAGTTCGGTGGCCATGATACCGAATCTTGTGTTGCCTTGCGCAACATCATCGAAGGACTTATTCATGAGGGGAAGCTGGATAAATACGTTCACAACCTCTCACCCCCACCTAACCCTCACCAACGGCAGATCAACATGATGTCAACCATCAGTGGTGGCCCTACCATGGCTGGAACGTTCAACAACTCCATCAAGCATTATGTCCGCTCCACCTATGTGCACCAAGTCTTTAGCACTGAGCAGGGATGCCTGCCGAAGACACAAAAATCAGGCTGGGCCCCCGTTACCTTCTACGAGGAGGAGGAGCGTGGCGTTATCCTCCCTCATGATGACCCAATCATTATTCGTGTCGACATTTCTAACTTCAACGTTGGGCGCATCTTGGTAGACACTGGCAACTCAGTCAGTGTGATGTTTGCTGATGCTTTCAACGAGCTCCAGGTCCCGTCTCATTTGCTCGACCGAAGCGTCACACACCTGGTGAGCTTTTCGGGTGATGTTGCCCAGCCCATTGGGAGCATTCATCTCCCTATCTCTATTGGAGTAGCACCCCAGCGGGCAGTCACCACTCCCTTCACCATTATTGACTACCCCACAGCCTACAACGTCATCCTTGGGACCCCGGCCATGGCCCAAATGAAGGTTTTCATTTCCACACATATGTTACTGCTGAAATTCCCTAAGCCCCATGGAACAGGCATGGTGCGCATCGACCAACTTGGAGCCCGAAGCTGCTACACTTCAGCAGTCAAATCCACCAATCGCCAACACCAGGGTGAGGCCCTTGCAGTAACCCAGACCCCAACCCCTCCTCGAGTTGGCCCCGAACGACCTGAAGACCCCAAGGAGGACTCTACCACCCAACAGGCTGAACCGGTGCAAGACCTTGAGCTGGTCACTCTCCATGATGACCTCCCGAATCGGCAGGTTAGAATCGGCACCTCCCTTCCACTAGAGCTTCGCTCTGACCTCGTCACCTTCCTTCGCCTCAACTCTGAAGTCTTTGCTTGGTCTTACAACGATATGCCTGGCATATCACCTGACGTCATCTCCCATAGGCTAAGCATTAATCCTACCGTCCGACCCGTTCGGCAGAAGCGTCGTGCTTATGACCCAGAGCGGTATGAGGCCATGAAGGCGGAGGTGGATAAGCTGAGCACCATTGGATTTATCAAAGAGGTGGACTATCCCACCTGGCTAACCAATGTGGTAATGGTACGTAAACTAAGGAAGGGCTGGCGCATGTGCGTGGACTACACAAATCTCAACCGGGCCTGCCCAAAGGATAGCTTCCCCCTACCCCGCATTGACCAGCTCGTTGACGCCACAGCTGGCCACGCCCTCCTCAGCTTCATGGATGCCTACTCAGGGTACAACCAGATCTTCATGCACCCTGAGGACCAAGCCCACACCTCCTTCATCACGGATCGTGGTCTATACTGCTATAAGGTGATGCCCTTCGAGCTCAAGAATGTTGGGGCTACTTATCAGCGCCTGGTGAACAGCCTCTTCGCCCCACTGATTGGCAACACATGAAGGTTTATGTTGATGACATGCTAGTCAAAAGTCGCACTACCTACTAGCACATCCCTAACCTCTCTACCATGTTCACCATCTTGAAGGAGTATAGAATGAGGCTCAACCCCACCAAGTGTGCATTTGGGGTGGCTTTAGGCAAATTCCTTGGCTTCATGATTAGCCAGAAGCCAGAGAGGTATTGAGGCCAATCTAGAGAAGATTCGGGCTATCTTAGACATGACGACACCCAAGACCGTCAAGGACATTCAGAGCCTTACTGGGCGTGTCGCAGCCCTGACCAGATTCATCTCCAAGGCCACCGATCGCTGCGCCCCATTCTTTAAGGCACTTAAGGGTAGCAAACGAAACACTACCTGGACTGCCGAGTGTGACAAGGCCTTCAGCGAGCTTAAATAATATATGAGCCGGGCCTCTTTATTGTCAACCCTTGAGCTTGGAGACATCCTCATGATTTATCTCTCCGTCTTGGCTACGGCGGTTATCTCTTTGCTCATCCAGCCAAAGGAAAGTGTTGAGCACCCAGTGCATTATGTTAGCAAAGCGTTACAAGATGCCGAGATTCGGTACCCAGACATTGAGAAGCTGGCCTTCGCACTGGTAGTCTCGGCTAGACGCCTCCGACCAAACTTTCAAGCTCACACCATCCATGTCTTAACCAACCAACCGCTCAAGCAAGTGTTGCAGAATCCAGAGACTTCTGAGAGGTTGGTTAAATGGGCCATTGAACTTGGTGAATTTGATATCCACTACAAACCCCGCCTAGCTACAAAGGGCCAGGCCGTTGCTGACTTCATATTAGAATTCACGAATCCCCAAGCTTCGACCTCTACCCAGGTCATAACCGAACCTAGTGTTCCTTCGAGCCTACTCCACATCGCCAGCAATGGCAACGTCGACTTGACCTAGCCCTTGTGGACTTTATATGTGGATGGCTCCTCCAATGCCCAAGGTTGTGAGGCCGGCCTCGTTCTCATCTCCCCAAACAAGGTTGTCCTTGAGTATGCCCTCCGCTTCAAATTCCACGCCTCCAATAATAAGGCCGAATACGAAGCACTCATAGCTGGCCTTCGGCTAGCCAAGGAGATGGTGCCAAGCAAATCCAGATATTCAGCGACTCACAACTCGTTGTCCATCAAGTAAACCAGGACTTCACGGCCAAGGACATCTCTATGACAGCGTACCTCCAACATACTCGCCACTTGCTTGGAACTTTCGATGCTCATCTTATAAGCCAAGTACCACGCTCTGAGAATAGCCATGCTAATCCAGATCGAGTTCTTGGAGAAGATGGACCTCTTCAGGCTAGCCTCGGCCTTGGAACAGGGCATAGGTCGCAATATCCAGATCGAGTTCTTGGACCAGCCCAGCACACAGGTACCGCTCATCTGTACCATTGATCATAGCCCTACATTGATGGACCCCATCATTCAGTTCTTGCACAACCAAACACTACCTGCTGATCTTGCTGAAGCACGGCGTGTTCGATATCGCTCCACTCGATACCTAATCATCAATGGCACCCTATACAAGCGTGGCTTCAGCCTCCCCTACATTCGGTGCCTGACCCCAGAGGAAGGTACCTATGTCCTCAGGGAGATTCATGAGGGCATCTGCGGCAACCACTCAGGCACTCGCTCCCTAGCACACAAGGGCATTCGGCAGGGATACTTTGGGCCATCACTTCATACGGATGTGCATGCCTTCACCCAGAAGTGCGATAAGTGTCAGCGATTTGCCAACGTCCCACAACTTCCAGCTGAACCATTGACAACCATGGTCAGCCCTTGGCCATTTGCCCAATGGAGACTTGACCTCATTGGACCTATGCCTGAGGGAAAGGGCCAAGTCAAGTATGCAGTGGTGGCTGTAGACTACTTCACCAAGTGAGCTGAAGCTGAAGCCCTAGCCACCATCACTGCAGCTCGCATCGAAATTTTTGTTGGCAAAATATCGTATGTCGCTTCGGCATCCCCAACACCATCGTCACAGACAATGGGCGGCAATTTGACAATGCCAAGTTCAAACAATTTTGCTCCAACCTCAAGATACATCTTTGCTTCGCCTCCCCAGCCCATCCCCAATCTAATGCCAAGGTGGAAGCCATGAACAAGATCATCAAGAAAACTCTAAAGACCAAGCTTGACAAAGCTAAGGGTTGCTGGCCAGAGCTACGCCCAGAAGTTCTCTGGTCCTACCACACCACCGTCCGTACCTTAACAGGAGAAACACCATTCTCTCTTTCCTTTAGTACTGAAGTCGTGGCACCAGTAGAGATTGGCCAGCCCACATACTGAACCTCCACTTATGAGGCCGAAGCCAATGACGAGTAGCTAGCCCTGAACCTCGACTTTATTGACGAGCTTTGTCACCAATCCAACAAGCACAATATCACGTACAAACAGCATATCGCTAAGTACTACGACTCCCGAGTCAAACCCCATGCTTTCAAACTTGGGGACTGGGTCATGCGCAAGGTTTCCTTAGCCACCAAGAATCCTACTAGAGGTACCTTAGGCCCGACATAGGAAGGTCTTTATGAGGTTACCAAAGTCTGCCGACCCGGCGCGTATCAGCTTCGCGATCCTAAGGGCAAAACTTTGCCACATCCTTGGAACGCTGATCATCTCAAGTACTTCTATAAGTAAACATACCTAGACCCTAGGACATTATGTTTTCTTATACTTTGGTTTTGAGCCATAACTTTGTACCTTTTGCCCTTCGGCACCTACTTAATGAAACACCTGACTCTGACTACTTCTCATCAATCACATGATTATCATTTTGCTTGCACAATTGATATCAAATGACAACAAGTCTAATATCATAGCAAATCAAAATAACCTTGCCCCAGGCAAGGCAAAATGTTCATACATAACATAAATAAACACTAAGTGTTTTAAATAAATAAACTGCAGTACATAAAGAAGGCAACGCCTTCAAGACTTGGTGGAAGGGGTATCCATAGTGGCTGGCTCTGGCTTTGGAGTGGCATCGGTGCTAGGACTAGGTGAAGGAGGCTCGCCACTCGTATCAAAGTTAATCTCCACCGAAGGGTTGAACCTCGCCAACCTCTGCTCCCAACGCAGCTCCTCTGCTCCAAACACGTCCCACCATCTGATCCATGATGTAACTCCGCAGCTTCTCTGAAGCTCGAAACGACTCGATTGCTTCGGATCAGGCAGCAGCTATCTCTTTGGCCTTCTTCTGCTCCACTTCGGCCCAGGCAGCAGCCACCTTCTCGGCCCTCAACCGCTTCAGCTCCTCCACCTCTCTGGCCAGCACCGCCTTCTACAACAGCATGGCGTTCTTCTCCCGGATGGCATCCTGCGCCTCCGCTATCTTGTCCTTGGCCATCTCGTTGCGCCTCTTCAACCTCTGGATCTCCTTATCTGCCTTGGCCATGTTCACGTACATCTCGCCATAGGCCTGCAACACAAGGCATCATCAGTCAAAGACAAACTAGAATGATAATAACCAATTCATAAAGCAAGACAACTTACATAGGCATGGGTAAGAAACGTCTTCTGGGCCCGATCTGCATATGAAGTGGCCGGCGTCCTTGCCAGAACCTCTGGGTCACACTTCATGCCTTCCAGGAAGACGTTCACCAGGGGGACCTCCTGCCGATGCACGGCCAAGTTCACCTTCTTCTTCTGCCGACGCAGCCTGAAGAGGTCCATCTTCTCCACCCCTTCGACATAAACATCCTCCATACTGAAAGGGAGCTTTGGCGGCGCCTACAGGTCAAAGGGAGGAAGCCTCAACCCTGTTCCCATCGCACTCCGATGAGCTTCCTCCAGCGCTTTCTTCTTTCCCAACACATCGGCAACCAAACCTTCTTCATCATTTCTAGGACGCTTCCCAGTCGCTTGCTTGGCCACCCCCTTCCCAGCCATCTGCGCCCGAGACTCCTTAAGCCGTTTCTGCATCTCGGCGTCATCCAGGTCCACAGCCAGTTTCGTGCTTCCCTTTATGATACCTGCGACTGCACATCAAACGCTAAGTTAGTCACAACTACAAAAAGGAAATCGGAAGGCAAACAACAAAGGTGACCCAAGTACTTACTCCCTTGCAAAAGGCCGGACTCAAACAAATTCTTCTGGGTGACTAGGTTTTTGCACTCGCGCTCGGTTTCTGACAACAGTGATCTCACCTTCTCAACTTCCTCTTCTTGCTCCTTGGAGATCAGCCCCCACTTCACTGAATCTGCACCAAAGGTTAGATACAACTTAGCCATTTACACTTACACAAGCAAAAATAGGGACCCAAGAGTCCAAACCAGTACAAACACTACAAAACAATAATCAGTCTTAAAGGAGGAGGCTAAGGACCTATAGACTGGAAGTGGGTTAAAACGTATCTGGAGACGGTCTTCCTTGGCGGATACTCCAAATTACCATAAGCCAGACACCACCTGTTTCTCCAAGACTTCTGAGTAGAAGGCTTGTGACTAATGAAGTAACCCCTCTCCTTTGCCTTTCGGCAATTGGCTTGTACCGAGCCAAAACTTCCCTGTTGCTTAGAGATCGAGTAGAGATACATAAAATACTCAAATGTTGGCTCCCCCAACCCAACCAACCACCAAGCTATATACACCCCATGAAGAAGAAGCCAAAAGTTGGGATTAAATTGCCCCGGCGCATACCCCAACTTGGCCAACATCATCTGCACCCAAGGATGCAACGGTAGTCTGAAGCCATGCTGATACATATCCGTAAAAATCATCATTGAACCCTCCGGAGGGTATCTGACCACATCAGCTACGATGGGTAACCTCAAACTTACATAGGGTGGAACACTACAATTTGTCCGAAGCTCAGCCAACTTTACTTCTATAAGAATATTCCACCTACCCAAAGGGACACCAACCCGGATGTCCACCCCCTCTGAAGCTGAAACCACGGCTATACCCACAGACCCTGATGGTGATGCCTGGTTGCTCGAGCCCACCTCTAGTGAACGAGACATAGCTAGAACCCGATTCGCTACGGCCTCTAACACTTTATAATTCCTTTGCATCTCATTATATGACTCTGACCCAGAGTTTACTGGTGGCTCACTCCTCTCACTCTTATGAACTACCATCCTAGCTTCTACAAGCCCTTACCAAACCCTCTGTCTGGGCACTCTCATCTTCAGAACAAACATATTCACTGGCCTCTTCACTCTCAGTATCATCCCCACCAAAGGCAGGGGGTTAGGACTTTCTTTATCAGAACTTTCATACATCTACAACATGCAGAAACAAGAAAAGGAACTAATGCACATGCAAGGAGGATCCAAACACAAGAACACAAAATTGGATGGCATCTACATGCTTTTTGATATGGATGCAGACATTCAACAAGTTCATACCAATGTTCAAGGTGTTCATCATGTTCATACTCATATTCAAAGTGTTCATCCTAATCTTCAACATGTTCATACCAAAAGCAGAATTTCAATTAAAAAATTCAAGGGCAATGGGGTCTAACCTTGTCTGCATCACCACGAATGAGTCGCCGGAAATGACCTTGGTCACAGCACCACCACACGGTATTCGCCGGAAATCTCTTTTTCTCCTTCTCACTTTCTGGAAATCTTTCTCCAAAATCTCCAAGTGTGATGCCTACGTCACTCCAAGTTCCTATTTATAAGATCCCAAGGGCACACAAGAAACCCTAGCACCCTTTCACTTTCCCTCCCAAATCCCTTGTACCTGCAACATTTTGAAATTCAAACTTCATATAAAAAATATAAAAAAATCTTAAAAGGGAGATTAGGGACCTTGCCGAACGGCAAGGTCCATGCGCAAAGAAAATGGGGGGCCTCAAAAGGGTTTTACCTCAACAAAGGCTACCCAGCTCCGGCATGAAATAAGGTCCCACACGAAAGGGCCCAACTCCTTCAAAACGTAAAACACCAAGTTACCTCAACAAGAAGCCCACACCGAGGTCTGTTCACGGTAGGCCCAACTCCTTGGGCCCCGGTCCCAGCTGCCCGACCTCAGGGTTACCAACCCGTGCTACAGCTCCAAATGGCCTAGCTCCTCACAACCTTGGCCAATACTCAAACCTGCTGAAGCAAGCTCATGGTCCAGCTTCAAGGCCCAGCTCCTAGTTCCAAGTTCCCACTTGCTGAACAAGAAAAACAACAAGCTTAGTCACAAGGGGCATTGCCAAACGGTAGGTTCCATGGAAAAAGCCAAATGGAGGCCTCACAAAAGTCCCAATCAACCCCTGCCAAACGGCAAGGGTTGAGCAAACATTCATATAGGCAACTCTCGAGATGTGCAGTTCTTACCGAGTCAAGCTCACCGCAACCAAGATCACGACACCAAGAACCGTGAAGCTCAGCTCCTCCTCAGATCCAAGACTTGCCCAAGCCGTGACTAAACACAGCCCGTGCTCATGAGACTACCGAGCGGCAAGAGCAGCAACATCAGTCAATTGCCTAAATCAAAAGGTGGATTCACAAAGAACTTACCTAAACACTTGCCGAAATACCCAGCTCCAAGGCACCCAGCCTCCTAAGCCCAAGTCCCACTTGTTGAAAAGCCCGAACCCTGAGTCACCACCTACAAATACGGCAAGGGAGTCTTGCAAAACGAAATTTCTGCAAGAAAGGAAACTTGCTGAATGCACATGGAGGCCCCTCGATCTCCTTAGCCCAGCTCCAGTTTAAGACCTAAGTGACCACACAAAAATCAACATTCCAAAACAAATTGGCTGGCCTTGCCGAACGGCAAGGCCCATGAGATTCAAAAGAGGGCTCACATATTTACCTACGAGGCTACCGATACTTGCCCAACTCTAGAGATGCTCTCAAACCTCCTTCTTGCCGAAGCAAACTCCAAGAAAAACTAGGACTCACAAGGACCCAGCACCCTTGCAGAACGGCAAGGGTCGTGCTGTGAGTTTGAGAGGCCTCCTGATCCCTCTCCTTCGAAAAACCGAAACAGGACCAGCTTCAAGTCCTCGCCTCCAGCTGCAGTAACCGAAGGTCCAACTCCTGGGCAAGCCTACTGATCGACAATTTGGCTGCAGAAGGAGATAATGCTCTCAGCAAGCCGGTGCTACCGAAGCTCACGAGACTACCTCCAACGAAATCTGTCAAACGGCAGGTGACTTGATAAAGGTTTTTGAAGACTCTCGAACACTCCTCCTTGTCGACCCTTTAGAGACCCAGCCTCTTTAACTTGCTGAAGCCCAGCTTTGGAACCCAGCTACCCCACTTTTTTGCCGACAGCACAATGACTCAAGCCCATATCGGCCTAGACCATTTTGACATTCATGAACCCTCCCACTTAACCTACTTGCCGAAGCCCAATGACTCAAACCCATCTTAGGCCTAGCCCCATAACCTTTCCCAACTATTGCTGAAAGCCCGTATCAGCCTAGATCATTTTTGACCCATTGCCGAACGGCAAGGGCCACGTGAAGCGTACCATGGGCTCATACAATTGGTCCCAAAAAAAAACAAAAAAACAAAAAAACAACAACACCTTTGCCGAACGGCAAGGTCCACTGACACAAGACGTGGCTCACCCAATCCTTCCCTTGCCGAAGCCTAACTCCTAGAACCCAAGGGCCCGGCTCCAACGACTTGCCGAAAGTCCAAATAACCACAAGGTACCCAGCTCCTGACAGTTCTAGTGGTTCACACAGCTTCCACCATACCTTACAAGTGTTGATACAACTTCTAGCTTGCTAACTTGGGGGACTAGGGACTGCCCTACGGCTCCCACTGAACCTGGAATGCTTGGTCATGATTACACAAAACCCATCTTAGGCCTACAAAAATGGTCTAGGCCTACTTGCCGAAGCCCAATGACTCAAACCCATCTTAGGCCTAGCCCCATAACCTTTCCCAACTATTGCTGAAAGCCCGTATCAGCCTAGACCATTTTTGACCCGTTGCCGAACGGCAAGGGCCATGTGAAGCGTACCATGGGCTCATACAATTGGTCCCAAAAACAAAAAAACAAAAAAACAACAACAACACCTTTGCCGAACGGCAAGGTCCACTGACACAAGACGTGGCTCACCCAATCCTTCCCTTGCCAAAGCCTAGCTCCTGGAACCCAAGGGCCCGGCTCCAACAACTTGCCGAAGTCCAAATAACCACAAGGTACCCAGCTCCTGACAGTTCTAGTGGTTCACACAGCTTCCACCATACCTTACAAGTGTTGATGCAACTTCTAGCTTGCTAACTTGGGGGACTAAGGACTGCCCTACGGCTCCTACTGAACCTGGAATGCTTGGTCATGATTACACAAAAACTCACAAGTTCCCAACCCAGAAGTTACTTCTTGACCGCAAACTTGAGGGACTACTGTTTACACCATAATAAATCGAGCATATCCAGCATCAAAACAACTAGCACCAAGGTAGACACGCCTTCTCCCCTACCGAAGGAAGACACTCTTCCAAGGTGCTAGACACCTGCCGAAGCTCCCGACTGCCGAAGCTCACAAACTGCCAAACCTAATCCCCATGAAACGTGTCACCACCACAGCGACTTTCACTTCCCTATAAATAGGGAACAGTACCCTAGTAAAAAGGGTAACTACTTTCTTACCTTTTACTATTACTCTGCTAAAGTTACTACTCTTAGCTGACTTAAGCATGGGAGAGCCTTCGGCCGACACCACACCGGTGTCTGAAGCTTAACGATTGCTTCTCCTACTTTGTCTTCTGCAGGCTCAACCCTTACAAAAGGTCCTCACCTTCTCCACTGCTGAAGAAAAACCTCTTTTTCTAAGTTGACCCTCTCCGAAAAAGAGCATCAACAGCATGTATTTGACAGGTAGGCATAAAGCCCTCATTGTGGCTTGAAAAGGATTGGCTGAAGAGATTAGATCTAATTTTTCAAACTAGTCTACTAAAATGTGGCCTTGGGTAGACTATGTTTTGCATACCTCCCCAACCTTTTTTGGTTTTAGGTCCTCACGTGGAGAAGAAAAGGCAGCATTTTTGGGCCTTTTGCTAGCATGACCCATTGGTGATTGGAGAGGGCTAAACGTACCCCTATCACCATATCTTTAGCAAAAACCACAAGACAATAGCAAAGAAACGCTGAAATATGCTTTGAGATTTTGCAACATTCCTTTCTAGCATCATATAACATCACATTTGAGAGAGAAAGATCTTTTCTCCCCCTTCATTTGGAGAGACAACCACATAGATTCTTCCCCGGTTTTGCTTGACTCCCTTTCTTTTTTCTTTGATTTTTTTTTAAATATTAAAAAAGTTGCTTGGCATGAGTCCTCAAGTCATCTAGATTTGCAATTGCTTGTGGAGTCGCTTTTGAGTTTTCTAGCACCTCAGTGGCACAAAAATAAAGATAATAGTCTCTTCAAATTGTGGTTTGTTGACCTACGTGGCAATTTGAAGGATAAAGTTTGCTACTTTACTAATTTGTAACCCCATAAGCCTTTTTAGTTTAATTAATTCAATGTTTGACTTTTGTTTTTCTTTTTAATCAAACACTAATAATTAATTCGATTTAATTATCATTCCAAGACAACTTTTGTTGTTCCAAATCTTAATAAATGCGTTGAAGAGTGAAGACTTCTAGATTTGGTGAGTGTGTTCGACAAGGCTATTGGAGAAGGTTTGCTGATGTGGCTCACTTATTTTAGTGTCCCAAAGCCTTTGAAGAGGATGTTGGAGATGCCCCTAATAATATTTGTTTTGATTCTTCTATATGTTGAGTAAATAGCCAAGCTAAGAACAAGAGAAGAAAAAGGTCTTATCTTTCAGTTTTATTTTCTTTCAGTTTTATATGTTGTGAGAATGATGGCCTAGTCCCCATTGAAGTCGTCATTTTATGTGGGAGCTTTTTGTTTAATGCTACAATGGGCTTCTTGGAATGTTGCCAGGGGGCTTGAGCTCTCTATCACTACTGTGTCTGAGTTTACAGCACCAGGGACCTAAACACCTCGGTAGAGTTGAAGCCTTAGTGAGTGCTTTGGTAATCTTTAATATCGCTCCTTATGAAGTTAATGAGGAGAGAATTTCATCTTGAAAGAGGAATTTGACAGAGAACAATAGTGGGACAAAACCTTAGTTCACTGCATGTATTGATGATAAGGATACAACAGCTGCTGCAAGGACGTTACTTGACGATACAAAGGAGTAGGTGCTGGACAAACGTGTAAAATAAAGTAGGTGCTGGAACAATGTAAGTTGAGTTTGAAATTTTTCTGAGGATGTGGATAATATATTATGCTTACTGTAGTGGCTTGAATGAATCAAGACATAACTTGGTTTCTCATGAAAGGCTTGTGGTGTGGGAGCTAAGTGCCCCTAAGTTTAGCATGAGTGAGAGGGATAATTTGTATTTCTTGGGTTAAGAAAGTGTATTGCATAAAAGATTTAAGAGGTGTTTAAGGCTTGAAAATGGTGTTTTGCATAGGGTTTTAAATAATGGATGAAGCTCATGACATGTTGCTTGAAGGGATGCTTAAAAGAGATAGAGTTGGAAAGGAAAAGGCTTGGAACTTGATTTGGACTGTATCTTCCAGCAACTCTAGAATTGATTTTGGCAACTTGAAAGGGTTTCTTGAAATAGATAAAGGTAATTCTAGTACTTGAATATGAGAATAATGACTTGTAGAAATGTTTGGGAGGTGTTTAGGGCTTGGAATGATGCTCTTAGAGAGAAGGAAACAAGATGAAAGAGATGGTGCTTGAGCTTGATGTTTCCAGCAGTTAGAGAATAAGCTAGCTTGCCTTGCTTTGGTTGATTTTGCTTGCTAACCCGTGGCCTTCTTTTATAGGCGATTGAGCTCCTCTTTACCCCAAAAACCTTGTTTTTTTTTCATTTGGCCAAGTCTTCTCCTTTCTTTCCTCTCAATTCCTCCAACCTAACCTTAATTAGTAAAATTACACTGAAATTAGTTGAAGCCATGGTCATTGAGACAAAACATTTTGGTGCCCCAAAGCTTTCCTTGCAGCTAGACCTTTCAAATGCTTTTTTCTTTGGAAACACTCCAACTTGCCTTTCTCTTCTCTTTTTGTGCATGAACTTATAGAGGTAAAGATAAGTAAAGTTGTTGGTCAAACAAAATGGTCGATGCTTATCTCTTCCAACAACCCAAATATCTAGGCAAACTGGATTTTAAAGGTTTCAGCTTGAATTGGGCAAGGCTAGTTCGATCTCAAACAAAGAGGTGCTGAGTTGCTCTCTCTAGCTCACCCATGCGGTTGGGTTCAAGAAAGTGGGCATAGGTTTTGGTGCTCCCAATCAATCCAAAACCTCCACCTTTTGAACCCTCAAAGGGCCTTATTAACGCTTGTGACCATCCACACACAACCCGCTTAGCAAGCCCCATGCATTTATGTGTGTTTGTGCCTAATAAATCACGGTCGTAAGAAGGGACCTCTTCTCGGCCATGGCACCTGTTCATGGACTGAAACGGCCACGTTTCGTCAGACATTTAGCCTTTTCGAAAGCATAAGAAAATACGAAGGCAGGGTCTTCTTGGCCTCACAACCACGGCATTATGGGCCGAGGCCGAGGTCCATGAAAGACCCGGCCGAAGATACTATGGTCAAATCGCCACGTGGCCTCAGGGTCCCACGCCCCATTTAATGAAGTAATGCCTCTGACCGCCACAGCAAAACCACTGGGTGCAAGAAGCATTTAATGCACGAGGGCAGAAGGGAAGTGATTGAAGTCAGGATTTGGTAACAGGAATCAGAATGGTTAGGCGCAAACATTCTCACAAACCATTCTCACAGCTTGAGGTCAGGTCACCAACCACTGGACCAGAGCATTAAATGCGTTCCCACAGCCAAGGGGGCAGAGCCCACGATCAGGGCGGTGGCCGAGATTTGCCGAGATTTATGGGGGTCACACCACCATGCTTCTCAACCCAGACCACCATGCTTCACGATCCCAAATGCTGATTTGACTACCCACTTGCCCCGATCAGACTCCACCATGCAGATATTTTTAGCCATCAGGCAGATCTTTTTTCAGCCTCGATTGGCCCTCCAGGACTCCTCCTATAAATACTAAGCTCAAGACCACGTTCAAGGGGTTCAAACACCAAACCAAAAGCCTCCCACGGAGCAACTTATATTTTCTGCAATGCACTTTCAATACCTTTACATGCTTTCCTAGGAGTAGTGGTAGATTGTAAGGAAAATCCATTCATCAATATATCATACGACCCTTGATTTTTCAAGGCGCCGGAGCATCATCCTTGTTACCGCCTCATTCACCCCATATATCATATGATCGTCGCTCTCTGAGCAACGCGCCGGAGCACCGCTTAAAATCCACCAACACCACCACTAAACGGCCTTGTAGCTCAGGCCGTGAACCTGACGGCCGAGATAAGTTCCTCTCTCGGCCACAATCGTTTGACTAGAAGTCCAACTCCGAACAGGCGCATCATTTGAACATCTTCTACCCAAACCCCATCACCATCTCAACGCACGGTAGACTGTGCTGGCACGCCCGCGCACAATCGCACCGCATCCAAAAGAAGGACGTCACGTGTTGACGCACATCCCCTCGGCCCGGAGCACCAGGCCACGAGATTTGCGACGAACCAACAATGTGGCTTAGGGCCCACTTAAGCTTGTCAGGTGATTTGGCACTGAAGGGAATCGATAGGCATTGCATGTTATTTGCGTGCTTATCCTCAAGCTACGCTGTATTGCACTGGCTTAAGGTTGTGTTAAATGATGCTTGATGAAGTAATGTGCTAAGTGAACTCAGGTATGTGAAATTGGTAAACCTTACAGGTTTGTATGTGAAATTGGTAAACTCATACCATGACCTCTCCATGTGCCAAATTATAGTCTCACTTGAAATAGTATCAAAGCTTGCAGAGGCACTTCGTAGTTGTATTTGATGGGTCTCCATGTACATTGACTACGCTTCTTTTATAGGACGATAATGCATTGGGCTTAAAATGAAAATTACCCATATTTTTTTTCGGAAATACTGATAAATATGCCATTAAGGCTAAAATCACTTCTCTAAATACCATCCTTGGCTGGACATTTTGGGAATACCAACTATAAATACATACTTATTGGACCTATCCCCTTTTGCACACTTTTGAATTTACTGTTGCTCTCCCTCTTCTTAGGTTCTTTTTCTTTTCTCTTGATAGGACCCGCCCCGAATTGCCCATTGGAATCCTTGATGAACCCTACTGCCCGTCCGACATCCACCTGATGCCGGACCCACTTTACTAAAAAACCCATTTAGCCCTAATTTAAACTTGAAGACAATTCGACTCCTACCGAAATTTCCGTAAAGTATCCTTGGTAATCAAAACATTTCTCAATTTACACTACCTGCAAACAAGCACAAGAACAAACCCAACTTCGAGCATGCACAAGGTAAAGGCACGCACAACAACTAAGACTATTTAAATGGACCACAGTCTCTCTACCTGAACTTAAAAACGAGCAGCTAAGAGCAACTAAAGATTTTGTTTGCAACCCGGGAAAAATAAAAGGTAAGAGAGTGATAGTAGCACACTATTATGGAGTGGACAACGGTGATGCCTCGACGTGGTGGTCTCGACCTCGTATGCCTAGAACCTGGGGGGCGCAAAACAGAAAATGTGAGTGGACAAAAACAAAGCATTTAACATAATTTATATTCAACATAAATAACCACTTCCATTTTAGAAAATAATGCCCAAAACACCATGCAATAGATTTCTTCAGTAAACGTAAGGAAATATCATCCAATTCTAGAAAATATTTCAATTCAGTAAAATTTTATATCATGACATACGATAAGGAAAACAATTTAATTAGTACTTCTCAAATTCTTGGAAAACATTGTAAACTTGTTAATTTAATCATTATTGTAAAACCGTAAATTCAGCACAACCAAAGTAAACCCGTTAATATAAATTTAATCATCAAAACCCAAAAATATCCAATTTCAATTCCAAACTTCATTTCAAATGTTCATACCTGTGCAGAGTACTCTCAATGCACATGCTCAAGAAACCTCAACCTGGAAATAAATCCACACACACACACACACACACACACACACACACATTTTCACCACATCATCATCATGTATTGGGGAAAAACAATCCAACATAACTAGACCATATGGCAGAATCCTCCATACTTATGTGACTAGGGACAAACAGTCCAACAGGGGGGCTATTGCTCCCTAGACAAGCACGACAGAATCCTCAATATACACGGGGCTGAAATAAGTCTTACGTGCACAGACAGCCCCGTCGAGGCCTCTATGATACACCCCGTCAAGGGTGCCAGGGTCCCGACACACCTTTGAAGAGTTACCGTGTGTCAAATGTATCCAAGTATCCATCGTATCCAAGGGGAGGTACATGTAATGGTGCAATCCATAATTTCAATTTCCAAAAATACGTTTCCAAATACATACATATATATATATAATAAACTAACACCCATAATTGCTTTATGAAAACCATAAAAAAAATCATAATCAAGAAAAATACCAAAACTAAAATAAACCCATTCGATTTCAATAATATCCAAAATACTATATTCATATACTTAGGAAATATAACAACATTTGAGAATCCCATAAGACAACGACAATAAAATCCAATACACCATATTTAAAACTCCAAAACCATATAAACCAATCCCATGTTCAAATTTCATAAACAAACCCAATATCACCAAATCCAAAATACCATAGTCCGAAACCCAAATCCATATAATTTAATAACAAAAATAATCCCTAAAAATCTCATATCACATTGTAAAAGCCGAGAATAGCCCAATAATAAAATCCCATAACCTCATTCACCCAAATAAACCAATTTCCAATCAAACCACATTTATGCAAGCAAATCTATATTTGAAAAACAATGCTCATTTAAAAACAAATGTCCATTCACAACAAGTCCAATGCGGCTCAATCGTAAGAGGGCTCTTCTTGTGGAGTACGCAAAGAATGAATACCTCGATCGACGAAAATGGTGGCCGGAGTCGTCAAAAAAAGGTCCAAAGCCGCCGACACTTTAGACATTCCTCATGTCAGACATTCCCATGCCTGTATTTGATGAGTCCTAAGTCTGGTCAGCTCAAGTCCTACAAATATTCTCTTCATTCCCCCAAATAAAGTCCCACAAACTCATCATAATTCCCAAACCCATCATAACCTCATCAAAACCATACAGACCTATTCACAGGTCCAAAGCATCAACTTCCTGAGCTCAAAACGAAATAGCTCCTTCTTCAGACTTGTTCATCTGCCTTTCTAGTAGAACATATCCAAAATATAAACACCTCAAACCCCAATTGGAGGACGAACAACTCATCTCTATCTAGTACTCTGTGTTACACATGGATTTGTCTTTGCATGCGAGTTTCTATTGCGATTTTTGTTAGATATACGCCCTAGAAGTCAATATAAAATGGATAATTCTAAGAAAATAATATATAATAATCAAAGGGGCAAGAACATTGCCTTAGATACATAACGTACATAAAGTAACAAATCAATGGATTAAGATATAAATGGAAAGTGGTCTAAATAAGTTAGATGCAAGAGACCTTTCCATTCAGGTAAATGTCGTATCCTAAAATGTTCCGGGTCATAGGATCACCAATTGGACAATGGTGACCCGCAAAGATTGGTACACATTATGTCTGCTCAATTGGGAGGATGATTAGTCTCAAGTCATTCGTGTAGAGACACTGAAACAGATGTGTAGGTGCTCCATAGAAGATGGAGTCCACTGAACGAAATCAACTCCAGAATTCTTGTATGGAAGTCTTACTCACAAGTGTCAAACAAAGAATTCTAAGTTGTGATAATGCAAATTAATCCTTAGACCCGAGACATCGCAGTTGTCTTGTGTATATGTTGTTTCTCTTTGAGAGCACTATACGGTCGCATCGAAATAATGTGACTTAAAAGTGTTCCTCGGGATTCTCAACATGTACGCATAGACAAGAATGTTTGGCCAAAGTAAGAAGAGAGAATACTCTAAAGATATGATTCGTGAATCTTTGGCCAAAGTATTGGATGGAAATTGAAATAAGAACGTTTGCAATTTCATCAAATTGAATCATATAATCTAGAGATGTCATATTAAGGATTTTGACAAAAGTTTACCATATCTCGAGAGTATGACATAATGTATTGAATTAGAGAATGATCGAATTGCATTGTAATCACAAACTAACTAGGTACTCTAAATGAATTCTTTTTAGCTTGGGCAGCCGTGACATATTGCTAGGTATCACTCATGGCTTGTGGAAGACCTGTAAGGACTAATTATAATTAGTCTTCGCCAATAGGGAGAATGTATGGTGGGATACAATTTACACTTGATTCATAGTGAATCATTCATACCCACTGCCTTGCTAATTAGAACCTATAAGATCGCACACCGAAAAGGAATTGATTGGGAAATTAAGAAGAGAATGAATGATTTTGTGACTTGGTCAAAGTCAATGTGAAAGTCAAAGGTCAAAGGTCAAACGGTTGAGCCGCAACTTGACATGGTCAACTAAGGATGACCGAGACCAACACTTGTTAGACAAGTGAGTGATTGAATTAGTCAAGTCACAAGAGTAATTAAATTGATTAGGTTAATTTAATTATTCAATTAAAGTTATGAAACTCTGATTAAAGGTTCCATATGACTTGGAAATTCAAAAGGGATTTGACCATATGGACTTAACCACATATGTGACACATTATAGGATTAATTTGTTGGACCAAGATAGCAAAAGATGACACACAAAGGGGGGGGGGGGGGGGGGGGGGGGGTACACTAGGGCTTGGGGGCAATTTTGTCACTCTTGTGACATTTTTGATCCTATAAGTGTGTAGCTATGGTATCCTATCATCCAAGGGTTTTCAAGTTGGAGAAATTGGAAGAGAGAAAACATCAAACTCTCTCTCCCTAACCCCTTGAATCTATCACATCAAGTGAGGGTGCTAGCACCACTCTTCACTTGTTGTCTACTCATTCTCTCATCCCATTCAATCCTTGGTGAAGAGCTTTGGGGAGGTGCATATCTTTGTACCTATTTGGAGAGCTACAAGGTGGAGAATCAACATAAAAAGGAGAGCCAACAACTAAGGGACCACTCCCTCTACTTGAACACTATTCTTGGTTTCAAGATTCGCTCCAAGGGTATGAACCATCTTATCTTTCTCTCAAATAGGATTTAGAGAGCCTTTGTTGCACATTTTCATAGACTTATAAAGATTGGTACCAAATGAGACTTGTATGAATCCCTAGTTGATTTAATGCTTCCGCTCTTACTTTGATTTCATATTAGATATGGCATGCTAGGTGATTTATACTCTCAAAGTTTGGTTGTAGAGTTTTTAGAAATCTCTACACAACACCCCACAATATTCCCTTCAATTTTCACCTCTATTCCTTCTCGAAAATTATTGTTGAGGTCGAGTGCTACAACATATCCAAACTTCAAGGCAATCAGAGATGTCTGTTTACCTTAAATCGTGTTCAAGGTGAGACAAGTGTTCTCTTACTTCCTGTTTGCTAGTTTCACACTAGTGTGAACTTATTCACTCTTGCATGTAGCCTTCCTCTACTCTAATGGAATATTACCCTTCATCAACGTTGTTAATATATGTCTTGGCTATAATCTACAAAATTGGAGCATCATCCAAGATGTGTAGTCATCTTAAAGCATGTTGAAGTGTCGCTTGCTCATTCCTATCTACTGTATTGATATAGGATCGAATTCTTTCTTGCATGTCAATTTCTACTAATCATTCGACAACAATTTCTTCATACGGGTTATTCCTTCGTTACAGAACTATGACATATCCAAAATTCATAGTAATTGGAGTTCTCTAACCATCTGAAACCTTGTTCAAGGTTAGTAAGTCCTCTAGTCTGCTGTTTTAATTCTACAACACCTTACTCACTCTTGCATGTCGATTTCCCTTGTCAGATGACCAAGGTTGCTTCTTGAATGTTGCTCAGTTTTCTGTGCTCTACAACATATCCAAAGGTAGTGGCCATACAACAAGCACTACAAGAAAGCAGGCCTTCTGTGACCAAATTTTACGTGACGCTGAAAATTTCATCACATTTGGCTTGTATAAGTGAGAAAATTTTGCAAGTCGTCACCTAAATGCCTTGAAAGGATCTAACAAAATTTTCGCTCCATCTTCGTCACATTATAATTTCAGTGTCGTCACAAATTACCTAGCGGGAAATCTTGGCGCTCAATTTTTTACTAAATGTGATGAATAATGCACATTTGTCACATAGCATGAAAGTGAGGATTGAAAATTTTATTGGGTGAAGATTGGCAGCGTCACTTATGGCCCAAAAGAAAAAAAATAAAAAAATAAAAACAAAACCCAACACTTCATTTAACGTAAGTCAAGTGCTTCATCGTCATCTACACTAGCCCAAGAACAAAACCAAACACTTCATCAACACTAGTTGTGCTCTCATCCACAAACCACCAGCAATGACGACCACTCCTCCTCTCCAGCAATGACGACCACTGGTCTTCCTCTCTCTCTCTCTCTCTCTCTCTCTCTCTCTCTCTCCCTCTCTCCCTTACTCCCTCTCTCCTTTACTCCCTCTTTGTCTCCCTCTTCGCGTGACCCATTGTCTCCCACATTCAATCACAAACAAATTCTCATTTCAATCTATTCCTCCGACAATAACCATAGCTAATTAAGTCCACCTTCCACTTGTAATCTCTCATCCCTTTGAGATGTGTTCTTGGTTGAAGGAGGGTGTGGCGGCGGCAAGTGTGGGCTTGGAAATGTGTTCTTGGTGGGGACAGGGCTTGGGGACCTTGAGCTCCTGACATTGAAGGCTTATAAAGTTTTTCAGAATGCTGATCTATTGTTGTATGATAGGTTGGTGTCCAATGATGTGTTGGAATTGGTTGACTCTGGTGCTAGACTTCTCTATGTGGGCAAGACTGCTGGGTACCATAGTAGAACCCAGGTAAAGCACTAATCTTTATCAGCATTTCTTGTATTAGCTAAAACAACCTTTCAAATTTTATTTTGATTTTCAATTGAGTTTCTGATATGGGTTCTCTCTTACTATAAATTTGAAATCTTTAGGCAATTTGGTGAATTGGGCATTTGGGTTTGTGTTAATTTGTATCTGGGTTAGAGAAGTGAATTGGGGCTTTACTTTGGGGTCTTGGGAAATAGTTGAATCGTTTTTCCCCCTTTGAGGAGGTGATACATGAATTGCTACTGAGTTTTGCTGAAGCTGGAGCTAATGTTGTGAGACTAAAAGGAGGGGATCCACTGGTGAGTTCCTACATTGAAGTATGACAGTTTGTTACTTGTGGTATTGTGGTGTCCTGTCAAATTGTAGTGAAACGTATTTTTTGTCTTTAAGTGTTTGGTAGGAGTGGGGAGGAGATGGATTTTCTGCGACAACAAGGAATTGAAGTGAATGTTATTCCAGGTACAATGATAGATTATTCTGGTAAACACTCGTATTTAGTGGAGACTTTTTATGATAATATATGAAAGGTACTAGATAGACCAATGGCTGTACAACATGGCCATTGCTCTTGTGTTGTTTTAATTCGTGGTTTAATTTGTAATCTGAACATGGCAATGGCCACAACGTTTTCCTTTTGTATTTTGAAAATTTGACTCTTCTATGAATCCAAGCAATTTTTTTTTCAGTACTTAATACTCTTATGTCAATGACAGTGGTGTAGATTTTTGTTTATATATCCCAAGTATTCAATTTGATATATGATAATGTTGTCATATGTTCAATTGGTTGTTGCCCTGGACTCTGCATTCACCATTTTTTGAATTAATTCTTGTTGAGGCCCAAAAAAATCCAAAGCTAGGCCCAAATATATTTTCGGCCCAATACAACACCAAGCGGAAAATCATTATTCAAGCAACATGCCACGCTACAAGCTTAAGTGGGCCCAAGCCACGGGAATGCCTGGAGCTTGCTGAGCAGGTTGTGGTATGGATGGTTACGAGTATTCACAAGGCCCATTGATGGTCCAAGGAGTGGAAGTTTTGGGCTACTTGGGAGCACCAAAACTCAAGCTCATTCATTGAGTCCAAACATATGGGTAAGCATGAGAGAAAACCCAATCACCTTAAGAAAAGGCCCAAACATCTTAGAAAAAATATCCAATAGCCATAGCCCATAAAAAATCCCACATCAACCAAAGCTTCTAGCAGTCTGACGAAATCAGAGGGAACTCACAAGCCGCTGGAAACAAAACAACCCAGCCCAACACCTTATAAAATATCCAACGTCATGCATCTCTGTTAAAACCAAATCACAGCCAAATCACCAAAACCAAGCAAACCCATGTGCTGATCACCTTTTTTACCAACCACCCTTACCCATTCTTTTCTCTTCAAGCTTTGGTGAGAAAACAAGAAACAAAAGTGGGTGGCTCCTCACCCACATGGAGAAGTCCAGCTGCCTAAGGACCTTGGAACCCCAAAAAAGCTGCGTGTCTATGGGTTCAGGCTAGGGAAATTTCACCAAACAAGATAAATGGAAGAAAGTGAGGAAAATAGGGAGGGAGGCTTGACAAAATTGAGGTTTCCAGCGCCTATAAAAAGAGCCAATTCCTACCCAGCAAAAACAACTCATCTTGGTTGTTGCAAGCCTCCCAGTGACCATGAGAATTCATCGAAGGCAAGCATCCCCTTTGGACCCTTCAATTTCATGCTTTGTTCTTCCATCTTCCTCTTTTCTCTATTTCAAAACCCACATCCAGAGAGAGCAAGCATCATCTCTCATCTCTAGAACCTTTTGATTTCAATACTTGTTCTTCCATTGCTTCCCATTTTCTCTTCTGTCAAATCGCCCATGAGCTTGCTGGAAATATGCTAAAGCCACCCATGCTTTCATCTTCTACCTCCCTTTCCACAACACAGATCTAGAGAGCAAGCTTCATCTCTCAAAGCCTTTATTCCTCATAGGAAACCCAAGCCTTCTCTCTCTCATGCTAAACTCACGAATACTCAGCTCCCATGCCACAAGCTTCTCATGCAAAGCCAATAATTTATTTGTAAGCGATTGTTGGTTTCATTGGTGAAAAAGACCAAGGTGTTTCCTAAGGCTCAGCTACCCTGTCGAAGCATTCTTGGGGCCTAATTCTTGAACTCAGGCACAAGGGGCAGCTCCACCTGTTTCTCTTTTTTGGCAGCCCAAGCCCATTTGTCAGGCTGCTGGAACAAAAAGACCCCTACATAAATTGGCGACTTCGCTGGGGATTAGACAGCTATCTTCACCAATACCTCCTATCAGAAGCAATAAACTAGAGAAAATAAAGAGATAAGAACATTTCCTCTTTCTTGTTTTTTCCTTTTGTTAGCTATCTACTTTGCAGAACAAGCATAACATGGGTGACTAACATGTGCCTTTTGCTTGTTTCTTAGACCCGCATTCTCAAACAAAACCAGATCTTGTACGAGGGCTGGGGGCTTAAGCAAATCCATCATTCATGCCATTGAAGCAAACTACACATGCAAACTCCAAAATATACTTGGGGGCTTCGTGCCAAGGAAATCTGTATAATAATAAAAAGGGAGTCAAGCATAGGCATCTCAAAGTTTCTCATGCTATACCAAGCTATAATTCAGTTCCAAGAGCTGTGAACATTATTCACATCCTCATGGCAAGTCCAAGCTATATCATTCCAAGCCAAGTTACATTCTTCCAGCTCCTACTCTAGAAGCAAAGAATTTCTGGGACTAGCCTTATTTTAAATCTTCTTAGCCCCTGCCTCATTTCAAACATCATGCCACTGTATATGCTCCTCAACCCCCAAAAGCTCAATTTATCCTTGCAACAATTCAACAAACTCATCTGTCAAGCATTTGACAAATTCACAGGGCATAATACCAAGCCACATGCCAAGAAATTTCATTTCATTCAAGCATTCCAAGCAACTCAGGCATTTCAAGCAAATTGAATAACTCATGCTCTTGCAACAAAGCCATACAACATCATGCTCTCACAAAAATGTTGCTCAAGATCGTGCTCTAGCAATGCCCAGATCAGCACTCAATGCCAAGAGAAAGGACGTGCTAAATTCTCAAACAAAAGCAACATGCCAAGCAAAACTTATACACAAGCTTTCCAACCATTCTAGCTGGAACATCCCACATTTGGAAAATCACTAGAAATCAAGCTTACAACCAAAAAATCCCAAACTTTCCAGATTATAACTAGACATATCAGGCTTCATTTTCCCAAAATTTCGTTGCATTTCAAGCTAGGGAAGCATGTCAAACAGATTTCTAAAACAGCCCATGTAGCAAAACTGCGCAGCTCCAGCAGCTTAACCCTTAATTTGAAACTCCACCAAAAATTCATTTTTGCTTCAAGTGACGCAAGACCAATTCCAACATAACCATTGAGAAGTTCATTTTCATGTCTCAACAGCTCCAACTCAGATTCGAAAAGAAACATTTCAAAAGTTCAAAAAACAGCCAGCAAGCTACTTTGAGATATTTTGACAAACACTTGGCATGTATTACCCAAGTGAGCTTGTTTGGCTCTTGTTTATCACCAAACTAGAATCCTAAGCCAGAAGCTCAACCTCAAAATTCGATTTCTAGTTCACAAATTTTGTAAAATATAGAGGAACTCAAGCATTCAGGCATAGAAAACAAGCATGCAACAAAGGCATCAACATCAACTCCTGAACATTCTTCAGAAAAATGGAGGCAGAGAGCACTACAATGGGTGGATGATCCTCAATTTTGGATATGCTATAAACAACATAATTTCGAGCATATTTTGTAAAGCAAGTGCAATCATTCAAGTGTTAAAAGTTAAAGACGCATGCAGAAGCAGAATCTGCAGAACCTCACTAGCCATGGATGAATACAGAGGTTTCAAACTAGCTTTGAGGCATCACAAAAATTCAAAGAATTCAGCAAATTTTACAGGCTATAGTACTCGAGCAGATGAACAACTTTCATCAAGGAAGTTTTCTTATTCGAGTTTCCAAATATTACTTATGTACTGATGCACAATACCCACGGGTTTGGGTCTTGAAGAAGAAGAAGAAAGAAGAGAATGAGAGAAAACCAGAAGATAAATCATGCCAAGCGAAGTCACATGCTTCATACATACAAAATTTTTTGGTTTTATCAAAATTTGCTGCACTATGAAAATGATTATTGAATTATCGCAACAACTTTGGATGGCTGCATAGATTTTAACTTTTGTTGGAATTGGGCTCCACTTGTGTTCACCAATTTCAAGTCCTTGTGTGTTTAGAACTATCTAAAACTTTGGAATTCTTATTAGTTTGTTAATAATAGGTTGATAGTTTTACTGATTTTCTATTAATTGTTCTTTTGTTTATTTTTGTGTCTAGCCACAGTCAATATCCTTGGAAGAAAAAGTAGACCACTAATTGACAGTACATAAAGACCTTGTTCAAAGGCTTTTTTCTTGTAGTGAGTTAACTTTTTAGATGGTTTAAGATGTATTTGAATTATTTGTCTATATGGTTTCATGATTTTTTCTGTGTAAATGAAAGAAAAATGGATTTGTTGTGTAAGCACATCTTTTTGTTATATGGAGGCCATATTTTCTGCCTATATTACCACATGAAAGATTCTTTTGTAGCTTTTTATGCTTTGTATGTACACCTTCATTTTTAGGAGTGTGATTTTTATTTTTTCATGCTTCTTGACATTTAATCATTTGATAGATTCTATTTTTTATCCTTTTATTTTCCTCACCATGGTCAGTTCTTAGACATCAAACATTAATTTTGTTTGTCTTCTCACTTTAATGTTAACAGTGTTGTATTATGTTTTATATTTTCTGGCAGTGTGTTAACTTCCCAGCCATAAATAAGGATGTTCTTCCCCAATGTAATTCGGCCTTTTAGCTCTCTGTTAAACAACTTGATGTTCTTCCCCAATGGTAATTTGCCCTTTTATATCTTCTATATCCATTTTTATGACCATTTTTCTTTTTTATGATAGTTGAACCAAAAAGATCCATTCTTTTTGGTTGTCGTTGAGGATCGTTTGCAATTTGGTTAAACTCTTTTTCATCTTGGGACAACATTACTTTCAGTTGTAGAAAAATTACATTGTAGTTATAAGAGGAAAAAAAACATGTAGTTGAGACTATTGTATATCAAACGACGTAATTATTTTGATGTAATGGAATGAAATTTGAGTTCAATTTACTTGTGAAACTTTGGGGATCTTGAATGTATTATTTTGCTATATTATACAAGAAAATAATATAATGGGGAATGGTAGTAATCGAGTTGAATTGAATTGAATTGAATGCTGGTCAGATTATATGTGAGACGTACACAGTCACAATTTTCATAAATATATGAGGAACAACTCCCCACAATTTTCATAAATATGTGAGGAACAACTCCCCACTAACGCTTGTGAAATGTGACCATTGCGGCTTGTCACCGATAGCTACAATAAGTGATGAAAGATGCCTCGTGCAAAGGTACTATATGTGACAAAACATTCGTCACATATAGAAACAGTATGTGACGAATTGTCACGTCAAACAATCTGTGACGGGGTATAGGTGTCAAACTTTGTGACGCCGAAAATGCGTCCCATATTGTCAACTGTGACGAATTTACATGTTTAAGTAACGACTACTCGTCTTCACAGAAGGCCTATTTTCTTGTAGTGAAGATTAGGCCTCTCGGACGTAGTATAACTTAAACAAGCTCCTCTCTTGTCATCAAGTGTTGTTTGGTGATTTTATTCCTTGGGGGCCTTCTGTGTGCATTGCAGAAAGATTCAGAGGATTGAGGAGGTAGTTTAAGTTGGTTCAATTGTTGGAAAAATCTGTTCTAAAGTTGTATTCATGGAATTCAATGGATTCTTGAGTTTAACGCTAAGTTAAGTGCAATTCGGAAAAACTAGTGAGGACTATTTGAGTTTGAATGTTTAACTTGGCTTTGAAACTAAACTTGGCAAAAGTAAATTATGGATTTTAGCCTAGGCTTTTACTGTTTTGGCACCAGGGACCAATCTATAAAGGAAGTTATAGTGTTGGGCAGATTTTTGGGGTAAACTTTGTAATTCAAAAGTTAATGGGACATAAGTGTAATTATGGTTTAATTAAGGACCTAAGTGATTTTACAAAAGTCTTGAGGTCTAAGAAATGATAAAAGAAAATTAAAGGACAAATTGTGGAAACTTTGTTACTATACAGGGATGCTATAGTAACATGTGTTTATATTGTTCCACTAGGAACTTCCCATTCGCAGAACACACACTATTGAGTCCCGAGAACTAGAGTTTGATCTTTAAAGTTCGGAGTTGGGTTTGATTACCAAGTTAATCTTAGTGTTCTCTCAATATGTTTTCAAGCGCAAAGAATCGCTTCGGATGAAATCGCAGAGAGTTAATTGTGCTTTGAACCGTGAGTGAGTGGATATTTGTTTTATAAATGATTTTTCCTGCTATGATGGTTTTATGAAATGTTTATGAATGAATTATTTATGGCGTTTACTTTCTGAGCATTCAGTTTTGGTTGAAAATGAATTATATATGTTTTAATTGTGGTTTAGTATTTGAGGTTGATATTAAATGTTTAGAAATGATTTAATTGTGGTTTAATGTTTCGAATTTAGTTTCAGAAAGGATTTGGGAAAGAGTTTTGGAAAAGGGATTTGTGAAAAGGAAGGAGTTTTTATGTTTAACTTTAGAGAAGTGGATTTCAAACTCACTGCAGGTACCTTCAGTAAAGTTCGTGCATATGACCAAAATTGCTTGTACCTACATAGAGAGTACTTTGTAGGTGTCCAACCAGAGTATATCGCCTGTACCTGTGTTGACTAAGCAGGTGTCTGGCCAGTAGTTTGCCTATACCTACAGTAAGGTTCTTTTGTAGGTGTTTGGCCAGTGAATTTCTTGTACCTGCTTATGTGGGTGTCTCGCCAGGATTTTTCCCTTGCCTCCCTACCGATATACGACACAGGGTTGGCCAATTTTCCCCATAGGTATAATTGGGTGGAGAGTTTTTGTATGAATTGGATTGAGACTGGATTTCGATTGAATTGTATTTTGAGACTGCTTGATTTATTGTATTCAAATAATGGTTTGAAAGTTGATTTTTGTTGAATTATATTTTGAGTTTACTTGATGTATTGGATTTAAATGTTGCTTGAAGTACAAGATTTGGGTCAATGGTATTTTACTTACCAGTTAATTCTGAGTTTATTTTACCTACATATGTATTGATTATATTTTGTTCCCATACGTATACTTGCATGTGTTTTAGTGAGTTTTCCAAAGGTTTGCAAAAATAGAGGGGTTAGAATGTTTTGTATAATTAGTTTCAAGAAAAACTTTCTTTTTTCCACTCACGCTTTTACAGTTTTGCACCCTCAGGAAGTAGATAGCTCAGAGTTCGGATGACACGTAAGCTACTCCGGCATTGGTGAAGGTCCTTGTAGTTCTACCTAGTAGGAAACTTCATTTTCCATTTTCGTTGTTTATTTGGGAACTAACTTTGTAAATTTAACTCAAGTAGTTGCTATGATATTTCCCACTTAGGACTGAATCTGAGGCCAAAGGCCATGTGAAATTTGTGTGTGTTGCCAGTTGGGATTATTAGATTGTTGTTGTTCTAGGTGTTAATTTGGGAAAAGTTCATTTTACAGGGGAGACTCTGTCAAAATTTTGGTAAAAGTCTCAACCCATTTTTCTTAAAGTACACGTGAGAGGTGTAAAGTTAGCAGTGGGTCTGGGATCGTTCGAGTGCCGGAATATGTAATAGGATTCGACACTAGTTCCGAGGGGGAATTCGGGTCGAGTTTTGTCACCAACAAAGAAAAGAAAAGGGAGATTAAACAGGCCACTATAATCTCCTAAATCTCAACTAGCCTCCCACCAGCGAAAGACAATCCCGTGATCGACTTCCAAAAGAAAAACTTAATCGGCCTTGATATGCCGCACAACAACGCCCTTGTCATCAACATTCAAATCGCCCAGGGCATGGCCTACCGAATCCACTCAAACGAGGGCAGTGCAGCCAACATCCTACAATTGGTGGTCATCTAACAGATGGGTCTGGAGACAAAGATCAACAAATCGGACAGGTCACTGACCGGCTTAAATAGGGTGACAACAGTTACTGTAGACAGAATAGACCTCGACGTCTACTCTCCAATTGTAATCAACTCGCAAACCTTCTGGGTCATTGACAAAGTATCCCCCTACAATGGCATCCTGGGCAGACAATGGGTTGGCAAGATCAAAGCCATCACATCTGCCACACATCAGAAAATCCGACGCCTAATCCTTGGGGGCGGAATCGGCCAAATCAACAATGATTAGGGAATAGCGATAAAATGCTCAATTCAAGAGCTGAAGAAAAGCAAGCAAACACAATTCCTCCCTGTGAATCAAGTAAATCTGAAGGGAGCAGATCAAACTAAGGAGAAAGCAGATCCCATTCTTGACAGTCAAGCAGATCTGAAGGGCTCTTATGAAGAAGGATGGAAGCGCGAAAAGGATGTCGAGCTAATACCCCTTCATCCTGACAAGCTAGAGAGAAAAGTGCAGATCGGCTCACGCCTAAGCCTAGAGGAGAAGGCAGAGCGTGCAACCCTCCTCCAAGAAAACAAACACGTATTCGCATGGACGCCATTTGACATGCTAGGCATCGATGCCCAGATCACCTGTCATTGCCTTCACATCAACCCAATCATCAAACCAGTAGCACAGAAGAGATGCAACTTTGCTCTCGAGCAAGTTGCCATCATTGAGGCTGAGATCAACAAGCTCCTAGCTACCGGTTTCATTGAAGAAGTCTCCCACACAGAATGGCTCGTTGTTTTAGTAGCAAAAAAAGATAAGTGCCTGTGGAGAGTTTGTGTTGACTACACCGACCTCAACAAGGCATGCCCTAAAACCAACTTTCCATTACCAATAATTGATTAGCTAGTAAATTCAACTTCCAAATATCAACTGCTAAGCTTCATGGACGCCTACTCCAGCTATTGCTACAAAGTCATGCTCTTCAGGCTAAAGAACGCCGAAGCAACCTACCAAAGGCTGGTGAACAAAATTTTCAAGGAGCAAATCAGCAAGACTATGGTGGTCTACGTAGACAACATGCTAGTCAAAGCTCCCCAACGAGCAGACCACATCAAGAATCTTGCCGAAGCATTTAGCCTACTTCGAAAATACAACATGAAGTTGAATCCGAGCAAATGCTCATTTGGAATCTCATCCGGCCGATTCTTGGGATATTTAGTGACCCTAAGAGGCATCGAGGCACAATCAAATCAAATCAAGGTCATCATCAATGTCAAGCCACCTGCTACAACAAAGGAGATACAAAGTCTAACGGGTAGAGCAGTAGCTCTCAACCCATTCCCCTTGAGATCTACTAACAAGTGCAGGGCATTCTTCAAAGTCTTGAAGAAAGGACAAAAAGACAAAAGGGACGAAGAGTGCGAAGTAGCTTTTGAAAACTTGAAGACATACCTCCCTTCGCCTCCCCTGCTATCAAAACCAATACCATGCAAAGATTTGGTCATCTACCTGGCAGTGTCCAACTCAACAGTCAGCTCAGCTGTTATCCGAGAAGAGCTGGAGGCACAACATCCTTTATTCTACATATCAAAAGCTCTCCTCGACGTAAAGACTCGCTATCCAAAAAAGGAGAGGCTCATTTTATCTCTTGTAGTTTCCTTGAGAAAATTAAGGCCCTACTATCAATCTCGACGTAAAGACTCGCTATCCAATAATCATCCTAACAAAATTTCCTTTGAGATCGATCTTTCATAGCCTGGACGCTTCTCAATGACTAAATAAATGGGCTACTGAACTCAGTCAATACGACGTCCTCTACCGGCCAAAGACTACTATAAAAGCCTAGGCTTTAGCAAATTTCGTCGTAAAGTTCACTTTGACAGCCAAAGAAGAGAGGTGGTCACAAAAAACAAGGAAAAAGTATACGATACCTCCCCCGCCAATCCAAACCTGCCCAATGACATGTGGCAGTTGCGCATAGACGGAGCATTAAATGACAAGGGAGCTAGGGTAGGCATAGTCATAGGCATCCCAGACGGAACTTTATGCGAACAAGTTGTCACACTGGGCTTTCCAGCGTCAAACAACGAAGCAGAATAAGAGGCATTACTCGTCGGATTGTTCCTGGTAAAAGAACTGTCAATCAAAAGATTAGCCATCTACTCAAACTCCCAGTTTATCACAAATCAAACTTTAGGATAGTACATGGCAAAACATGGAAGAATGATCCAGTACCTCGGACAAAGTCCAAACGTTTTTCAAGGGGTTCCCCACTTACACTATCCAATAGGGTCCTCGGGCAAAAAACACTCATGTTGATGCATTGGCAAACCTAAAATTAGCATTGGACACTCAATTCAGATGCTCCATCCCGGTCGAATACCTTAACCGACCCAGCATCGAAGAGATTGAGCAGATTAACTCAACGCAAATTAATGAGGACCCTAGCTGGCAAGACCCCATCATCGACTACCTGGCAAATAGAAATCTGTCCAAAGATAATCTGAAGCTAGGAAGATCTAGCAGAAGGCCGCAAGGTAACAAGCTCATTCCCATATCATACTTCAACCCTCGTCTCACATGCATAAAGTATCCTCAAACACTTGACGTGATCTGCAAGATTCACGACGGCGAGTGTGGCGACCACTCTGGGGGCAGGTTGTTAGCCCATAAGACTTTAAATGTAGGCTATTTTTGGCGATCATAGCCACTAACTACTTTACAAAATGGATCGAGACTGAAACTATATCCTCTACTAAAGAAGCAAACATGGAATGATTTGTATGGAAAAACATTATCTACCGGTTTAGCTGTCCACAATCACTGGCTACCGACAATGGCTCACAAGTTATCGGCAAGCAGCCTTCTCTACAAAATATGGCATCAAGCAGCACATGTCTACCCCAAGGTATTTGCAGGGCAATGGCCAGGCTAAGGCATCTAACAAAATTATACTGGATTGCCTAAATAAGAGACTAGAACGCACTGAAGGGAAATGGGTAGATGAGCTCCTTGGAGTACTATGGTCACCATTTAGTTGGCTAAAGTCTTATAGTTGACGAAACCTTTGGCGACCAAGTTGCATAATTTTGTCTCCCATAAGCTTCTTTGGTGACCAAAACTTGGTTGGTCGCAAAAAAGGTTTTTTCTTGTAGTGTACCAAACAGAGATCAACCGGCGAAACCTCATTCTCCCTCGGCTATGGAACTAAAGCAATCATTCCTCCACACATTAATGTCCCCTTCGTAAGCGTTGAAGTGGGCAGTATTGATCAAAACTCCGAGTAGATAAGATCAACCTTGACTTACTTGAAGGAGAGCGCGAGAAGGCCATTATCTGAGTCGCCTCTTATTAGCAACAGTTGAAGTCTTACTATGACAAAAGGGTCATGGTCAGACAGTTTCAGCCAGGCGACTTTGTGCTAAGGAAGACCTTCATTATTGCACAAAGACAAGGGTCCAAAAAGATGAAACCCAATTGGGAAGGCCTTTACATGATCAGCAGTTTGGGGGTAGAGGAAGCTATACACTTGACCCTATAGAAGGGAAGGAAATTTCAAGGCAGTGGAATGCCCACCACCTCCAAAGATATTACCTATAAGACTTCCTCCTACCGGCTCAGCCCCTAGCAAACAACTAACCCTTGCCTACTTCCGAAGGAGAAAAATAGCTATTGGAGATTCCAAGTTATTTATCTAGTTATTTCGAATAAAGCAATGTAATCATGCAAGTATCAATGCAATATTCAGCTTCTCATTCAAAAGAAGTGTGCAGCTCTCCACAAAGTATCCTGCAAAGCAGATCACTCAGACCATCACCCATAAGTTATGCCTTCAAAGAGACGCAGGGAGAAAATTATGAAGTATCCTGAAGAGAGAGCAAAAGAGCGAGCTTCAAGTAGGCGGTAGATGAACATTCAAACATTCTAAGAAGAAAGACACAGCCAAGATACTAGCCGGTCACTCGAGCAGTTCACAAGACAAGATGAAAAAATAACTGAAATTTCCATAGAAAAGTAACCAACCGGCCAAGTTCAACAGGAAGAAGATAGTCAAACAAGACCAATTATTCTAAACAAGAAAGCAAACTATAAAAGCTTAAAAAGATGAGAGAGTCTTCATCTACTCCAAGACTCCAGCAGGGGACATCTGGTCTACGACTTCTTCCGCATCCACCTGACTAGCGACACCTTCAGTAGCTCCAGCAGTCTACTCCATGACATCTGCCACCATCTCATCAACCATACCCTCCTCTGCTCCATCCTCTTCAACTACCGCCTCGTCGACTGCCTACTCTTCATCTCCTTTCATGTCCACAACATTGACCTGTGCACGTTGAACAAGGAGCAAGTTAGGGCATAGTGTCTCGATGTCTTCACCTCCAATGGCGTAGTAAGGAGCAATCCCATTTGTGCTGTCCAAGTTGAAGGAAACATGCATCTAATGCTTAGGAAATGAACTTTAGCCACAACCTATACAACAAAAACATTTTAAATGGCCTATTCATTTTGTTTATACTAGTTGAGCTAAACCTTTTTCATTTTAAATCAAGTATCTTAGCCTAGTCTCTTTGAACACAAATAGAAAAGGGAAAAGAGAATAGATTTTTACCCTTGATAACCTTTTCTTGATTTCTCAAGAATGAACACCTTTGTTGGAAAGGCCTTCTGTTTCTCTTGATTTTGGCTCTTTCACCTTAAGGCTCCAAGATTAGAGTCCTCTACCTCACCACACCAAATGCTCCAAGAGATGAAGAGAAGGAAATCAAGAAGTATGAAGGTTAGTCTACTTCTTGATTAGACCAATTTTTGGTTTATGGAAGATGAGATACAAAGATGATTATTCATCAACCAAAGTAGGAAACCAAAAACCCTAGCTAGGTTTTCTCCAACACTTAACTTATATAGGACAACACAAAAGGCAATTGGGTGGGTATTTAGGGCCCGATTTGGTTCATAGGTCATGTCATCTTATGTCACTTATCCCTTGGGCCCAATAGCCTTTTGGGCTATTTTGTCCATTTCCTTTTAAATCATATTTAAAAGCCCAATCCAATATTTCTATATGTCAATATTAATTTCATAATTAATCTTTTAATTACAATTTAACTATTAAATTATAATTATAGTCTTACTTAATTGACTCGGTCGAACTATTTGACTTTGGTCAATTGCTTCGATCAACATGTTGACTTTGACATTTGATTATCAACAATTGACTTGTGTCTCTTCATTTCATTTCTCCTCATTTGTACATCTAATCACATTTTTTGGGTGTGGAGATCCGTAGGTTCCATTTAGCAAGATAGTGGGTTGACTCAACTTCTCAGAGATGATATACGAATTTAATTCCACAATTTAATTCTTCCTATTAATAAAGGTTAATTGAAACCTCTGCGTAGAGGTTTGACCAATCATATCTTGGAGTTATTCTCTCTCCTTTATTAAGAGTAGACATTCTTCGTTGTACATTCATTTGCTTCCATGGCTCTATTGAGAATCCTTATGAGCACCCTTAAGCTATGCCTAATTCAGCTTAACCGTATAGTGCCCTCAAAGATTAAGAATATAGCCACAAAACATCTATGATCCCTCAAGTATAAGGATTAGTTTGCACCACTGCAATTTATGAATTCCAGCTTGACATGTGAGTAAAGACTTCAATGCTGTAACTCACGTGTTGGATCACGTTCAGTGTACTTGTTCTTCTACATGCACCTATACACATATCGATATTTCTCCACACTTAATGACTTGAGACCTTGCCATTCCCTACATATAGAGACGATACTGTGTGTATTGGTCTATGCGGAATATTGATGCCCAATCAATATTCCTATGACCAAGAACATATTCAGGATTTAGGGATGATGAGAAGTCCCCATGTATGCAATCTCATTACATAGCTCTCATATCCACCTGTGTATTCCTAGGACTATGGTTGTTCTACATATTGAAAGATAATATAGGATGATTTAATGTATAAAACAACATTTCTTGTCGATTGATAACATAATATGACTGAGACTGTCAAACAAATTGTTTCTACACATAAGGACTTGAGCATACTTCTTGTAGTGTCTCACTTCAAAGAAGTAGAAGAACTCTCACACCATCAGGTCCAAAACACATGATCACCCGGTAGACGTTCGGAGTACACTGACTTGGACCACACTCCATAGCACAGAACACCTCCCTAAAGAACTTCGACAGTGGGAACGTGAAGCCCAAGGAGAAATAAAAAGGGCCAAAGGTGATGATTCTGGCACCTGGGTCATTCGCATCTACATAAGGCGCATTGTCAGTGGAAGACTCCACCAGTTTGACATGCACATCATCAGGAATGGCAGAAGCATATGTGGCCCACCACTTCTGGAATTGAGTTTTTAGACGTAACACGGTGCACATTAGCCACGAACCTCTTCTTGTGCACTTTGGAGCCTCCCCACAAATACAAAGGCACTTGAGAGCTTGGTGATCGACTACCATCCTTGAAAGACATGATCAATGAACAACTGCAAGACAAAAAGAAATTTTTGCTAGTCAGAACACAAGAAAAAAAAAAAAAAAAAAAAAAAAAAGAGAGAGGAAGGAGAAAAAAGGCCAAGTCGTGAGCTTGCAGCCCAACCCACGGGAACCAGCCAGCGATAGGCCCACTGCACTCGACATCCTAGGCCCGTCAACACCACCAGCCCACTCTAGACCGAGCTTGTAAAAAAAAAGAAAAAAAAAAGGGACACATGCGACCCAAACCGCAATGTGGCCCAAGCCTCTCCTCTGCGCATGCTGATTGTAGCTCATACTACCAGGCCTATTGGCCCAGCTCCGATAAGAAGGCAGAAGTGGCAGCGACGGCAACTTCCAGCCACCTCCATTGGCACCCTGACGTCGCACCAATAGCCTCCACCTCCGTTCACTACTCTGCCAACCAGTCATAGCCGTAGCAGGAAGGGAAGAAAATAAATATAAAAAAATGGAGGAAGCCACGACAGCAACCTCCACAGCAGCCACCGCCACCTCCGACTCCAATGTTGCTAGCCATAACAAAGACCAGCCAACTGCCCAGCTAGTCCTCGCCGCGGAAAAGAATAGACGAAGAAAACAAAATACATGCTCAACTTACCTTGGGATGCACGACAACTTTTCTCTTTGACAAGTGACACGAACTTTCTGAAATTTCTCTCAAGCTAGAAAGTAGACAAATTTGTGATGTGGAGAAAAGCAAAGATAAGTCCTATATTTATACAAGTTGGACATCCTAAGTCAAGGAGGAATCACAAGCTTGTTCCTACTGGGAGCCCAACTCCAAAGAAAGTCAAAAGCCCACTCAATTTGGAACCCAATATGCAAATGGAGTTCAACTCATTGAGGAAAGCCCAGACACAGTTAGAGAGCCCGAAAAATAATTTCATCTCCTACATGTCAATGCAGAAGCTAGGGTGCATTTGTGAGAGCAAATATTTTAGCCTCCAATTAAGAGACGCCACGTGGACAAGAAGAATATCTCCTAGGTCAAATTAATTACATCATTTATTTGGCAAGATAATTAACACCAAAAATAGGGATATTATCTTTATTTAAAGAGATAATATCACTAATTAAGATATTATCCTTATTTGGAGATATCATCATCAAATTAGGAGATTTGATCCCAATCAAATCCCTAATGGACTCAATCTCTGCAATTTGGGGAAAGAATAAACTCCTTCCTAATAAGAGTTTTATTCTTTGCAACACCCTAGCATGCAAGGATCCTATAAATGCACGGCTTCACTCAACACACAAGGTACTTCTAAAACTTGAGAAAATACCCGAAACTCTCCATCTCTCTTTCTCCCTAGCTGCCGCAACGCCACCACCACAGCCGACCACACCACTCTCCTCTCTCCATATTTTACATACATGACTCCAGTTACCACACACAGCTTCGGCTGCCCGATTCACACCATACATACATCTCCGTACGCTTTTTTAGCTATTGTTTCTCTTAGATTTAATTGAACTAACTTAGGCATCGGACGGCCTTTGGCCAACACCCCCTAGGTGTGGTCTATTTACTCCGGTATTTTTTAAGGAACCGAAGAAGCGAGAGAAGGAAGATCAAAGGTTGAAGAATCCCTAAGTGAATATTCTCCCCCGCGAGGATTTTTGCCCAAACAATGTTCCTGTTGTAAAATCCCTTCTCTTCCCTAGAGCTGTTGCAAATGGACTTGTAAGGAACATGATTGTTACAACCTAGAATAATGTATTAGACATTTATAACTTGACCAATGCAAAGGAAGCCCTTGCAGTTACTGACCTCTAAAGCTTAAAGGTTCTATTTCTCAACAAATACTTTCCCTTTTCTATTGTTTTAAAGGATACTCAATTTTATCTGGAGGAAGCCTACAATTTCTTGTTCATTTGGTATTCCTCTCTTACTAAATATTTTCTATTTCTATGCTTCTAAACTCAATCTCCAACCTATGAGTGTGACTACTTTAGGAAGCAAAATTTTCGTTGTCCAATTGGATTGTAACTAGTTAATGACTGTGAGAGGAAGCTGTTTTAATTTAGCAAAATCATATGATTGACTAATTATTTTTTACTCATTTCAATGTTGTTAAAGGAGTGAACACTCTCTTAATTGGATATTTAAAGCGTAGAATCCCTAAAGTACCTGAAATTTCATCTTCTCTGTATTTTACCTAGATTGAGTAGTAGATGTGTCCTAGAGTTTAATATCAGTACTAGCAAGTCATTAGGCTTTAAATTCTCACAAAATGAAGTAGAATCTCATCTCTGTTTCTTTGATTAATTCACCAGTTTTTAGCAGGAAGCTACTTTGTTGTGGTTGGAGCCATTGTTGGTCTTCTACAACAAGGGAGGATGAGCATGTTTGGGACACTTCTAGTGTTTTGGGGCTTCATTAAAGAAAAGATCCTCAGAAAGCATGTGAACATAGATCCTGCAAAAACTGTGTTTGCTTACCCAACTATATGCTAATTGTTGTAATCTCTGCTTTCTCATTGTAAAGTATGATGTGAAGAATGTTGTTAAAAGTGCACCTGCTAGCCCCATTGCAAAGCCTCTTCAGACGTCTTTCAAAATCTAAGCTGAAATGAGTTGAAATATGTAATTCGCCAACTTTTTAATCAACTTTTGACAGTTAATGAGTTTAAAGTGCATGTTTATAATAATTTCCAGCCTTAATTCCCAAGTCTGCATCTTCTTTTCCTGGGTCGAAATACCCTTCTTCTTCTTTCACGTGTTTGTGCTTGGCTTTCTTGAGAGGTTTTTAGACCCAGTTATAAGAAGGTTGGTTTTTGGCTCTCTTTCTCTCTAAATTTTTGGTACCTTTTGCTTGCTTTGCAACATGTCTGGAGAAGAAGATGAAGTCAACTTGATAGTCCAACTTCAAAAAAAGGTTATAGGACAACAATAATTCTTATATATAAAAAGTCCATAACAACATAATAAATAAGCACTATGTAGAGCCAATATATGAGTAATACAACTACAAAGAAAAATAAGCGCTATACAGAGCCAATATAATGTCACTGGCATAAAAACTAAAAAGTTGACTCATACTTTGATAGCTGAAAACTCTTGGATGTCAAGTTATTTTTTAAGGAAGTCACGTCCTTTTTTAAGGAAAACACATTACATACATTTGACGATGTAGTTTACGTTTATTGCTTTCTTTTTGCGTCTATATTGCTTATCTATTGCTTGTTTATTCCATATTTATTCACATTGTATCGCTTGTTTATTGTCTATTTATTGCTTACCTATGGCATGTTTGTGGCTTGTCTGTTGCGTCATTATTGCACTTTTATTTATCCATATTCACATTTATTTGTATTTATCTTTATCTCACATTTATCATAGAGAACTGTTGATAAATATGATACTCAAAAGATCACAAAGTGTTTTTACAATATTCAAAGTCTTAAAGTTAGGGTATATCCAATCTCTTGAAATACACTAAATAGAAACGGCATCCATATATAAGCACCCTAAGAAAGTAGTATGCTAATGGTGGTCCTGCTTGGCATCAAGTATTAGTTGCCCTCTCCACAACAAATTGTGAAACCAACTCCTATAAAAAAAAACAAAACAAAAAAGCTAATCAATGTCATTTTCTTTTTCCAACCAATCACCAAATGTTTTTTTGCCAACTAATTACCAAGACATTACATGATTATCAAAAAGAGCAAACAAAGAGTAAAAACAAACCACAAACAACCATTAAATTCTCTGTTAAGTTGCTATGAAAATGCAGGAAAAGAGAATTAGATTTCTGTTAAGTGTTGCAAATTTGGTTTCATAATATTCCTTCTTTCCTACCATTTATAGAACTAACATGATCAATTCAATTGTTTGTAACTGTTGCGGTCTTTTTCCATCGAAAGGATCGTCCAAGCTTGTTGATTCTTGGACCGCCATAGAGTGATGAATTAAGCCTTCTATTTGGGGGTGGTCAAAATTCACCAATCCGCCAAGGAGGAATTCCTAGCGGCCGAGAATTCTTAACGGCCGAGAATTCCTAGCGGTTGAGAGTTCTTAGAGGTCGAGAATTCCTACTAGCGCAATTCCTAGCATTCGAGAATTCCTAGTGGCACAATTCCTAGCAGCCGAGAATTCCTAGCTGCTGAAGAATTCATAGCGGCCAAGAATTCCTAGCTGAGAATTTCTAGAGGCCGAGGTGCTTTCTCAAAAAGGTGGCCGAGGTGTTTTCTTCAAAGGCCATGGTGCCTTCTAAAAAATATGGCCGGGCGCTTCTCTTTGCAAAAGTGGTTGGGTGTATCCTTACAAAAGTGGCCACACATATCCTTGAAAAATTGGATGAAAGCTTCCTTTTGAAAAAGTGGTTAGGCACTTCTCAAAAAGGTGGGCCGAGCACTCCTTAAATACATTGGTCAGCCACTCCTCTCTCAAAAAGTTTGGCCAGGGTGGATTTTCCCTTGCGCACCCGGGCGCCCTCCTCGCAACACTTGAGCAAGCAAAGTTGGGATGAGGGAGTTGAAGTTCGGCGGGAGGTATTTCCACCGAGGGAGTTAGCAGGAAGTATTTCCGTCGAGGGAGTTGAAGTTCGGCGAGATGTATGTCCGCCGAGTTCCCAATATTCGAATATTTTAGAACTCAAAGATAGTCCAACGTAGGGCCAAGCCCAACATCCAAATATTTGGAGTCCCCATACCACCCACCTTGGCAGATGGTCAGCCAACTCTAGAATTCTAAAAACTCAAAGGGCACGAGGTTCCACCAGATATCAAGATGAAATCTCGGAGGTCCAAACCCAAGTCACGGATTCACGCCCAATATTTCTGGAGCTCAGTGTGCACGTGACGAATTTCTCATAAGGAAAGAAATCAAGGAGGTTGATGACGATTCCAAAATGAGAGAAAATCAAGCAACCATAATATCTTCGCCGACGTTATCCACGGATTTAGGGGGCCTCAAAAGGAAAGAATTTTAAAAGATTTGACATTTGGCCATTCAATGGTCAGCCTATGGGCCAACGGAAGTCCTATATAAACTTCACCAAATGAATGAAGAAGACACACAACATCAGATAGACAAACTTACTCTTCGTCTCGCACTTTGTTTTTTTTCCTAAACTAAGGATTTTATTTTTCAAGCACCTAGTGTAGCGAGTTCTTCCTTTCCTTAGTGTAAGTTTAACTTTTTGTTCAATTTATATTTTCTTGCCATTTAAATTTAAGTTTATTTCCATTGCCTTGCTTTTCATTGTCATCGCACTTTTATTAAGTTGAATTTCAAGTTTATTTCAGTTTATCATTCGTATCGCTCTTATCGCTTTTATTTCATTCTTGCTTTATTTACAGATTTGATTTATTTTATCGCACTTTAATTCTTGTCTTCACGTTTAAATGCGCATTTAGTCTAATTGCATTATTTTTACCTAAAACCCTAAAACTTACAGAAAAAACATTAGTACAAAGCCTAACTATCCTCGAGCCCAAGGAAGTGAAAGAACTTAGGCCAAGAGGAGGTTCCTTGCTTGGCTGATCAATCATTTGATCAGAAGTTAGAAGCGCAACATATCCATCTACTCACATTCCATTCAATCCCAAGTTTGTCGCTTGGTGGTGGCACGCCTCACACTCAAAAGAAGAAGGACCAAAAGTTCCTTCCATCGGCCGCCTCGGATGGCAATTATGGGGGAGATAATGAATTTTGAATTTTGGTTTTGAATTTCGAAGGAGATAATGACAGTGGCAAGCACAACACAACAACAATTTGATTTATGAAGTAGAATGACATATAATCCAAAAGCTTATTCTTAGAGCATTCAAAAAATTTATCAGGAGCTAAACAAGATGGTGATTATCCTAGTAATTTTTGCATCCAAGCAATGTCTAACACATGGAGCTTGAGATTCAACAGACCTCATATCTCAAATTTCATATGCAACATTCTATTCACATATCAACGATAAGAAAGCAAAACCTGAATTTAATTGTCCAAATACAAAAACAAAAGAGTAAATAGCAGCAAAAGGCAAGGCAGTTGGATTTCAAAAAGGTCACACTTCTTGGAGAACTTGAGAAGATGACTATTGCATGCTACTAAGTACAAGCTAACTGCAAGCAATGAGTTCACCTACAACTCATAGAATTACTACAAGAAAATATTTTTGTTGTTGAAGAATATAACCATATATAAGTTTTTTAAATTGGTTAAAAAGAAGTAGGTGCAATGCTAGACATTTAGAGACCAAGAGAAAAAAATTATTGTAATGCTAGAAGCCTAGAAGAAGAACAAGAATTTTGATCACAGCAGGAAAATAACAACATTTTTCAAACACATATTTAATAAAGTGATCAATTGTGCACCACGGTTATTTACTATGAAATTGCACCAATGTGACCGAAGCTGCCAGCTGAACCTCTCACCCCGATGGTTAGTCCTTGGCGTTTGCACAATAAGGACTGGATCTCATAGGCCCTATGCCGCAAGGCAAGGGACAACTCAAATTCGCAGTCATCGCAGTGGACTACTTCACAAAATGGGTCAAAGCCAAAGCCCTTGCTACAATCACCGCTGCTAAAATCGAGCACTTCGTATGGAAAAACATCATTTGCATCTCCGACACATCCACAATCAAATAGACAAGTAGAGGCCATCAACAAGATCATCAAGAAGACGCTGAAGAAGAAGCTCGAAGCTGCTCAAGGTGAATGACCAGAAATACTACCAGAGGCACTGTGGGCCATCAACACATCATACCGAAGATCAACAGGCGAAACCCCATTTTCCCTCGCCTTCGGAACCGAAGCTGTCGTACCGGTTGAAATTAACGCACCAACACGTCGAACGACATCTTACGATCCATACCAAAATCAAGCCCAACTTTCTTTGAACCTAGACCTCACTGAAAAGCACTGATCGCAGGCTCATTTTGGAATGCTGCATATAAGCAACGAACCTCCAGATATTACGACTCACATGTCAAACGCTAACCGTTCAGGGTAGGGGACTGGGTTTTACACAAAGTCTCTCTCGCAACAAAAAAAACTGCCAAAGGCACCCTTGGCCCCTCATGGGAAGGTCCCTACGAAGTTATCAATGTCTGCCAACCTGGTACCTACCTATTGCGTGGGTCCGATGGTCAGACCATCGGTCACCCTTGGAATGTTGAACATTTAAAATATTACTAAAAGTGACTGAACCTTCGGCCAGTCTATTTTTGTAAAAATTTTCCTTCAGCATTATTGTCTGTTTTCCTATTCTATGCATTCGGTTACGCCTTAAGAAGCACCACAATATCAAACTTATACTATCTACGACATGCATGCATATATATATATCATAATACAGAAAAACAACAAGGCTGATTAAAAATTAGCTTGGATAAAAAGCCACAAATGGGCCATATGTCTTAATAAAATCACGCCTTCGGCATCATACAAAAGAGACAAATATATAGATAAAAAAGGAACGGCATGCAGAAAGGGAAACGATACAATACATGCCGAATGGCACTTACTGTTCCCCATATCTTCCTCCTCTTTCTCCTTCTTCCTTCGGGCGTGTTTGGCCTCGGTAATTAAGCCCGCCTTGTGCAGATTGCCAAAATCAAGCAAGGTCTTGAAGAAGCGATCTTCTTCGACAATCTTGGCCCACACCCTCTCAATCGCCTCAACATCTCTCTTCGATGTCGTGGGCCATTTCAAAGGCATTGAAACAAAAGAAAAGATGAGCACATGTTAGCTTTGGAAGGCAACTAAAAAAAAAGGAAAATGCAACATTACCGAACGACATCCTATAGCCTACCGATTATTTGGAAGGTTTTAGGGATGTTCCTCTCAATAATTACCCCCGGTGCCGATTCCCAAGCTCCGCCCAACACCGTCGCCACGTCTTCTATGAGCTCGGTACCCCAACCACAAAATGCCCACGCTGGCCTACCGACTGGCAGTTTGACTGCACCCACCCCCTAGTCAGCACTCTTTGCCCTCGTCACACTATACAGATGGGTGAATTGCTCATAGCTCAGCTCCCCCTCGCCAGTTATGCCGAACGCCGTGATTGTCCCGAGCAATGTAATCCAAAAGTTCGGATTAAACTGCCTAAGGGCATAGCCAATCTAGGCTAGGATCTTCTGCACCGAATGTCTCAACGGCAGCCGAAGCCTATGTTTGAAAACATCGGTAAAGAAGACTACATCATCCTCCGGATTGCTTAAGGACTCTAATGGCCTTGGGATCCGCATCACTATTGAATCTAGGAGGTGATACTCAGCCCTAATTTTTGCCAACTCCGCCTCGTTCAAAGCGTTCGGCTCCAGGAAATCCACACCAAAAAGGGGACCCGTTGGCTTCGCCAACAGCACCCGCTGCCGACTAGTAGCCATAGTCAGAATGCCTTATTCGAGATCGGCAACTGACACATCAGCCTCGGTCACCTCGACTCAGCGACCTGATGTCGACGGCTGAGAGCCATCCACTTCAACCACCACTAGGCTTGAAGTGCTCCCAGAGTCGGTAGACACCTCTATCCCCCCTCCTACCTTAGTGCCCTCAAAATCGGCACTCTCAAGCTCTGTAGTCGAGCTCTCTAAAGCCGATTCTTCCTCAAATGCTCTTGGGCTATCACTATAGTCTGATTCGGTATTTGACATCTACAAACAAAAGCGAAAGGAAACTAAATGCCATGCCAAAATCAAACTGCTATCCTAACACCCAAGAGCTCATGTTCATCTACGTTCATGTTCATGCAACAATTGAAGAATTTGATTCAATTCGAAAGAAAACACTGCAGCATATCTTGTTCACACGATGGTCGGAAATCGCCTCTGCCTTGAATACTTCACCAGAAATTGCCTACGCCGTCGCAATGCACTCGCCAGAAATCGCCTCTCACAAGCTCTGGTTGCTCTAAAAAATTTCAAGTACCCCTCTTACCGTCTCTTCGGTCCATTTATAGGACGAACCTAGCATCGGGAAACGAAATGACACGACTTTTCGCAGCCCTCCCGACACGTGTCACACATGCATAGGGAAGCCTAAAAGTCACAACATCCAACTTGAACGCTTCAATTCTCAAAATTTTCAAGTGCGAACTACACCAACATATGACAGGCACACAATGGCTGAGTTTTCACTCACCTCCCTTGTCGAACGGCAGGCACACAATAGTCGAGTTTCCACTCACCTCTCGTGCCGAACGATAGGCACACAATGGCTGAGTTTTCACTCACCTCCCTTGTCAAACGATAGGCACACAATGGTCGAGTTTTCACTCACCTCCCTTGCCGAATGGCAGACACACAATGGTCGAGTTTCCACTCACCCCTCGTGCCGAACGTTCAGCAGGCACACATTGATCGAGTTCTTCTCAAAACTTCCTACGCCTTCGGCCCTTGTTGCACTTCCTTTCCAATCTTCCAAGATCCCCCTTGCTACATGACTACCATTGGCATACCACGGAAGCAATGGTGGCTGGGCTAGTCTGGGACTGGAAGAGGAGAGTGGTGCGGTCCTTTTGGGACCGGTGCCACCAAGAATGACGGCCAATGATGGCTCTTGGAGCCACCGGCTATGCAGAAAAATTGAAGGGGGGCAGGGGGAACTGTGCGTGGAGAGAGAGAGAGAGAGAGAGAGAGAGAGAGAGAGAGAGAGAGAGAAATCAGGCTTTTTAAAAAATAAAACCCTTTTGGACTATTTTTTATTGCAACTTCTTCGTTACAACTCCTATTTGAGCCCACTACGTGTCTTGGACTTATCTCAATGTGCTCTACACAACGGTACAACTGAAATTCCCAAATTCTGTCCCGGACAAAAAGTCAACTTTTAAAGCTTTAAAAATATTCCCGAGGTAAAATTGTCTTTTACTTGAATACTTGAATAATTAAATATTAATTTAGGATTGGGTTATTACAACAAATGTGTTTGTTCTTTGTTGATTGATTCTTGCATTTGGTATTGGGATTTTCTATGAACTTGTTATGATTATATCATAGTGAGGTAGCATTGTTGATTTGCTATTGCAATTGTATTGTGGTTTTATTGCCGTTGTATTGTAGTGGTATTACTATGGTATTGTTGTTATATTGTTTTTTTTTTGGTGTTTTATTGTATGTTACTGTAATTTAATAGGAATATATGTTGATATCATTTTTCTTTATCTGCTTGTGATTTGTGTAGGAGTTGAGATTATTCTTGGTTGAAATGTTATTTACGATCTCTCTCTGTCTCTTTGCTCTTCGTATTTTTCTCAACATTTATGTATTAATGCATGGTATTGTTTGGGAACCATAATCATTGTCAATCTCATTGTTTCTTTAAAAGATTATTGTGAAATTGTTACTCCACTTTCTTCTTTCCTTTGTTTTAAGATATTTTTGTTTGGAGAAAAAGAACTCTATTTTTGTAATCTAAAAGACTAGGTACTCTTGGTGAGTGTTTTCTGATTTGCAAGATCCAGACTTTATGTATGCCAGTTTACTACTTTTGCACTTGAACTTTGGCTGTCTAAAATTTGAAAAGTCTTGTATGCCAGCAGTGTATCTATGTCACACATCTTGGGTAAGAGGTATTCTTCAATTGTAATAGTTTGCTCTGTTGTACGTATTCAAACTACCTCAAAATGTTTTCATTGCTATCTTGAGTTCAAAACCAGCAAAAGTTTTTAAATGATAAGAAATTATGTAAAGCTTATACATAATACACATATAGTTGAACATAGCTAGAGTGTATATCTACGAAGATGTCATTGTGCTTCAAATTAGCAAATTTGTGGGGTGAAAGCACAATGGTTGACATGCCATTCTGCATTTGATGAAAATAATTAATGACTTTGTATGGAAGTATTCTCATTAAATATCTTAGATTCTATTAATGAATGAAATATTTGCCTTCGAGAGCTTCATGTTTTTTCATTTGTTTTATCAAGTATCTTATATTCTATAAATGAATGAAATATTTTGGTAGATTTGAGAGACTAGTCAGCTAGTGGATTTTGGATCATGACTTTTGAGGAGAACTAGCAAATAAGTTTGGTTTATGCTTGCTATTATTAGGCCCCAAGAATTAGTAATTTGTGAGGACATCTAAGACATTATGTTTTCTTCTTGTGGAGCCTTATGACACAATGCTTTATTTCATTGGTTCTTGTGTATTCTTCTTATAGCAATTCTATGAGCTATAGGTGAACTGATTGCTTGCAGTTAGCTTGTACTTAGTAGCATGCAATAGTCATCTTCTTAAGTTGTCTGAGAAGTGGAAATTATTTGGGCCTTTGAAATTCAAATTTGTGTTTTATTGCTTTTTTGTTTCCATTTTATTGTCTCTTTATTGCCATTCTATTGCCATTTTATTGCTTTGTGGTAGACAGTTAACTTCACTCTTAATAATGAACTCTCTTCCCTCTTAATAATTTTTTGAACTATTAACTTCATTTTGATATGGAGATTATATTTGTGAACTAAAAGAATTTACACTAGAGGTTTTATCTTCTAGTTGTAAATTTAAGCATGGTTCAATTTTGATTATGTTTGCAAGTTGTTAATTTAACTTGGGGACATGCTTGGTTTCATTTCATATTATTGGGTTTGTTTTGGTTGGTTTGGCTTGAGCAGCTTGCAATAGTAAAAAGGATGATGCTTCATGTAAATTCAACAGTTAAATAGGATATTTTTGTTTTCAATTTTTTAATTCTTAAGATACTTGGTCATTTTTTAAGATTACGTGAAATAAAAAACATGTATTGAATCTTATTGTATACGAGACCATGTAATTATTTTGATACCATTAAATGAAATTTTAGTTCAATTTACTTGAAAACTTTGGGATCTTGAGCAAGGTACGGCAGTCACGTATACGACAATTTTGAAACATACAAGATGACAATGTAAGAATGGTTAATTTTGACAATATCCATAATTGCTTCCACTCCATTGTAATGTCATGTACATTATAAAGTGGCAATAGACATGCAATACCAAGTGTTCACACTATAATCACCTGAGTATATCCAGCCTCAAAACGACTAGCACCAAGGCAGACACGTCTCCTCCCTTGCTGAAGGAAGACACTCTTCCGAGGTGCCAGACACCTGTCAAAGCTCTCAACTGCCGAAGCTCTCAATTGCCTAACCTAACCTTCGAGACACGTGTCACCACCACAGTAGCTTGCACAAAGTCCAAACTTTGTGCAAACCCCTCACTTTCACTTCCCTATAAATAGGGAACAGTACCCAAGTAAGAAGGGTAACTTCTCTCTCACTTTTACTGTTACTTTGCCAAATTTACCACTCATAGCTGACTTAAGCATCGGAGAGCCTTCGGCCGGCACCACACCGGTGTTCGAAGCTTAATGATTGCTTCTCCTACTTTGTCTTCTGCAGGCTCTTCCCTTACCGAAGGTCCTCACCTTCTCCACTGCTGAAGACAACCTCCTTTTCTCTAAGTTGACCTCCCAAATAGAGCATCAATACAAAGTAATATGAAAGCAATAAACAAGCAATAAAGTGGCAATAGACAACCAATGCAAAAGCAATATAAAAAAAAGCAATAAAATGACAATAAACAAGTACCTTATGAATGTCTTTGTACTCTCTTGCCCATATTATATAATGTTCTAATTGTTGAACTATTAAAATATTCAGTTGTTACAGATAATAAATAGTACATAAAAAATAACAACCATGTATGAAAATTTCATATCATTATAATAATGACCTCAAAAACAGTATCAAGTACATTACACAAATATTAGAAACATACAGCTCCACAAGAAGAATACATAATGTCTTAGATGTCCTTACTAATTCTTGGGGCCTAATAATAACAAGCATAATCAATGATGTATACAGTTTGCTGCAAGTTTGCTTAGCATTTTCATAATAGAAGCTTTGCTTTTGTCTTCAGAAGGCATCTCAAATAACTCTTTGTCTACACATTACATTATGCACAAAATGGTCTCCAACGCCAGTGTATGACTTGCACATCAATGCTTGCACAAACTAGCTAAAACACATTGTGTAACTGTTAACTTCAAATTTGTTCTTGACAGGGAAACAAGTTGAGTGCGGCTTTTTTTTTCCTTGTGCAATTTGAAAAGAAAAGGAGAAAGAAACATAAATTGTCAAGATAAAACTGCAGCAAATTATAATTTGGTCAAGTACTCACCGTCGAAAAACAATATGCTTTCAATGAATAAATAACATATTACTTTCAACCAACACTACTACACAACTCATCTTAGAAATATGATTGAGATTTGACAAACATACAAGTAGAAGATCGAATCCATTAAAACATACACATGCAAAAAGCAAACCTAAATTATAACACCAACTCAAGCTACAAAAACCCAAAACTGACCAAAAGTGTTGAGAGAGAGAGAGCGAAGAGAAAACCAAAAATTGACTAAAAGTGTTATCTGGCCGATAAGTAGACAATAAGTATATATTTATATGTGATATTTGCAAAATTTATGGGGAAATGTGATATTTCCAGTTAAAATTAAAAAAATAGTGGCATTACGCGCTATTTCCTTGAAAAAGAAAAACCAATGACAGGGATCAAAATGAAAATAAGTCAAAACTATAATATGAAAAATGTAATTCAGCTTTTTTATTTTTATTTCTTCCTGCTCCCACGATTTGCAGAACTCCGACTTTTCTTTGTATAAAAGATCAAATTCATTATTTTATCACAAAAAAAAAGAAAGAAAGAAAGAAAAAAAGATCAAAATTCATTCTCATTACTAGCTAGCTTGAAAGAGTTCCAGTCTCAGAATTGAGATCTAAAAGCTGTGTTGAAACTTGAAACTTGTAATGAAGGAAATCACATTGAAATCGAACTCGAAATTAAAAAATTGAGAGAGAGAGAGCAGAAGAATCAGACTCGGAAGAATCAGAAAATGGCAAGCGACAGCGACGTAGACGAGGACGAGCTCCTCCAGATGGCTCTAAAGGAGCAAGCCCAGCGCGATGTGAATTACAAAAAGCCACCCTCCAGCAACTCCCGCACTGCCCCCGTCGCCAATTACGTTCAGCAGCCGCAGCCTCCTCCGCCCCAGCAGCCACGAAAAGCCGCGGCTTCTCCGAGCCCCAAAAACAACACCACTACCAGAAGCAACGCCAACAACCCGAAGCGGCGGGTGGTGGACGACGACGAGGAGTCCGATGTGGACATGCTCAGCATCTCCAGCGGCGATGAAGACTCCACCGCCAGGGATCAGCAGCGTGTCCGCTTCCGAGGCGGCGGTGCTGCTTCTGCTGCTACCGCCAGAGCTGGAGCCCGGGACGACGATGACCCTTGGGACGGTGGTGAGCCTGGCTGCTGGAAGCACGTCGACGAGGCTGAGGTAAATATATACATATATGTTCACATTTTGAAGAATTGAATGCTTGATTTTTCAATTTTTGGGTTTGTGTGGCGGTATGGCAGCTTGCTCGTAGGGTTCGTGAAATGCGAGAGACGAGAACAGCACCGGTGGCCCAAAAGGTTGAGCGCAAAGTGTCGTCGGCAGGCTTGGCACGAAAGGGGCTTAACAATTTACAGTCCTTCCCTCGGGGCATGGAATGTATTGATCCCCTAGGCTTGGGGTTAGCATCTGCTTCTATCTTCAGATTAGTCTATTTTCTTTTCCAAATTTATTTGGGACTTGAGCCTCACTCTTAGTCTCATTTGCATTTGTGTTTTCTGGCAGGATCATAGACAACAAAACCTTAAGATTGATAACTGAATCCTCAGACTATTCGCCATCCAAGGACGACAAATTGGATAATAACCTTCGGGGTAATGTAGCATTTTCTCTTTTGCTTTCCCCATTATGTTCGTATTAGTTCTACTTAAGTGACTTTCTACTACCACCTTGCACTTTTGCATAACAAGGACTAATCCTGGAATTGGATTATCTGTAATTTCATCACCACCTAGCAGTTATTTTTCTGCCCTTTTTAATACTATTCTTTTGTTTATAAAATTAAAATGGAAGCACCTAGAGATGACTATTTTTTTTTCTCTCGTCTGTGTATAATAATAAATGAACACCTCTCTGGGAGTTGAGGTTCTACTTATCAAAATGTTTAAAAGGCTGCAATTCCCAAAATATTGGATTGCTTAAATGTCGTTATGTCTTTGGACAAAAAATTTCATTTTCTTTCTTTTTGAGATACAAAATCTAGTACTAATAAAATAGCAGGAACAGCAGAAAATCTTTCTAGTTTCAGAAGTTTCAAAAGTTTTTGAATGTTATACTTTATACACCTTGATCTCATAACCTGAATTTGTTCATTTTTCCTTCATTCATGGTTGTCGCTCATATCTTTTTTATGTTGATATTTGCAGAGAAGTTGTTATATTTCTCTGAGAAATTTGATGCCAAGCTCTTTATATCGCGGATTCACCAAGACACTGCTGCAGCAGAGTTGGAGGCTGGTGCTTTGGCTCTAAAAAGTGATCTTAAAGGACGAACTCTGCAGAGAAAACAATTGGTCAAAGACAATTTTGACTGCTTTGTCTCTTGCAAAACAACAATTGATGGTATACAATCGTCTTTACATTCAGCTCTGGTTTTTTTTTAGAGCTGCTTGATTTTAGATATGTTTTACATTTCAAAAGTTGGAAATTACAAGAACCTGTGCCATGTGTGACAACTAGACTTAAGCCCTTGTCCATCACCATCGTGTGCATCTCTTATCTACATCACGGTCTTGGGAAAACTATCCAGTAGCATCTAGCTGAAAATTATTAGTGCTGTCGTGCACTTCTGGTTGGTTAACCAGTGACAGCATCATAATCCTCATCTATCAAACTAACTATCAATTACCTCCATAACCCCATATTGGATGCTTGTACGTGCTCGTGCTATTTCTGTCACACCCAGAAATGTTGCATCTTCACAGCTATTTTGTCCATTAACCAACAAGAAAATGATCCCCACCTGCAATCCTCTTAGTCTTATTCTATTGCCTTCTTGTGGAATCTCTCACCACTAGTAGCCCTAGCCATAAACGACTAAACTCTTTCTCGTTCTTTTGCTCCCGTTTAAAGTTCATCTTGTTCATCGGATTGCTTTTCTCCACTTTTAAGTTCTCCATCTTGTTTAACATGAAAAGATTAGACTTTCAACCAGCATATCTGCAGTCCTATTTATTTGAGGGATGTAATAGCTTTGGCGATCAAAATACTTATGTGCTCACATACTACAAATTTGTTATCTGGAGCACCCTTGTGGAAAGCACATCAATAAAAGGCAGTTGGTTTACTTTTCTGTTTAATATTCGCTTGTGAGATTTGTTCTATTGGATGAATAGTCAACTTCTCAATGCCTTTCTTTATTTCTTCCTGTTGTATAAAATTTTAAAAGTTCATTGCAATCATAGCTGCTTGTTGGGTGCTTCTTGATTTTTGATGCTGAAGATATTGATTCTTGCACAGATATTGAGTCAAAGTTGAAACGGATTGAAGAAGACCCTGAAGGTTCAGGCACTTCTCATTTGTTTAATTGTATGCAAGGAGTGAGTTCATTGGCTAATCGCGCATTCCAGCCTCTATTTGAGAGACAGGTTGGTCAGACTTAAGTTTTCGATGTGGTTCGAGGTTTATGTCTGTTTATGCAACTGGGATGATATAAGTTTCATCTAGTTTCTGACTGATTGTAGGCTCAAGCTGAGAAGATCAGGTCCGTCCAAGGCATGCTACAGAGGTTCCGGACGTTGTTCAACTTGCCCAGTACAATTCGTGGTAGCATAAGCAAGGGAGAATATGACTTGGCAGTTAGGGAGTACAAGAAGGCCAAGTCGATTGCTCTGCCCTCTCATGTATAAAACAATCTGTATTAGTTTTAACTTTCTTTTGCGGTAAAATTGGATAATTTCAAATCACATGAGCTGTTTCTACGCATCAACTAATTTGATTCCTTCTAATTGGTTATCATGATTCATTATTAGCTATTTTATGCTTTAATTTATGAAATATATCGCATTTATGTTGTAGTTTTATTGTGTGGATGGTTTAATTGTTGACATCAATTTTCAAAGGCAAAGAATTTTGATCCTCTTTCCATTGTCCGGTATATTATGTTTGTACAGAAGGCTGCTAATCTTCTATTTACTTTTTCTATTATTCAATTGCAGGTGGGCATACTGAAACGTGTTCTCGAAGAGGTTGAGAAAGTGATGCATGAGTTTAAAGGCATGCTTTACAAGTCTATGGAAGATCCACAAATAGATTTAACAAATGTAAGCTCATTATTTAGATATCAGTAATGTTTTAATCTTTAGAAGGTTCTCACCTGCCCCCAACATTGTTCTCCGACGATGCCCCCTGGGCGAAAGGGGCCACCATTCTCTTTTTTTCTTCAATAATCTTAATAATAATGAAAGTAGCATGCGGTGTTCTGTCCTCAGTTTCTTATTTTGCAGTGGTTAATTCCAAAATACAGGTTCTGACCATATTACCATTTCTCAGGGGTTTTTTTCTTTTCTTTTTCTTTCCATGGTCCACTTCAATTCGATAAAAGTAATAAATTTATTGCAAATAAAAAAGTCATTGCCAAATAAAGCACACGTGATAGTTGGTTGGGTTAAGGAAGCGGTGATTGAATAAAAATGGCTGTAGGGTTGCTAAGTTGGTTCTTTCTTTTATTTATAGCTGAACATTTTAAGATCTTCTGAATGATGGTGGTTTTTTTGGTAACTATATTAGTTAATAGATCTGGAGTGGAGTCTTTAAGGGTATCCAAGTTCAGGGTAAAGGATCTCAGTTATCTTTGAGCTATCCTGTTCTTGAAGTCATTAGTAAAACTTAATAGGAGATGTTTTTATGAGTAGTAGTGAGGAAGATTCCATTACATAGTAGGAAATAAACCCCATCTCCACCTATGACTTAGTCGAGAGGTTATAGTGTGATTTGCTAAACAAGATGATACACTTGCATTAATGTGAGTTGTGGCTTGAGGCCGATCGTGTCTTGTATTACCAATGTATTGATTTCATGCTTGTAGGAAATGGCAATTATTATTGTTTTTTGCTTTAATAGTTTTCTACATTAACGATTTTATGCTTAATGTAGGTTGAAAACACAGTGAGGCTGTTATTGGAGCTGGAGCCTGAGTCAGATCCGGTTTGGCACTATTTAAATATACAGGTTTGTAAATTCAGAACTATCCTTGGGATTTACTTATTTTCCTCTTTTTAAATCCTTGGTATAGTTTAATATACAACTTATTAGGATGTGAAAATGCAGTTGGTTTGGTCGGTGAAGCCAGTATCTTAGAGAAATAATTGTTGTGCAACATCCGAATAGCTTTAGGTTTTGGAAATAATTATAAAACTAGTTAAATTTATCATGGTATCCAAGTACGAAGTCTTGAATTTGATTCTTTGCAATTTCAATTTCAGAGAGAGAGAGAGAGAGAGAGAGAGAGAGAGAGGAGAGAGAGAGAGAGAGAGAGAGAGAGATCATTGATTTTGTAGGACAATTGGATGTTGAAATGATTTCTGATTTGTCAATTTTTTTGCAATATGAATGTAGACTTAAATAATAGATGGTTTGGATCGTTGAAAAAAATTCGTAGGAGATCCTAAATGGTGTCCCTCAACAGAAGGGGACTTTATAATATATAAATATATATTAGTCCCATTCTATTAAGGGATCTAGATAATTGACAGTTTAGATCATAAAGTACAATACATAGTGGGCCGTACGAGGGTTTCCCAAATAATATTTGAGGGATCCATGAACTGAAGCTCCTATAAGGGTAATGTTTGCTTGAAAAAACAAATGCTTTTGTTGCCAGACTGAATTTTGACCACACATTCAGGCAAACAATCAACCTGATTTGGGTACAGATCCAAAGTCCGGAAAGAGAAGCAATCATCAACAAATATATATATATATTTATGCAAACATCAACAAATGAAAGGAGGGGCCACAGTTTGTCTGAAGTTACTTTTAAGGGAAAGAAATCACCCTAATGTTTCTGCACACAAACAAACTAGAGTGGGGTCGGGTGTCCACTTACTGACTTAAAAGTTTGTTTCTTTTCCAGAATAACAGAATTCGAGGTTTGCTTGAGAAATGCACATTAGATCATGAAACTAGGATGGAGACTTTACATAATGAGTTACGTGAAAGGGCTGTGTCTGATGCACGATGGAGGCAGATTCAAGGAGATATAAATCAATCTGTAAGTGTGACAATGGAAGGATCATCTTACATGGAATGACAGTTAAACAATGGGTCAGTGCTTAACAATTTGTTCCTTTTTACTACTGTCAGTCAGATGTCAACTATTCTCTTACTCTTGGCGACAACCACCTTCCAGTAGATTCTCTTCCAGTAGACTTGACAGGTGAAGAAGTTGATGCTCTTAGAGGGAGGTATATTCGCAGATTAACTGCTGTACTGATTTATCACATACCAGCTTTCTGGAAAGTAGCACTTTCTGTTTTCAGTGGGAAATTCGCAAAGGTATGGTGGACACTTAATTATAAGCTTTTTGGTGTAAATGTAAGATCTACCTATAATAATCTGTACTCTTAATGTTTTTGTGGCGCAGTTTATTTACAGTTCCAGATATGCATGTATACATGTATAAATTTCGTGTGCCAATGCAGTAGATATGCTAAGACAGTTTCATTGAACTGAATACTGATACAATTTCGTATGAAAAATAGGTCTGTTATTATACTGCAGTTCATCACACATCCATACTACCATATGATGTGAGCTGTAGATGTAGGCTGTTAGCTTTCACTAACATCATTTATTTAAAAAGGACCATCAATATGAATAACCTCCTCGTTTATTTTACCAAGAAGTAGCCAGTGTAATTTGGTAAAATTACAATAGTCCATAGGGTAATCTGGTAACTTACAAAGTTCTTCTACTACATGTTTATCTCCTACTCTTCCATGTTATCTATATTGCAAATCAATGTCAGTCACCTTAATTAAGTTCATTCTGTTGTGATATTGTTTAACAATAAGAAAGGCAGAGAAAGGAAACCCGAGTATATCACCAAGCATATTAAACCCCTCTTCCATTGGGAACAGGATTCTTATCCTCCAAGACTGTTAGTCCTAATATGCTTACGAAACTCATCATGGGCTGGAAAACGCAACACATTGGTGAAGACGTAGTGAATAGGTCGGAGGTTTTGGAGCTATATTCGTGGGCATCCAAGTAACATCACTTACTAACATATATCACTAGAAGAAAAAAAAATTCGAAAATGTCCAAAGTGCTTGAAGATGGATGCACTTTGGGTTACTGTTCTATTATTAAATCCCAAATGGAAAAATTGGGTTCCTTAGTTTCTACGTGGTTTTCCTCCTTTTGGTATCAACATTTCTAATGCTGGAGAGTTTAACAGTTGTGTTTTCTCAACTATCAAAATATGAGTATCAGCGAATTTGAAATGATACATGTTTTTCTGAGCTGTTTTCTTGTGTGAATATTTATGGAAAAAGTTAAGACTTTTGCATGTTCCATACCGATCAATGCAAAGATATGCATATTCAGTGATGACAAACCTTTTATTGATTTTGCGTTACATTTATTTATGTTTGTGTTGTTATACTTAAGTAATGATCTGATTTATCTACTCATTTATTGTTCTATGATAGACAATTTCACTCTCTTCTTATACTCAATCTTAATCTTTCAGTCGTCCCAAGTTTCTACTGAATCAAATGCTAGCACTCCAGCAAATAAAACGGATGAAAAAGTTGGAGATGGGAAGTACTCAACTCATTCTCTAGATGAAGTTGCTGGAATGATACAAAATACATTAACTGCATATGCAGATAAGGTGAGTATACTGGCTGAACCAACTTATTACCTTTATATAGATGGAAGCCAGTTATTTAAACTAGAGTACATAAATGGCTGCAGATAATGGTTTGTGCACAAATTTTACCGAATTAATTATTTTCTTTAGTAAAAGTGCTTATTAACAGTCTCTGTAGAATGCGAAGTTGTCTTCATCTACTGAGTTCTTCATTCTTGGATGCTTTATTTTCTTTATTTTTTAGAAGACAAGTACATTTTATTGAAAATTGACAAAGAAGTACAACAGTGGTGGAGAAGGAATCTGCTTCAATACAAGCAACAAAATCTTAGCCAATAAAGAACAATACCAACCCAAACAGCCCCAAAGGAACCTAAAAATAACATTTTAATTTTGTAGCCACCAAGCCCATAAAGAAGATCAAAATCTGACATTTTACAATAGCTTGTCCGCCCCTTTACTAAAGCAATGGGCAAGTAGACAAAAAACTCACATCTAATTTTCCTTTATGTAGTCACTTTCTTTTCTTTTCTTAAAAAGGCACAAGCCACAAAATCTAAGCCAATACAGAACAAATCAACCCAAAATAGTCCCCAATAAACCTAATAATAACATTCTAATACACTGCACCTTTTCGATTTAAAGTAGAAGTAGAAAAGGAAAAACCTTGTATTTTGTAGCCAGGAAAGCCCATTTTACAAAAGCTCGTCCACCCATTTACGATAGCAGTGCACCACTACACAAATGCAGTTGGTTTCTTTTCCTTGGTCCTCTTTGTCTGTCTGTATGTGTATGTGTTTCATTTTTGGAAAGAAAAACAGTGGTACACTCTTTGAATAAAGAGATGCTTGTGACAGTATTGAAAGGATGCCCAATTTTTTTATTATTTTTATTATTTTTATTATTTTTATTATTATATTATTTTTATTATTTTTCATGAGAATATTCATAAAAATAATCCACCAACAATTTGATACAACTCTTATAACAAACAAATTGAAGTTACACCTTTCACATCGTTAAGTCAAAACTCTTAAACCCTACAGCAGCCCAATGTTTATTTATTTCCAGTTTGTGCATTTTTTGTAGAGAAGAGGCTGAGTATTGATCACCTATTTCTTCGGGGTCCTATAATTTTGAATTTTCGACATAACATGTTTTTGGAAGCTAATTTTATTTTGGCGATTCCTATGTTACGCTTTTCTATGCTTGTTAAAGAAAAATTATGTGTCTAGGGGCAATAGCCATTTGGAGGTCCTGTGTGCTGGCTATTTTATGTTTCGCAGTGCAGATGGAATGAACTAAGAGGATTTTTAAGATTCTAGCAGGGGAGGAAGTGGAGGCCAAAGTCTCTCATTAGTTATCATTGTCATCTTCAATTTGTTCTGATTTTTAGCTTTGACTTCACTTTGGGACAGTAGGATAATTAAATTCCCCGCTCCTCTTTGGGCATCCTTGTCTAAGAATTTTAAGGATGTACCCTTTAGTTGGATCTAGTTGGATACGTATGCTGTTATGGATTAAGCGTGGTTTGTTCTGGTTTTTGTGTGGTTTAGTGTGTATTTGTTAGTTGAAGTGTTCTTGATGGACTTCTTGTTCATGTTCTGTACTTTTCATTTCTCTTATTCCATAAAATTTTTGTCTCGTGTACCTAAAAAAAAAAAAAAAAAAAAAAAGCAAAAAAAAATAGCAAAAAAAAAAAATTAAAAATATTTGTGGGGGTTTTTTGTGGTTGAGACCCTAGATTATATATAATAGACACAATAAGAGGAAAAGGGGGAGGGTGTGTCGACCTTGCCACATAACTGTGCTTACAGCCCTTGGTTTCATACTTATTTTTTAACTTTTGGTGACAATACCCCTCGTGGTTGAAGAAAGGGTCAAATAGAATGGTATGTGTAAACTTTAATTATGATCTTATAAATTAAAAAAGTTTTGGGGGATATAAAGCCTGCTCTTTGAAAACATTAGATTTAGGACCTGATATAAGTGAGTTTTCTTGAAGAAAAGGGTGAAACAGGGTGAAAATTACGGATGGTACTTTGTTGGAAATAATTTTGTAGCCATTTGTAATGCCTGTTATTAAGAATAAAGGGATACAAGTGTCATCAAAAGGAAAAATATAAAATTAAAGAAAGCTTCACAAGGTTGGCCTAAGTTCTAACTGATGTTGTACGTATGCACATCTTTAGGGGGTTATGCCTGTCTCCGGTACAGATACGGACATGATAAAAGCTCGATACGGCTCAATACATATCAGATCCGGAAATTGGAGTATCCGTTGACTTTTTGAATTGTTCACTGTCCGATACAGCCGGAATACTGCTAGGATATGTGACGGATACGGCCAATATGCACAGTTCTATAATGTTGTTGGCCTCCTTTTAGTGAAAGCTGGACATTCTTGAATTTGCTTTTGAGTTGCAGAGGTGGTGAAGAAGATGATGTTGCCCTAGCCCATACTTAAAAAAACGTAATATATATAACTAATAAAACATTTTTGACCTTTTTAACCATACCCTGCAAATGTGATATATTTGACTTAAAGAACTAATGTGTTAATTGAATAATAATTCATATAAATAAATGAAATATATTATTTTAATTGCCGTATCTTTGCCGTACTCATGTCATAGTTTTTGGAGATTTTCTGTATCGTATCCGTGTGCCTATACCGGCATCTGTGCAACACAGGTTCTAACCATGGTTAATGCATATGCAATTAGCCCAACTTTCATTATCACTACTTGAGGCATTCACCATATTCAGAGATTAGGAGAGTTTAAAGAGAACTGCAGATTTTGGAGCTCCGAATTTAAGTTCATATGTTTCATCTTTATCAAATATTGGGAGCCATACAAATTATTGCGGGATATAAATATTGAATTATATTTTGTGGTTAGCTGCTGTATTAATATGGTTCATATTTAAATTTACCACGGGTACATGCCAAATTGTGTTGAATGGTCATCCTTGCATATCTTCAGTTTCAGACTGCAGGTTCAGCAGGTGTTATAAACTTTTTTGCTCTTGATGCAGGTTCGTAATACATTTCATGATCTTGAGGAATCAAATATTCTGCAACCATATATGAGCGATGCCATAACAGAAATATCTAAAGCATGCGAAGCTTTTCAAGCGAAGGAATCAGCTCCTTCGATTGCTGGTATGTTAGCTGTCTCTTAACCTGCAATCTGCTGATTTCTCAAAATATTCTGAAGGCCGGTCATATTTTTGCAACAGTAACTGCAATTCGAACACTTCAGTCGGAGATTACAAAGATTTACATCCTAAGGCTTTGCTCATGGATGCGGGCATCAACTGCTGATATCTCAAAAGATGAGACATGGGTTCCAGTATCAGTTCTTGAAAGGAATAAATCTCCCTACACAATCTCTTTCTTGCCTTTAGCATTCCGCAATGTTATGACGTCAGCAATGGATCAGATCAAGTTGTAAGTATCTAAAGGTTACTTTCGCCGTGTTTTCTGAATTCATTGCAAGTGATAGACAAGCTCAAGATTTTCTAGTCACTCATTACCTGTTTCTCTGTAGAAGTTCAGAACATTGTTAGTGTGTTATCATTTATCAGACTTCAAAAGACTTTTTTCATGCTTAAGAGTCCATATAAAAGTTTTATTGAAAGGAGGGAGAAATGTTGTGGAGCTTGATCATGAGAAATAAGGGATTCTAAACCAGGAATTCATTGCTCAGCTTAACAAAATAATGTTACATAAGTAGACTTCGGTATAGATTTCTTCCAAAGACGAGACCAAAATATCCTTGGCATATATTGTCTATTTTAGATAGTGATTGACAGGTGTGCTGCGCTAGAACTAAAAGCGTATTTTAAAATCATGGTTTTATTTTTAATTAGCTTTCTTTAGTATTTTGAAGGACGTTTTTAAGAACAGTGTCAGTAAAGTTCGGATTTAAGGAGAGGAATCAATAGCTTTTGTAATAACTAATCTTATTCAAGTTGTATCTATTTGATGCATATAATTTTATTTTCGTTGTATTTTTTCTTATTCCAAACTTTGTATATTCCCAGGAATGGAGATATTTAACTTTTATGCAATCAAAAGGCAAACTAACTAGTATATGTGGGGAAGGATGAAGTTTAGGTTTGTGGGTCATAAATTGGTGTCCAAATGTAGGTACTTGGTTACAGGTATTTATCTGTTTCTTTAATTCATGAAAAAATTTCAAAGACAAGCTTTAACTGAATATTAAATCCTATGAATTTGATACATCAATAACCCAGAACAGCAATTTTCTTAACATGTGACATATATAGTTTACTTTCTTTCGTATTTTGATTGAACCTTTGACAGTGGAAGCCTGCCTACTTTGTCATGCTAATTATACTTCACCTTTTAATTGCTCGTAGTTAAACTAGTTACAACCTCAACAAAGACCTGCTAATTTTGTATTGGATTTGGTTTGAGTTGTTGGTAGTTGTGTTAGAAATCATCGTGAGAACTTATTTTTTATAGTTGGCCTCATTGTTTATTTATAAATTAATATTGTTATATTTTTTTTAGGATGATTCAGTCTTTAAGAAGTGAGGCAACGAGGTCAGAGGAAGTGTTTAAGCAACTCCAAGAAATTCAAGACTCTGTCAGACTTGCATTTTTGAACTGTATTCTTGATTTTGCAGGTATGATAGATGAGTAGCTTACTAAATTTCATGTTGTTAAGTATTCATTGTGTCCAGTTATAATGTTTCCGTTTTTGTATATATTAATCAGGTCATCTAGAGCGTATTGGAAGTGAGCTTGCCCAAAACAAATCAATCAAAGGAAGTTCACTTGTACAAAATGGTTATTCTCCTAACCTAGAAGAAAAGCTAATGTCTGATCTCCCAGGAAGTGTTGGTCCACATCAACAGTTGTTGATAGTGTTGAGTAATGTTGGCTATTGCAAAGAAGAACTTTCTTATGAGTTGTATAACAATTACAAGCATATCTGGCTACAGTCTAGGTAAGTGGCCCACTATTTGTCCCTTCTTTCACCTTGTTTCTTGCCCTCGTTATTAGGAGCAACTGGATAAGACAGGATATCTGATATTTGAAATGGTGTATGTAAGTCACTAAAGCAGAAATCGGAGAGAACCAGAAAGCCATGTTGGTTACTATCTTCCACTCTCAATTGGCCTAAGTCAATGTATTAGTTGTTTAGTTGGGTCAATACTCACTAGGATTTGTATATGAGTAATATTTGGCTGAATGACATTATTTTTTTGTTTAAAGAGTCATTTGTGCAGTTCTAGTTCGCATGAAATCTAGCTCTATCTGTGATAAGAATAATGTACGTTGCGTTGAATTTAGCATCAAATAAATGGACCAATGAGTTTTGTTCCAGCCGTATGAATTGGAGGGTCTATATGTGTGCCCACGGGTATTAGTTGGGTCAAAGATCCAGATTCCCCAGGTTATCCACAAAAAATAAATAAATTAATTAATTAAAAAAATAAATAAAAACATAAAACTAGCCAGTGGGTGATAATCCTGAGCCAACTGTTAGGTTGCCTCATGCTAAATTATCGATGAATTATAACTTTTGTGCCTATGATCTGTTTGCTGATGCCTAATTACCTGCTGTCTTCTCTATCTATTCATTCTTTACAGGGAAAGAGAGGAAGATGATAGTGATATACAAGACTTGGTGATGTCTTTTTCTGTGCTTGAAGAGAAGGTCCTGGAGCAATATACTTTTGCTAAGGTATGGTTGAACATCCCAACACACACCCACACCTGCAGAAATTCATGGCGCTCCTGTTATTTGTACTGTATTATCTTCCTTTCTTTTTTGTCAGTGTTTATCCTTGTATTTTCATGTTGGCACTATGCTACACTAGCTACCTTCTTTGCTCAGACAATATAGTTAGGCTATAGGTCTACTTTAGTTGATGTGTTCATATAAGGGCATTGGAAGGACCTTTCTGAAAGCAACTCGTTCTAGTTATTATTGACCAAGGCCAAGCAACTTTTGTGCCAAATGGCGTCTCCTCTCCCCATGATTATGGGATTAAGGGTGAGTTTGCCGGTTCAATACATGTTTGGTGTGTGAGTCAATTTGTCAACGGAAAATTATTAGGGTGAATTAATTGACATATATGTCCCATGAAAAAATAATTAGGGGACTTGTATGAACTAAGGTTTTTGTGGTGATAGAGTTGAAATGGATCAATTGTTGAAGCTTCATAGCATCAATAGTGCACTCATATGAAGATCCTGATAGAGATTTAGTTTTTGCATTTCTTTGGTAGGCTTCTGTACTACCAGTGTCCTCTACTAACCCAGTAGGCGGCCAAACTAAATTTCCAATTAATGTAATGATTATTCTACAAATAAAACCAACATCAATATATTGATACCAAAATAGAGATCTGTATATCCCACGAAATATCCGTAAATTGAATAGCCGATACTATCTGCACAGCCAACATTTGCATCCTTGACCCAATGTAGTCTAGCGGCCTTCATAGAAATTTAGCATACCGTGGTTGCATATCTGCGGCAAGATGGCCTGCTAAGAAAAAAGTCACCATAACATCAAAGGATCAGTTATTAAATTTTCTCCTTTTTCTTACCTATTAAAATAGATGGAGTTGGCAGGTCCCATTTTACTTGCATTAAGTATATCTTGATTCTGTTTACCAGGTGGCTCCAAATAAAAGATCACAGCTGAGCTTTTTGTTGCTCCAATTATTTGGTCACAAAATTAAGCGGCCATTGATTGAAGTTATGATGTACTTCTCTATGGTCCTTTGTGTGAAAGTTTGGCTGTTACCTTAACAGATCTATTTTAATCTCAGGCAATTTGATCAGAACTGCTGCCTTCAACTATTTGTTGGATTCTGGTGTACAATGGGGAGCAGCACCTGCTTTAAAAGTCAGACGCTAATGAATTTGGCATTTGTAGTTGTATTTTTATTTATTTATTTCAATTAAAAATTAACTGGCAAGCATTCCTGTCCTCTATGGAGTCATATAATGCAACCTAGTCTTGCAGGGTGTGCGTGATGCTGCTGTGGAGTTACTGCACACTTTGGTAGCTGTGCATGCAGAGGTACTTAGTGGAAGCCTGGTGCTATTACAAAGATTATTATCTTTTAAAAGGATTTTAGTAGTTGCAGGTTTTAACTTCTGCTTTTTAGCTTAGATGTGATGTTGACATTATTCTTTAGGTTATAATGGAAGATGGTTCGTGTATGCTTCAATAAGCACATAGCTAGCTATTTTTTTTTTCAGTTAAATGGTTGTGCATTTATAATTTATCATCTCCCCCAGCTCTAGATTTTGGTTCATTTTCTCAATAAAATTAAAGCAATTTCCTCTTTCCAGGTATTTTCTGGTGCTAAGCCCCTGTTGGACAAGACACTTGGCATTCTTGTGGAAGGTCTAATTGATACTTTTATCAGCTTGTTTCATGAAAATCAAGCGAAAGAGTTTAGATCACTTGATGCAAATGGTTTCTGTCAGCTAATGCTTGAGGTAAAAGATCTTTGAACTGGAAATCTTGTATCAAGTTGATGGTTTTGAATTTGCATATTGCTGTGCTGGTCTGATAGTCAATTGCAGTTGCTCCATATTCCTTTGTGTGTTGGATGAATGAAATTCTCTGAGTAAATATTTGGTCAAAATGCACCTGATTTTGATTCTTGATTAGATCTTAATGCATCTGCTTTATGCACATAGGAAAGTTGTTAGCACTGCCTATCTCTCCCCAACCCCCCCTAAAAAAAAGATAAAAGATAAAGAAGGCTGATCAGAATTTAAAAATTAGAGTGTGAGCTTTCATTTGATTTCTCGTTCACAAAGTGAACAAGTCATTACCATCATTAATCATGTTATGAATATATTATATTGGGTATCTTAGACATTTGCATTATGTGGTGTATAATGCAGCTTGAGTACTTCGAGACTATATTGAATCCATATTTTACATCGGCTGCAAGGGAGTCTCTGAAGTCGTTACAAGGGATACTTCTGGATAAAGCCACTGAGAGTGTGACAGAAAATGTGGAGAATCCAGGGCATAACCGACGAGCAACACGTGGAAGTGAAGATGCGGTTGCAGATGATAGACAGCAGGGGACAAGTGTGTCACCAGATGACCTGATTGTAAGAACCTTAGTTTCTCTAGTAATCCTTCTTGTTTACTGTTTCAATTCCAATGAAGCAGTTGACTAGTTGGTTATAGTATTGTGTGCATATGCGTTCGCAAAATCACCCAAACTAGTGACATTGGATAGTATATAGAATGAAAAAAAAATATAAATGTAAATCTTCTTATACCTCAGCAATTGTTTCTCATGTATTACCTTCATTAAAGTTGTATGTTTTTCTTATTATCTCATCTATAGGTTTTCATGTATGACCTTTGTTAAAGTTTTATGCTTGTAGGGTTTTTTTCTTAGGTGTCAACTCAATTAGTTTGTTGAATGCTTCAGGCCCTTGCTCAGCAGTATAGCTCTGAGTTACTTCAAGCAGAGCTTGAGAGGACTCAAATCAACACAGCATGTTTTGTGGAGTCAATTCCGTTGGACTCAGTACCTGAATCAGCTAAGCGCGCTTATGCTTCCTTTAGGGGCTCACTAGATTCACCCAGCAGAAACTACAAAGGCAACACAGGATCCCCAAGCTACTCCCGGAATAGGCGTCGATGAATTTGTAAATTTCCGAAAGGTTTTGACTCTCTGAATGTCACTTTGTATGTGTTAGTGTTGTCATGTAGTTAATAGGCTGAGAACCATATTCTTTCCATTGTTTACACTCTCTGAGCTTTTTATTTGTATTTTTTTCTTTCCTTTTCAATTTCTTGTTGTACTTGAACGTGGAGCACAACATTGTATATTTTTGCCATTGTGTTAAATGCCAGTATACTTCTTTTGCTGTATTATTTGCAAGTATATGCTCTCATTTTTCTCGTTCTTATTTGCGAAGATTCCTTTCGTTTTCTCTTCTATATTTGTGAGTGTGAGATTGAGTGTATTTGGGCCTTAGAGTTTCTTATGATTAATCACTATTTGTATGCTCTTTGATTTCGTGGTTTTCAAATTAAACGTAGAAATCAGAAAAATCTAGGTGTTTTGTTGGTTGTTTGGTTTGCTCCTTTATCTCCAGCTTCTCTTGGTTTGCACTTACGATAGCAATGGTTACCAAAGTAAAATTGGATTTATATCACATGTAGGAATGGTAAAATTGAAATTGTGGATCACTTACCAAGTCGATGTAAAAAAATTAACTCCTGTGTTCAGAATTATCATCTAAAATTTTACAGAGTTAATCAACTTATTTGCTCATGCTCGCCTTCAGAATTTTGGTACGGTCATAATCTAAAACAAATAGAAAAATGCATATGGATTTGAAAATTATGAAAGTTATACAAATGAGAGGAAAACTATAGAGAGAAATGAGATGTAAATAAAGACAACGGAATTTGGGCTCTAAAACTTTTATTTTTCTTCTTGGTATGACCTCTTATTTATAGGCTTATAATTATATGAAGACATTGACAATTTATAAATTACAAGTCCATAACTATGATATTTAGTGCAAAGGTTACATATAATTTTAAAAAGGTGAATTTACAACACTCTCTTTGGATGTTCACCATACAATGACATACTTGCCTCATTAAAAACCTTGCTCAAAAACCCAGTGAGACAAAACCTAAATGAAGGCAAAAAGAGTGTAACATTCTTATGAATTATTGATACGTTGGATGTGCTTATGCTGCCTCCTTAAAACATTGCTAGGAAAAATCTAATGGGACAAAAACCTAGTCGAAGGGAAAAGAGTATAGTGTGCATGTGTCCTGTATGTAGAAAATTATTGAATGCTTCCCCTAATAAATCCCCCCTGATGATGACAAACTTGAATTATTTGAAGATGCAACACAAATGATATTGATATCTCATTTTCCTCTTACATAGTGAGCCTTGGTAATGCTTGTATAAAAATTTATTCAATATCATCATTGGAGGATGTATGTGTGTAATTTGAATCCATGTTGAGGTTAGAGTAATACTAAACAATTCTAGACTATTTTCACAAATCCTTCACATTAACAATTTTCAAATCATCAAACTCATACTTTACAGTTACGAGGACAAGAGTATAAGCCATTCATATAAACTTTTGTATACTATGCTAGCATGTCAGAGGCTCTTTAAGAGACCTAAATATTCTGATAACTTCTTTAAAAATTTGAATACATTGCAACGATGTTGAACTTGAATTTGATTTCATAACTCAATCAATGTACTCCCATGAAGCAATTAGATCATTTTCATTTCATGAAAATTGAGTATAGACATTGAGCTTCAGGCTCCTTAACTTGTTAGAGATTTTCTTTCAACAATTGATATACTGTATGGCACTTTACATCTCTAAGAATTTATTCTTTTGTATTCTTCAAAAGATGGCTTCTTATGCTTCAGACTTCATAATCTTTATAGATTTTCAAATAGATGTAAGTCTTTATAAATATGCAGTAAACATGCTTCATAAACAAGAACATGGCTGCATTTATATAATATGATAGGAGAATATGATCAAAATTCCATGTCTTTACATTGATACAATGTGCCAGATTCAGTGATTTATTTTAGTGCATCACAAACGCCGATTTGTAACCTATACAATTAGATATCTTTTGGTGTTTGAAATCTAGGTCCATTTCTTCCATGTTTTCCAAAAAATATTCAATTTTATTGTATTGCCTCTTCCATTTCCAATTTGGCTAATTTGAATATATAATGTCGATAATTACAATAAAAAGCATATCAATATCATCATAACCCTTGATAACTTTAGTACGTACTTTAAACAATATCATTAGTTTGCAAACCCACATATCTCGTTATGCATACATAAGATTTAGACGTTTTCATTGTCATTGGGTACTCATGCCTCTTCAAGGGCTTTCATTATTTTCTAATGAATTTTTGTCTTCTTGTAGGACTTTCATCTCCTCTGATATAAATTGTATAGAGAATGTGGATATTTCATAGTATTACGGGTTGTATGGACCTTTCAATATATTCTCCAATTCAAGGGAGCTAACATGGGTCTTATAGATATGCAACTATATTCAAGCATACAACTAGATAAATCATTTATAACTACTTTGTCACTTTGGTTGTGTAACATTTGACTTGCAATATATCTTTTGGATTTTAATTTCTTGCATACCTTATTTTTACATTAGGTGATATGAAAATCTTGATAAGAAGATAGTGGTGCATTACATAATAATTTATGTCGTTCTTCAGGAACAACCTTTTCTCCTCCTAACGACTAGAATCAATCTCACCAAAATAATATTATTTGTTCAATGACCCAAGTGTATATAATATAAATGTGATAACATAAAGCAAAATCTTCAGGTTTGCTTTATAGCAACACATATACGATGGTCTCTAAAACTATTCAATCAAAAATAAAATTTTCATGTCATGTGATAAAATATTATAGATCCATAGAACGAGTGGATCTCAAGAACAAGGGGTTCGAATTTTTTCATGGTCAAAAGAAGAAAATTACTGTACTTCTAACATGAGATAGTGAGTAATATTCATCTCATTCATAATGTCAAAATGTATTCCAATATGACGTGTACATAAAAGCTATGTCTGTTTCTTCAAGAATTGACTAAATACCAAGCATCATAAGCATATAATTTGGCCTTTCAATAGCTTTTGGTCAGGTTTACGAAACCTAATATAATATTTACCAACACGAGGGGAAAGTAAACTTCAAAATGATTCCCATATCAAATAGTTGTGTACATTTTACACTATTAATTATAAATATCATAATTATTGGAGGCCTTAAAAAAAAAAATTCCCCTTGATCATTGACCTTAAAAACAATTCACTTCTAGTGATATTGTGCAGTGACACTTGTTTCAAAAAAATGATGCAGAGCTTACATTCATTTCAAGGAATGATACTGATATTTACTTTTGGAAATAAGTTATGATTCTGAAATTCATGAATGCACACCCAAGTGCAACAAGGTAATGCATCAATGTCACTAAGTATTTTTCAAATTATATGTTTCATATTGCTACTGTTGGAGCAACTTGAACATAAAAAGATCGATACATTCTTTCTATCTATTTGATCTTCCACAATACAATCTTGTAAGGATCTTTATTTACTTTCCCAAATGTAGTTTTAAAGCCCTGACATCAAAATGAATGCAAGCTTTTAGGATCTATGAAAATGGAGAAATTTTTCCATTTAACTTATATGGTTCATAGAATATGCTTAACATAATTCTTACAATTTAAAAGTCCACATGTTTTAATTTGGATGAAAAATTACGTAACGAAAACTTCAAGATTCAAAACCTCACGTTTTGAATTAAAAATGTCAATGCAAACATTTCATATTTTTATAATCTCAAATTAAATTTTGTATTTCAAATATGTATCATGAAACTTCTAGTTTCAGCTTATTTCTTAACATGAAACTTTTGGTCTAAATAAGATAATATATCATCACAAAGAAAATATAGTCACACTAATTTTTTTTTAAAAAAAACTTCCAGTAATAAGAACAGTTGCATGTTATAATAAATAATAAAAATGATAAGAATATAAATATAAAATAGAAGGTTATAAGATAAATTGAATTTTTAGAACATCAGATTTGAAGATAAATTTAATTTATAGAATTGTGTTCTAGTATGAAAATATTTGCAAATTTCTAATACAATAATCTCTCGAACTTCAAGTTCTAACAAGCCACGTAAATAAAACTTCTGGTTATAGATTGTATTTGATCATGAAAGTCAGGTTAAAAAAGATCACATAAAAGTATTGATTTTAAGATTTTAAGAACAAAGGTTCAAAACTAATTGATGAATCAAGGGTCTTCCAGCTCAATTTGATAGCAATAGCATAGATATAATTGAAGCACTTCGGGTTCCAATTAGATTATGTGATATAGAATTGGTTCTAAACAAATATAAGAAGAATAAAAACTAAGAACCAATTAACTTGAAGGTTTTAAAAAAAGCATTTGATTCTCAACTTCAAGTTCAATTAACATTTTATATATGTTATACCATAATTGCAGGTTGTTGACATGATATGAACTATGGGTTCATATTAATATTTTATATATCTCAATAAGAAATTATGAATTTTGGATATATATTAACGCACATTTGAAACTTCAAGTTTGGGTGCATATATCAAATTAAAAAGAATATTTGATTTTGAACTTCAGGTCCAAATTTGAAGTCATATAATATTATTCAAGGTAATAAAATAAAACAAAATAAATAAAAATTAGAAAACATGAAATCCAAATAATGTAGGAACTTCAGTTCTTAAAATGATGTATATTTTTTAGCCAAAAATTATAATACATAATTAAAACTACAGGTTCTAAAATTTCCCTATTTTAATTTAAAGCACATGCAGCCGAAACTTACAGTTTTGGATTACACATAATTAGAACTCTAGGTTCTAATATATTTGAACTTCATGTCATATTTAGAACTTCAGATTGTGGCAGATTACAGAGTTTACTTTGAGAACATTGGTATTAACCAGTTTTCTTGGATCCTGGAACCAGTCAGAAGAACGAGCATGTCTGTCAAACTAGTTAGCGGACAAAGAAATGAAGAGGATGACGATCATCAAGCATTG